TACAAAGTATACCACATAAATCACATGTAAATGTTTTAAACAAACAGAAAACAAGATATCCCTGTAATCTCAGCTGAAGATAGCACCAGACTTATTAATTTCGATGAGTTTTACATTATGACTATAATGCCTATCGATACTGGTAGGCAATCAAAACAATTCAGAAGTTCAGCATAGACACTGGAGTGTTTTCAATTCCCAGCTCTACCACTTCCAGCCATGAACAAGTCACAACCTTACTGCAGTTGTTCCCATACAGATAAAGCACAGAAACATCTCTTTAGACATTAAGAAAGAGCTGAACTGCTACAGATCTTCCCTTATGTTTTTTTTTGTTGTTGTTGTTGTTGTTTTTTTTTTTGGACAGGCAGAGTGGACAGTGAGAGAGAGAGAGAGACAGAGAGAAAGGTCTTCCTTTTGCCGTTGGTTCACCCTCCAATGGCCGCCGCGCTGTGGCTGGTGCACCGTGCCGATCCGATGGCAGGAGCCAGGTGCTTCTCCTGGTCTCCCATGGGGTGCAGGGCCCAAGCACTTGGGCCATCCTCCACTGCCTTCCTGGGCCATAGCAGAGGGCTGGCCTGGAAGAGGGGCAACCGGGACAGAATCCGGCGCCCCGACTGGGACTAGAACCTGGTGTGCCAGCGCCGCAAGGTGGAGGATTAGCCTATTGAGCCACAGCGCCGGCCCCCTTATGTTCTAAACACAAAGAAATTCAATCCACAAAACAAGCAAGACAAAACAAACAGAAAATCACCATAGCACCAAAACCCAGAAGAGAAAAGCAGGAAAAGGAGCCCCCTAGCAGTGAGCTGAATGATTCCTGGGAAATCCCAACTTGGAAGAACTTTAGTTTTAAGACTGATGTGGGATAGGAATCCAGTTTGGCAGAAGCTAAGACATATCTATAAAGAAAGGGGAGCCAGAAATCAATTCCCTGTACAAAGAAAGGAGCCAGGAAAAAAAATCTACCCACAAGCTTAAGGAGATGATGTAAAAACTCAGCTTCTAGACATATAACCTCCTTAGCTGTACCAGAAGTATACAGAACTGGGAAATAATCTAAAGACTGCTCCAGAAAGCAATGACTTTCAGGGTCCTGGGACTTCTACACATCCCAAGGGATCTCCAAAGAAGATGATTCCCACTGAAGATAAGCTTATAAACAAAAATTATAAAGCATAAGAAGAAATCTAACTACATGAGAGACAAAGAAACAACAAGCAGCAAAACTCAGACCCCAGGAAGTCAAGATAACGGCTGATCTAAAAGATAGTTTACAAATATAGAAAAATGTTCCAAGAAATAAAAGTACAAAAGTTTATCAAATAAAAATAGGACATTATAAAAGAATGACAAGAAAACTTCTAGAAATAAAACAATATTGTCATGAAATAAACTCAATGGCTTTAAACTAATTATGAGAAAATAAGAGAACATAGCAAAGCAATAAAAGACAGGGTACCTGAAGTAGCTACAAATTGGAAGGGACTAAGGAGATGTAACAACTAAAATGCAACATGGTAACCCAAGTAAGATTCTAGAATGGGGAAAAGACATTAGTGGGAAATTGGTGAAGCCCAGACGAAGTCTATAGTTAATCATATTATACAGTATTGATTTCTCACTTTGGTAACAGCACTATGGTTATGTGAGAGGTTAACACTTGGGAAGGGCACAGGGAAACTCAATAGTTCATCTCTAACTCTAGAGTTATCTCAATATAAAGATTTTAGCTATAATCCTATTACAAATAATTAGCGCCTTTAATATTTAGTTTTACTCTTTTTCTTTTTCTCAGTTTTTTCTAAAATATTATCTTTTTACATTTAAAAAACTGGAGTAAAGGGGCCAGCGCTGTGGCGCAGTGGGTTAACACCCTGTCCTGAAGCACCGGCATCCCATATGGGCGCCGGTTCAAGACCCGGCTGCTCCATTTCCTGTCCAGCTCTCTGCTATGGCCCGGGAAAGCAGCAGAAGATGGCCCAGGTCCTTGGGCCCCTGCACCCACATGGGAGACCTGGAAGAAGCTCCTGGCTCCTGGCTTCAGATTGGCACAGCTTCAGCCGTTGTGGCCATCTGGGGAGTGAACCATCAGATGGAAGACCTCTCTCTCTCTCTCTCTCTCTCTCTCTCTCTTTGCCTCTCCTCTTTCTTAACTCTTTCAAATAAATAAATAAATCTTTAAAAAAAAAATGGAGTCAAGCTATAATTTTGTTTCCTTATTTTTTCACTCAATAAAAAAAGCATTTCCTCAAATCATTAAATATTTCTTAAAAACAGGATTATTAACAATTTTGTATGGTCTGGCACTCATTCTTATGGAGGGTCAAACATTCATTTGATCAATTATCTGCTACTGAATAATTAAATTAATCCAGATTTTTCAATAATTTTAAGTAGCACATATGGAAGAATTCTTTAAAAAAAGTTTAGGACTTTTTTAAAGTGTATGTGGGTGGTCAATTTATAGTTTTTTTTTAATGCATTTATTTATTTTACTTAAAAGGAAGAAATACAGAGAGACAGAGACAGAGATGGAAATATCTCCCATACCTTGGTTCACTTCCCAAATGCCCACAGAGCCAGGACTGGGCCAGGCCAAAGCAAGAACCTAGAACTCCATGTGGGCCTCCTAGATGGGTGTCAGGGATGCAACCATTTGAACTGTCTTCCACTGCCTCCCAGGATGTGTAACAGGAAGCTGAATCAGAGGCAGAGGAGCCAGGACTCAAACGGGCACTCCAGCAGGGGCACACACCCTAAGCAGCAGCTTACCCTCTTGTACTCTGGAAATACCCTTGAACATAACCTGCCTACATCTTCAGTGATTTTCATGGACTAGATTCCTAGAGAGTAGAATTTACTGGGTCAGAGATTTTAACTTTTAAAGTCTTGATATAGTCTGCATTACAGGAAAAATACCAATTTATGCATCCACCAGCATCATTACCATTCCTTCACCATATGTAAACTTAAAAAAAATTATTTATTTGAAAGGTAGAGTTACAGAGAGAGAGACAGAGAGAAAGAGAGAGGTCTTCCATCTGCTAATTCACACCCCAATGGCTGCAATGGCTGGAGCTGAGCAGGTCCAAAGCCAGAAGCCAGGAGCTTCTTCTGGGTCTCCCACACGGATGCAGGGGCCCAAGGACTTGGGCCATCTTCCACTACTTTCCCAGGCCATAGCAGAGAGAGCTGGATCAGAAGAGGAGCAGCCAGAAAATGACTGGTATTCATATGGGAAGCCAGTGCCACAGGTGGAAGCTTAGCCCACTATTCCATAGTACCAGCCTCTATATGTGAACCGGAAACCAAATACAGATGAAGAGCTTGGGCCCCAAAAAAGAAAAAAGGAAACCTTTTCCTTCTGAAAACAAAGGGTTAATTATAAATATACTGGCTGGCACTGTGGCGCTGCAGGTTAAAGTCCCAGCCCTGCAGTGCCAGCATCCCATATGGGCACTGGTTTGAGTCTCGGCTGCTTCTTTTCTGATCCAGCTCTCTGCTGCAGTCTGGGAAGGCAGTAGAAGATGGCCAAACTCCTTGGGCCCCTGTACCGATGTGGAGACCTGGAAGAAGCTCCTGGTCCTGGCTTTGAATCGGTGCAGCTCCGGCCATTGCAGCCAATTGGAAAGTAAACCAGCAGATGGAAGACCTCTCTCTCTCTCTCTCTGGGGCTCTACCTCTCTCTGTAACTCTGTCTTTCAAATGAATAAAATAAATCTTAAAAAAATTATAAATATACTGATCATGACCTGAATGGTGAAAATTAGAAAGGACACCAGAGGGGCCATTGCTGCAGTACAGCGGGTTAAAGCCCTGGCCTGCAGTGCCAGCATCCCATATGGGTCCCGGTTCTAGTCCCAGCTGCTCCTCTTCCAATCCGGCTCTCTGCTGTGGCCTGGGAAAGCAGCAGAAGATGGCTTCAGTCCTTGGACCCCTGCACTCACATGGGAGACCCAGAAGAGGCTCCTGGCTCCTGGCTTTGGATCGGCACAGCTCCGGCCATTGCAGCCATCTGGGGAGTGAGCCAGCAGATGGAAGACCTCTCTCTCTGTCTCTACCTCTCTCTGTAACTCTTTCAAATAAATAAAATAAATCTTAAAAAAAAAAAAAAAGAGCCAGAGAGCAAATATTTTAGGCCTCGAGGGCCATGCAGTCTCTGTCACAACTATTCAACTCAGCCTCTCTATCACAGAAGTGACCACAGACAAACATGAAAACGGATGGCCATGCCTGTGTTCCAACAAAATTCTATTACCAAAAGCAGGCAGCAGGCCAGACTTGGCCCACAGCCTACAGTGTGTTGATCCTTAGTTAGGGATAAGGCCTTCAAGTTTTAATAAAGGAAGGAGAAAAAAAAAAGAGAACACAACCATGGAGACTTAGTACCTTAAACCTGTGCAAAGCTAAAATTATCTACACAACTCATCTCTCACTCCAAAATTCTGTTCCTCTGCAAGCTGGTTGGTAATGCACAGAACAAGGGGAAGGCCAAGAGCTGAAGAACAGAGGCAAGCAGGGCACCCGGAGGAGGGAGCTGAACACAAGGCGCAAGGCCTCAGTCCCAGGCAAAAAGGACTGGCTAGATTCAAAAAGCAACAGAGGTGGGATTAAGCTAGAACGGACTTCACAGAACCTCTAAACGTGAACAGTCATCATCTTCAACTGAGTACTGGCAAACCTGGGGCCACCATGGAAATGGACTAAGACATATACGGTAAACAGCTCAGAATTTCTCTACATTTTGAGATGAATCATGCATCACTTCTGCAGATCAAGGAACACAGGACAACATTCAGTGAGGGAATGGCTGTCCAGGTTCAAAGGCCGTCCCTCCTCATTGCTGATGCTTTCTTGCCTCAGACCCCACGTGCCAGCCTTTCCCCTCCCCAAACTTCCCGTCCCCACACCCCTCAAAAGAAGGGGAGCAAGACTGAGCCTGCGTGGACTGTGAGAAGCTGTTCTCCGAGAAGCTGTGTATTTAACCAGAGCCTTACTTTTCATAGTCCCTTCCTCTTCCTCATCCTCTGCATTGATCACCATGGTGCCCAGCTGTGAGGGCAAGGTGTCTTCATGCTCAATCATGGTACTGGCTCCATCACTCATGGTGCTGGCCACACGCACAGTGCCCATCTCGTCGCCCGCCGCGCGAACCATCGTGCCAGAATCCATTTCATCCTCCTCCTGTAAAAGGACAAACTCTTAAACTGGAGCTAATCTGACCAAAAGACTGAGTTTTCTGAATTACTATCACTTATCTTGGTGCAAATATTCCTGACTTTGACACTTTTTCAAGTTACTATTTAATCAAAAAAAAAGATCAAATATTCTCCCTTGTGACAGCAGTAAATATATCTAACTCCTGAGGACCCTCTCCCTCTCCCCTTCTGCCACAGTTTTGCAACACAGATCTAAGAAGCTGATGTGAGCACTCTTGGAATCTGAAGATTGTGAGGAACTATGTAAGTTTCAAAGCTACTTGTTAAATATGAAACCCAGATTTCCCTATAGGGCTTGGAAAAACCAAGTCTCTGGCCTGGACATTCTCTCTCCAAAATAAAAAGTCGAAGTTGAACAAAAGATACGGAGGCAAACAAGAAAAATTTTAAAATGCTTTAAGAAGCATTGTTAGAATAGGCAGGGGTTCAGCAGCCTCTAACAAGCTTTGGCCCAGTAGGACAATCATGCAGAAGGAGTCTCAGCTCTGGGCTGATCCAACATCAGCTGCTCATCTTATGTGGACTGGCAAACATGAAGCAGCAAGCATTAATGGCTGAGGCCCACAGCAATGCCTGGCCACTCACTGAGTTATCTTCATCATCTTGGTCCACTTCCCGCTGCTGGGATTCCTGGCGTTTCAGTTTCACATCCATGGCTTCGTTAATTAAGTCCCGCAACATTGACACTCCTTTAGCATTCCTGACAAACGGGTGCTTAAAGACAGAGTGGAAAACAATGGAGACGATTTATATGGCAACAGTATCAAAACAGTACCTGGCACTTGATAATATTGGTTGGATCCAATCTTTTTCTTTATGATTCAGACAACAGCTAAACCGCATTCACTTTGTAACTGAGCAGATACACAATCATGATGCTAGGTATGCAGATCTATTTCATTATGTCTGCAAATTGAGCCACACCAGGGCATTTATACATTGATACAATATATATTGATCAATCGATCTACTAGGGACTGGCGCCATGGCACAGGTTAATCCTCCGCCTGCAGCGCCAGCATCCCATATGGGCGCCGGTTCTAGTCCTGGCTGCTCCTCTTCCAATCCAGGTCTCTGCTACGGCCCAGGAAAGCAGCAGAAGATGTCCCAAGTGCTTGGGCTCCTGCACCTGCATGGGGCACTGGAAAGAAGCTCCTGGCTCCTGGCTTTGTATCGGTGCAGCTCCGGCCATTGTGACCATTTGGGGAGTAAACCAACGGAAGGAAGACCCTCCTCTCTGTCTCCTTCTTACTATCTGTAACTCTATCTCTCAAATAAATAAATAAAATCTTAAAAACAAAAATACACAACCATAAAGAAAAATATTGATACATTTGATTTTACTAAAATGAAAAATATATGTATTGATATATATATATTTAGAGTTCTCTCCCATTATATCACAGACAATATTCCTTTTTAATAATGAGCATAAGTAGATTTTATTATCTGTGAGTTTCATTCAAGAAAATTAAGGCGCGCTATAACATACATTATATATATTAATTATACATTATAATATATACATATATATGGCTTATACAAAGGGTTCACTGGATCTGAGATGTTTGAAAACGATTTGGCTAATCCAAGAAGAGCAGATATGTATCAAGTTCACACCGTATTACTGTCAGTGCATGTAAAGAACTGTTTAAGTTACACACGTTCTATCACTTCATCTTCACAACATCTGAGGCAGGTATTTTGTTTCCTTTTATAGACAAAATATGCAGAGGTTAAGTTACTTGCACAAGGAAACAAAGTTAGTAGGGAGCCATGATCAAACTTGGACAGTCTAACTTCATAGTCCAAGGACAGTCTAACTTCATAGTCCAAGTTTCTAACCCTAAGCACACTGCCTGCCTCTCCCATCCATCTTTTAAGGCCCAGGCACAGAAACTGCCTCCTCCAGGAAAGCACTCTTGGTGTCTCCAGCTCAAAGTGGCCTCCTATCCTGAGCTAAAACAGCACTGATCCCAATTCTGTGTCAGGTAGACTGGATGGCATTCCTGCCTTGGCATCAAAGAGTCAGGTTCTACTGTCGGTTCTGCTCTTTACCATACGAGTGACTCCAAGTGAGTTTACCTCTCCTGGCCTCCACTCTCTCACCAACTAAACGGAAACAATACCTGCCCCTCAAAGTGCTCCTGTGATGGTTAGATGCTCTGACACCTGCAGAGCAGCCAGCACCTGTAGGTGTGCTCACTCAGGTGTCAATTCTTTTTCTGATCCTATGCAGCCCTGTATTTTCCTGCATTGTCTTTCCGACAAGTTAACAACGTTCTCATGTCTTTTCTTTTTTTTTTTTTTCTTTTTTGACAGGCAGAGTGGATAGTCAGAGAGAGAGACAGAGAGAAAGGTCTTCCTTTTGCTGTTGGTTCACCCTCCAATGGCTGCCACGGCTGGCGCGCTGCGGCCGGCGCACCGCGCTGATCCGATGGCAGGAGCCAGGTGTTTATCCTGGTCTCCCATGCGGGTGCAGGGCTCAAGCACTTGGACCATCCTCCACTGCACACCCTGGCCACAGCAGAGAGCTGGCCTGGAAGAGGGGCGACCGGGACTAGAACCCAGTGTGCCGCTAGGTGGAGGATTAGCCTATTGAGCCGCGGCGCCGGCCTCTCATGTCTTTTCTACTCAAACACTCAAACCTCCCCAGAGGCAGGGAATGTCTACTTCCTCTTCACTCGCCATGCGGATGGCTCAGCATGTGAGTGACATGGAGAGGGGCAGCACCCCCGGTGAGCATACCTGTAGGAGCTGAGTGGCTGTGGCCCTCTGCTCAGGGCTCTTTACAAGACACTGCTTCACGAAGTCCGTAAAGTTATCTGACCACAGCTCTGGTTTGCGGAATGTGGGCGGAGGGTTTGTAGGAATCATGAAGATTGCCTGGTTAAGGAAAAAGAGATCTGGTAAAACGAAAGTGATGCTCCAATAAAAATAGAACCAGTATTATATTCAATATTCATTTGTCTAATCCACTGGAAAACCCATCCAAATCCCCACAACAGGCTGAGCATCTCATAGCAGGAAGCACATTAATTAGAGAACCTGATAGATCTCTCTCCCCCTTTTTATCCTCTCTCATATAGTCTTGCCTCCAAAACTTTACAATATTGAACAAGCTTCCTCTTTTTGAAAGCCACAATACACTGCCTTCAACGTGCAGACAAAAGCGAAGAGCATCCACATCCTGCAGATAATCTCATCCCACAGTGTGCCTCCTCCTTCAAAGTTACCACCCTGGATATCAGCCAGGGCAAAAGACATCATCAACTGGAAGTCTACAAATCACATAGGAGTCCATTAATCCCCTCGCAAGCCAAATCAACATTCTGAGACTGCTGACACACAAAGCTGTCCCACCACACTGCAGTTAAATTGTACTATTTTAAAAAATAAGACAGGGGCCAGTGTTGTGGAGTAGCAGGTAAAGCTGCTGCTTCCAATGCTGGCATCCCATACAGGCACTGGTTCAAGTCCCCACTGCTCCACTACCAATCCAGTTCCCTGTTAATGGCCTGGGAAAAGCAGTGGAAGACAGCTCAAATAGCTGGGCCCCAGCCACCCATGAGGGAGACCCAGTGAAGTTCCTGCTTCAGCTTGGTTCAACCCAGGCTGTTTCAGCCACTTGGAGAGTGAACCAGTAGATGGAAAATCTCTGTGTGTCTTTCCCTCTTCTCAGTAACTGAATTTCAAATAAATAAATAAATCTTTAGGAAAAGAAAATAGGTCACCCAGGAATTCCCAGGGAAAAATGATGTATGAACAAGTGTTAGACCCCATACTCTCCCAGATAATCTTAAAAAAGAAAAAAAGACAATTTGAGTTGACACCGTATGACACTGTGGCACAGCGTGTTAAGCCACTGCTTGCAAAGCCAGCATTCCAAATTAGCATGCCATTCGAGTCCTGGCTGCCCTGCTTCTGATCCAGTTCCCAGCTAAGGCACCTGGGAAAATGGTGGATGATGGCCCAAGTACCTGAGTCCCTGCCACCCATGTGGGAGACCTTGATGGAGTTCCTGGCTTCTGGCTTTGTCATGGTCCAGCCCTGCCTGTTATGGCCATTTGAGAAGCAAACTGGGAAGCAAACCAGTGGATAGATCTGTCTTTCCCTCTCTCTGTCACTCTTTCAAATAAATAAATAAATCTTTTAAAAAAAAAAAAAAAAACTACTGTTTATTGAATTTCTACTAAAAGAGACAGTTTTTAAAAGATGTAACTCTTTGTGAGGTTGTCATTGTGGCCCAGTGGGGCTTGCAGAGTCAGCACCCCATATTGGAATGCCAGTTTGAGTCCCAGCTATTCCATGTCTGATCCAGCTTCCTGATAATGTGCCTGGGGAGGCAACAGAAGATGGACCAAGTACTTGGGCTCTGGGCAACGAACATAATCTAGGTCTCCCACCTGGGTGGCAGGAACCCAATCACTTGGAGACAAGGATGGAGTTCCTGGCTCCTGGCTTAGGCCTAGCCTTGCCCTGACTGTTGCGGCCACTTGGGTAGTGATCAAGAAGGTGGAAGATCAATGGATCAGTCTCCCCCACCACCCCTCTCCCTGCCTTTCCCTTTGTCACTATGCCTTTCAAATAATAAATAAATGTTTAAAAAACAATCCTTTGCAAAAAGTGAGGGAGAAAATTTAACTTTAGGTTATGTCTTTTATTAGGAGAACTAATCCAGAGCTGGAGTAGGGAGGTATAGACAGGGCTGTAGGATCCCCCAGCTGGGTCTGATAGCAGTGCTGTGATGAGAGGCCCTGAGGGTGGGTAAGCCTGGAAGCTCCCTCTGGTGTCAACACTGAAAGAGTTTCAGTGGAGATGCAGTCTAGAGGACCTTCATACTCCAGAGGGAGACAGAGGTCAGAGAGTCCAGAGCCTCCAGGTGAAGAGGCTGGGAATCCATAAAGCAGAACTTCACAAACCCAAATGCCAGAAGGGGCCTGGCAGGAAAAAAACATAAATAAACCAGGTTAGGAGTTAAAGTTCAAAAGAAGCATTAGACAAAACACTGTCGTAAGAGGTAAATCATACTTGGTACAACAGGGAATCAGAGACTGATAAAGTAGAAAGCTCACATCCTGTGTATAAAAGAGACAAGCACTAATCCGTTCCAGCTAACGTCTCAGGTTAAAATGTGGGTGCCTAACTACTAAACTATATGTAAGGGGAGCAGTGCTGCAGTGTGGCAAGTTAAGCCACCACCTACAGTGCTGGCATAAGGACATAAGGACACCGGTTTGAGTTCCAGCTGTTCCACTACCGATCCAGCTTCCTGCTAATGGCCTGAGAAAGCAGTGGAAGATGGCCCAAGCGCTTGGGCCCCTGCACCCCTTAGGAACACCTGGAGGAAGCTCCTGGCTCCTGGCCTCAGATCAGTCCAGTCCCAGCCATTGCAGCCATTTAGGAAGTGAACCAGCAGATGGAAGATCTTTCTTTATGTCTCTCCCTCTCTCTCTAACTTGGCCTTTAAAATCAGTAAATATACCTTTAAAACAAAAAACAATTATATGTAAATGCTGCCCAAGTCACACTTGCTGCCTATGTCCTCTGGAAGGACGAGGAGCACACAGTCTCTGGAGTGGAGAGGGCTGGATCACACCAAGTGACAAAACCAGACAGTGCAAGTGCATTTCCCACAGGAAGACTTCTCAATGATCCATAATTAATTCATTTATTATCTAAAACCTAACAAAGTAAGCCACTGAACTAATGTTCCAATGATGACCAACAGCTAACCACTCCCCTGGCTTTCTGTCCATTTCCTTACCCTCATGGGATGGATATCAGCATATGGTGGCTTTCCTTCAGCCATTTCTATGGCAGTTATTCCCAGAGACCAGATGTCTGCCACACAGTTGTACCCGATTTCCTGAATCACCTCTGGAGCCATCCAAAATGGTGTTCCTATTACTGTATTACGCTTGGCCATGGTATCCTAAAACAAAAAGAGGAGAGATCAACACTATACATTAAAAATACTTAAAAAGACTCTTCCAATAATTAAAAATGCATTATAGAGAGAAAAAAGCAAAAAACAGTCAAGCTATGATGAAGTAAATCACAAAAGAAATTCAAATGACCAAAAAACATACAGAGGTCAATTATTGAAAAATAAAGATTGACAAAAACATTTTAATAATAAAGCTGACAGCACAGAAAATCAAGCACTGAAATTCAATGTTATTGACATATAAATGGTACAATTTTTTAGCAGGCAAATTACGATACTGATTAAATGTTTCAATGTCTACACCCTTTGATCCAAATCTATTTTTAAAACCTTATCTTAAGGGCCAACATCCCATATGGGCGCCGGTTCTAGTCCTGGCTGCTCCTCTTCCAATCCAGCTCTCTGTTATAGCCTGGGAAAGCAGTAGAGGACGGCCCAAGCACTTGGGCCCCTGCATTCACGTGGGAGACCTGGAAGAAGCTCCTGGCTCCTGGCTCAACATGGCCCAACCCTGACCATTGCAGCCATTTGGGGAGTGAACCAGCAGATGGAAGACCTTTCTCTCTGTCTCTACCTCTGTTTGTAACTCTACCTCTCAAATAAATAGATAAAATCTTTAAAGAAAACAAAACTTTATCTCATGTACAAGTGCCTGAAGACATATGTACAATGATTACAGAAATGTTTATAATTAGAGTGGAGAGGGTAAAAAAAGGAAACAACTCAAATCACCAACAAAATGGGCTAAGTTAAATATAATAAATATCTATACATTGAAATACTATATTAAGGCCGGCGCCGCGGCTCAATAGACTAATCCTCCGCCTTGCGGTGCCGGCACACCAGGTTCTAGTCCCGGTCGGGGCACCGGATTCTGTCCCGGTTGCCCCTCTTCCAGGCCAGCTCTCTGCTATGGCCCGGGAGTGCAGTGGAGGATGGCCCAAGTTTTTGGGTCCTGCACCCGCATGGGAGACCAGGGGAAGCACCTGGCTCCTGGCTTCGGATCAGCACAATGAGCCGGTCGCAGCACGCCAGCCGAGGCGGCCATTGGAGGGTAAACCAACGGCAAAAGGAAGACCTTTCTCTCTGTCTCTCTCTCTCTCTCACTATCCACTCTGCCTATCAAAAAAAAAAAAAAAACCTATATTAAAAGGAAGAAGAGGGGCTGGAGCTGTGGCGTAGTGGGTAAGGCCACCCCCTGCCGTGCTAGCATCCCATATGGTGCCAGTTCGAGTCCTGGCTGCTCCACTTCCAATCCAGCTCTCTACTATGGCCTGGGAAAGCAGTAGAAGATGACCCAAATCTTTGGGCCCCTGCACCCACGTGGGAAGACCAGGAGGAAGCTCCTGGCTCCTGGCTTCAGAATGGCGCAGCTCTGGCTGTTGCAGCCAGTTGAGGAGTGACCCAGTGGATGGCTCTCTCTGCCTTTCTTTCTCTCTGTGTGTAAATAAATAAATTTTTTTTTGACAGGCAGAGTTAGACAGTGAGAGAGAAACAGAGAGAAAGGTCTTCCTTTTTCCGTTGGCTCACCCCCCAAGTGGCCACTACAGCTGGCGAGTTGTGGCCAGCGCACTGCGCCGATCCGAAGCCAGGAGTCAGGTGCTTCCTCCTGGTCTCCCATGCAGGTGCAGGGCCCAAGGACCTGGCCCATCCTCCACTGCACTCCCGGGCCACAGTAGAGAGCTGGCCTGGAAGAGGAGCAACTAGGACAGAACCGGAGCCCCAACCGGGACTAGAACCCGGGGTGCCGGCACCGCAGACAGAGGATTAGCCTAGTGAGCCGCAGTGCCAGCCAATAAATAAATCTTTTTTTACTAAAAAAAAAAAAAGGGAAGAAGATATACACCTTTTTCCAGCATGGAAAAAAAATGCATAAGCTATGGGGCCGGCATTGTGGCATAGTGGGTAAAGCTGCTGCCTGTAGTACCGCCATCCCATATGGACACCAGTTCGAGTTCTGGCTGCTCCACTTCTGATCCAGCTCTCTGCTATGGCCTGGGAAAGCAGTAGAAGATGGCCCAACTCCTTGGGCCCCTGCAGCCATGTGGAAGACCTGGAAGAAACTCCTGGCTCCTGGCTTTGGATCGGCGCAGCTCTGACCATTGCGGCCAATTGGAGAATGAACCAGCGGATAGAAGACTCTCTCTCTGCCTCTCCTTCTCTCTCTGTGTAACTCTGCCTTTCAAATAAATAAATATTAAAAAAATGCATAAGCTATATATTATGAAGCAAAAATTATACACAAAATTATATATGAGGGAGCCTCAAAAAGTTCATGGAAAATGTCTATTATGAAATATATGCATGGATTTCAAAATTTTTTGCACCAAAATAAACTTACCTTTCTTAAAATATTATTTACTTATTTATTTGAGATGCAAATGGCAAGCGAGAGCTGCCATTTGCTGGTCTGCTCCCCAAATACCTGCAATAGCTGGGGCCAGAGCTAGAAGCCAGAAACATAATCCAGGTCTCCCCGCTGAGTGGCAGAAACCCAATCACTTGAGCCATCACTGCTGTCTCCCAGGGTTTGCATTAGCAGGAAGCTGGAGTCAGAAACAGCTGGGCAAAGAACTCAGGCACTCCAATATGGAATGCCAGTGTCTTAACTGCTAGGCTGTCAAATGCCCAGCCGTAAGCTTGTATTTTGATTTTTCCACAAACTCTTTGTAGCCCCCTCATACAGCCCTGCTTTTATAAAACAAAAAGATCATAATAATGATCATGGCAATAATAAAATCACCACCAATAATAAGCCATATTGTTATAACAAAAACACTCTGTAGGGGCCAGCACTGTGGCATAGCAGTAGAGCAGCCACCTACAGTGCCAGCATCCCATACGGTCACTGGTTCAAGTCCCAGCCATTCCATTTCCAATCTAGCTCTCTGCTAACGGCTAGGAAAGCAGTGGAGGATGGCTTAAGTTCTTGAGCCCCTGCGTCTGCCTGGGAGACCTGGAAGAAGCTCCAGGCTCCTGGCTTTGGGACAGCTCAGCTCCAGCCTTTGCGGCCATCTGGGGAGTGAATCAGCAGAAGGAAGACCTCTCTCTATCTCTCTGCCTCTCTGTAACTCTTTCAAATAAATAAGTAAATAAATCTTAAAAAAAAAAAACAACACTCTGTAGTAATACATACTAAACAGTTTTATCTAGAAGACAGAATCACTAAGTGCTTTTACCTTGATTCTATATACATCAGTAACATTCTGACGATTTACATAATCATGTATTACATGTGCAATCAGGAAAAAAATGTAAAAACTGAAAAATTAAAAACGATACATAAAAAGCTTTAGTTTGTGGCTTACAGAATAATACGTGGCAACAGCACACATTACGGTAAATAACTGCTTACACACTTCCCCAGACTGGCAGGCCCACTGAAGGAGCAGGTACAGTTCCTGTGCTTTGGGAAGACAAGGATTTCTAAACAGAACTAAAGATGCCAACGGACTTTCTAGCAGCATCACTCATGTGCTGCTGAGATGTCGGTGAGTCAGGTTAAGCCAGTCAGGAGCAAACATCAGGTAATACTTTTACATCAATCTCACGTTATCAGTTCTATGTGAAAAATTAACATGAGAGCTTATGGCTTAGTTGTTCCTTCACTCTGAAACTGAAATTCGCAGGTGTGTTTTCAAACAAACAAACAAAAAAATTATTTCAAAGACTACAGCCACAAGAACAAAAATAAGAGGGGATTAGAACATACATTATGGGGCCAGCGGGCCAGCACTGTGGCACAGTGGGTAAAGCCACCACCTGCAGTGCCAGCATCCTATATGGGCACCAGTTTGAAACCCAGCTGCTCTACTGATCCGGCTCTCTGCTATGACCTGGAAAAGTAGTAGAAGATGGCCCAACTACGTGGGAGACCCAGAAGAAGCTCCTGGCTCCTGGCTTTGGATTGGCCCAGAAATGGCCCATTGCAGCCATCTGAGGCGTGAACCAGTAGATGGGAAGATTCTCTGCTTCTGCCTCTCTGTAGCTCTGCCTTTCAAATAAATAAATAAATCTTTTTTTAAAAAATGCATTACAAAACTTTGTTAGCTAGAAAGCAAGCAGCCAAGTTTGATTCTCTGAACAGACGTAAAATGGAATTCTCAATCAGGGAGTGGGAAAATGGGAAACAACCTGACTTTAACACCAACTCATTCAAAAGGCTCAGAAACTGGTAGCATCAGACACCCAGAAGAGGGGTAAAAGTAGATTATTTCAGAAAAAATGGACTGAAAAACCATAAGGAGGCAGCTAGAGTCCCACAGCCTCCTTTCAACACCAATCAGCTGAGGCATCCCCTGCCTCATCCGGGCATTAGACTGGAGGTGTATTCTCTGGAGAGTGAAACTGAGATTTCCAGACAGAACAAAGTATGGGTAGCACTGTGAATCAAAATGGTAGGTTGGCAATTATATGCTAAAAGCTGAAATTTCTACCAACACTTCTCAGAAGGCTGCCAACAAGGCCTATAACCACTAGACAAGATATAAGAGAGAAGCCTAAACTTAGCCACACTGGCGATTTCCCAACAAAACGAGCCAGTCAGATCATTCTATAGCATAGTCTCATTTTATTGTAGTCAACAACAACAGCAAAAACTCAGTCTATTCTGCAGCAAAATAACACATTTGCTGTAAATTTTTAAGAGAACCAATAAACAATAAACCAATAAACAAGTTCAGCAGGACACAAGGTAATAGACAAAAAGCAAGTATATCCTATATACTAACAATGAACAATCTGAAAGCAAAGAAAGTAATTCCATTTAAAATAACATGAAAATAGTAAAGCATATAGAGATGAATTAACCAAGTGCAAGACTTGTACATTGCAGATAACACTGTTTAAAGAAATTAAAGATATACATAACAAGATATCTTGGCCTATTTAACATTGTTAAGAAGGCACTATTTTCAAACTGAATTAAGATTCAATGCAATCCATCAAAATCTCAATGGTTTTTTCCACAGAAACTGACAAACTGATTCTAAAATTCATACTGAAATACAAGAGATCAAGAATATCCAAAACAATCTTCAAAGAAAAGAAAAAAAAATCAGAGGACTCACACATAATCAATTTCAAAACTTACTAAAAAGCTACAAAAACAAGACAATGTGGTACTGAAAAAGGAAAGATATATGAGGGTACTTTAGATTTCTTAAAAATGGAATTAAGGGACCAGCATTGTGGCACAGAGGGTTAGGCCACTGCCTGCGACACCAACATCCCTTAAGAGCACTCGTTCAAGTTCTGGCTGCTCCACTTCTAATCCAGCTCCTTGCTAATTTCTCCTGGGAAAGCAGTAGAAGATGGCTGCCGAAGTGCTTGGGCCCCTGCCTCCTAGGTGGGAGACCCAGAGAGAGTTCCAGACTCCTGACTTTGTCCTGGCCAAGCCCTAGCTGTTGCAGCCATCTGGGGAATGAACCAGCAATAGCAGCTCTATTTCTCCTCTCTCTCTGCAACTCTGCCTTTCAAATAAACAAATAAATCTTTGCTAAAAATGGAATTAAATGGTAAGTTTATTTTGGTACAAAAATTCTGAAATTTATGTGTAGTTTTTTTTTTTTTTTTTTTTTTTTTTAAGATTATTTATCTGAAGGGCAGAGTTATAGAGAGGAAAAGGCAGAGGCAGAGAGAGAGACATCTTCCATCTGCTGGTTCACTCCCTAGATGGCCCAATGGTCAGAGCTGGGCCAGACCGAAGCCAGGAGCTAGGAGTTTCATCCAGGTCTCCCATGTGGGTGTAGGGGCCCAAGCACTTGGGCCAGCCTCCACTGTATTCCCAGGCCATTAGCAAGGAGCTGGATCAGAAGTGGAGCTGCCAAGACTCAAACTGGTGCCCAAATAGGATGCCGGCGCCAATGGCTGCTTAACTCACGATGCCACAGCACCAGTACTGTGAGTTTTTTTCAAAATATCAATTTTCCATGAACTTTTAAAAAGACCTCTCATAGAATGGAGTAGAATTAGAAATCCAAATCCAAAAATAAATGCATACATTATGGCCAGTGGGTTTTCAACAAGACTGCCAACACAGTTCAACAAATAATCTTTTTAACAATTTTATTGAGATAACTGGATATCAATATGCAAAAGAATGAAACTGGAGCCTATCTCGCACCACGAAAATCATGACTTTGCATTTGCTAATGATTTATTAGATGACGCCAGAAGCACAGGCAACGAAAGAAAAGAAACTGGACATCACCAAAATTTTTAAATTTTGTGTTTCAAAGAATATCATCAATTTGTTGCAAATTTTAGTGCATACTTGTCCAGAATTGCATCTATTTTTCTTCAAATACTTACAAATATACCAATGTATTTTATAAGAGCACATAATTTGAAACTTCCTGCTTTAAAAAACATAGTTTTGTGGGTTTTTTTTTTTCATTGCACTATCAAGGCAGGAGGGAGAATCAAAAGTCAAACCCTGGATCCAAATGAGGAGAAGGTTCCCAGCATAGTAACTGTGGAATACTATCAGAAGTAAAATGAGATGATGTTGTATCTCTTACAAGGAAAGCAATTTGGATTTAACTTTTCCTCCTTATTTAAACTTACAGTCTATCATTTCTTGTTTCACTTTTTTTTTCTTCAATTTTATTTGCAAGGCAGAAAGAAAAAAAGAGACAGATACAGAGAAGAGATCTTCTATGAACTGGTTCATTCCCCAAGGGCTCACAACAGCCACGACTGGACCAGGCCAAAGCCAGGGCCCCAAACCTTAATCTGGGTCTCCCATGTGGGTGGCAGGAACCCAAGCACTCGAGCCATCATGTGCTGCCTCCCAGGGTGTGCATTAGCAGGAAGCTGGAATGGGAAGCTGGGATTCAAACACAGGTAGTCTGATACATCATGTGGGCAACCCAAACAGCATCTTAACCACTGTGCCAAATGCCTGCCTGCCTATTTAGTTTATTTTTATAAAAATTAAACAAAGTTAAACTATGTGACTTGAACTCCAGGAAAGCACCAGAAATAACCTACTCTTTGGTCACCTTGGTAGAGTCTACAATTTTTTGCTAATACAATACAAGTCAGGTATTATATTTTAAAAATAAGTTCAAAAATCGCTTCTTAGGACAAAGGTATCAATACAAGAAACATTTTTACTTACTGTAAGTTGACCTGCTACACCAAAATCCGCGAGTTTTGCATGTCCCTCTGTATTTAGCAAAATATTTCCTGCCTTGATGTCTCGGTGTATTTTTCTCATAAAATGAAGGTATTCCAATCCTTTAAGAGTTGATTGTAATACTGTAGCTATTTCATCTTCTGTTAACTGGAAAAACAAAAATGAGAAGTTCATATTCTATCAGTTTACATCAACACACTGAGAAAGGAAAAAAAAAACTAGAATCAAATTCCTTTATTTGAATACAGACCTAAGACTTTATTCAACTGCAAATAACAATATCTTCAACACATTGACCACCCTCAAAATTATACTTCCATACCAGATCTTCTCCCCAAACACTAGATTCATGCATTTGCCTACAGTTCATCTCCAACGGCACTCCTAAAAGCATCACAAGCTTAAGAGGTCAAGATCAAATTCATTTCCACCACCCACCACCTCTCCCTCCTACTCACTCAGCCTCCTCTACCCTTTCCCAGTCCTTCACTCAGCAAAAAGCAATTTCGTTCTTTCAGGTGCTCAGGCCAAAACTTGAGGTCATCCTTGTCTCTGCTCTGTCTTCCAAATATTTGCTCTGTAATCATCCCAGCCCAAGTCACCATCAAGTCCTGCCTGACCTATCCTAAAAATCTTTTTCCCCAAAGTCAGTTTTTGTTTTTTTTTTAAGATTTGTTTTATTTATTTGAAAGGTAGGGTTACAGAAAGAGAGAGAGAGAGAGAGAGAGAGGTCTTCTATCTGCTGTTTCACTCCCCAAATGGCTGCTATAGTCAGCACTGGGCAGCATGAAACAAAGAGGCCAGGCACTTTTTCTGAGCCTCCCACGTGAGTACAGGGGGCCAAGAACTTAAACTGTCCTCCACTGCCTTCCCAGGAGAAATTAGCAAGGAGCTGGATTGGAAGTGAAGCAACCAGTGCCCATAAGGGATGCCAGTGCTGCAGGTTGTGGCTTACCCACTATGCCACAATGCCGGCCCCTCCTAATAATCTCTTAACTGGTTCCACTGTTTCTGCTTTTGACCCTCTATCTTTTCCACATGACAACAATACTTACTCTTCCCATCCAACTACTAACCAGGCCCGACCCTGCTTAGCTTCCAAGATCAGACAAGATCGGGCGTGTTCAGGGTAGTATGGCCATAGACCGTACTTACTCTTTTAAAACAGAAACCAGATCTGCTCAAAACCTACCAACGGCTTCCTAAATTGCTCAAAATAAAAGACCGTTATCACCAAGGCCTTAAGTGACCTAGCTCCAAGCTACCTCTCCAACTTTATTTTCTACCCCATTTATTACATTCAGCCACATAGATGCAGGAGCACAAGGACTTGGGCCATCTTCTACTGCTTTCCCAGGCCATAGCATAGAGCTGGATCAGAAGTGGATTAGCCAGGACTTGAACCAGTGTCATGGGATGCTGACACTGCAGGCAGTGGCTTTACCTGCTATGCCACAGTGCTGGCCCCCAGTTTTTGTCTTAAAGTCTATTTTGTCTGATGGGATGATAGCTACTCTGGCTCATTTTTTACTTCATTTGCATGGAGTATCAATTTCAAGTCTTTTGCTTTCAATCTGTGTGTATCTTTGTTGATAAGGGTGTTTCTTGTAGGCAGCATATAGATTGATTTTGTTTTTTAATACATTCAGCCAGTCTGTATCTTTTAATTGGAGAGTTTAGCTCATTTATATTCAAGATTATTATTGAAAAGTAATGACTGGGTTATGCCATTTTTCTGTAAATATTCCTTTTGTTTGTTTTGGATCTCCTCTTTGCTATTATTAAGAGGTTTTGTGCCTTTACAGTCTTTCATGATGCTGATTATTTTTCTCTGTTTCTGTTTGTGGTATATCTTTAAGTATCATTTGTAAGTATCACTGAGTGCTGACAAATTATTTCAATTTTGTTTGTCTTGGAAGGTCTTTATTTCACAGAGGAATAACCAAACAGGATTACTTCGAGCTAAGAAGCTTCTGCACAGCAAAGGAATCACTTGACAAAGTGAAGCAGCAACCAACACAGTGGGAGAAAATATTTGCAAACTATGCATTTGCTAAAGGATTAAAATCCAGAATATATAAGGAGCTCAAGAAATTCACAACAAACAACTAGTAGAATGGGCAAGGACTGAACAGGCAAATCTATCTTCAGATCTGTTTTATTGTTGAAGACAAAGTACGGAGGGGGGGGGGGGGCCTTATCTGCTGGTTCACCACCCAGATGGCCACAATGGCTAGAGCTGACTAATCCGAAGCCAGGAGCCAGGAGCTTCATCCAGGTCTCCCATGTGGATGCAGGAGCCCAAGCACCTGGGCCATCTTCCACTGCTTTCCCAGGTGTGTTAGCAGGAAACTGGATCAGAAGTAGAGCAGCTAGGACCTGAACTGGTGACCATATGGGATTCCAGCATGGCAAGCTGGGGCTTTAACCCGCTGTGTCACAGCATTGTTCCCGAACAGGCATTTTTCTAGGATGAAATACAAAGGGTCAGGGGCCGGTGCTGTGGCACAGCGGGTAAAGCCGCCACCTGCAGTGCTGGCACTCCTTGTGGCCGCCAATTCGAGTCCCGGCTACTCCACTTCCGATTCAGCTCTCTGCTATGGCCTGGGAAAGCAACAGAAGATCGCCCAATTCCTGGGGTCCTGCACCCATGTAGGAGACCCAGAAGAAAGCTCCTAGCTCCTGGCTTGGGATTGGCACAGCTCTGGCTGTTGCAGCCATCTGGGAAGTGAACCAGCGGATGGAAGACCCCCTCCCCCCCCGCCTCTCTGTAACTCTGTCTTTCAAATAAATAAATCAATCTTAAAAAAAAATACAAATGACCAACAAACACATGAAAAAATGCTCAGGATCACTAGCCATCAAAGAAATACAAATACTAACCATAATGAGGGGCCGGTATTGTAGCATAGCAGGTAAAGCTGCTGCCTGCAATGCCAGCATCCAATATGGGTGCCAGTTCAAGTCCAGCTGCTCCACTTCCAATCCAGCTTCCTAGGAAATGCTAATGCACCTGGGAAAGCAGCAGAAAATGACCTAAATGCATGGGCCTCTGCACCTACATTAGAGACCCAGAAGAAACTCCTGGCTGTCCCAGCTTTGGCCATTGTGGCCATCTGGAGAGTAAACCAGTGGATGGAAGATCTCTTCCTCTCCATCTCTCTCTGTGTAATTCCTTCAAATAAATAAATAAATATTAAAAAAATAAGTAGCCCACCAAGCACTCTCTACCATTTCACTACCTCTTCATCTTATACATTAATCATTTTCTTCACGGTTTTTACCACTACCTGCCATTTCTTTTCTAGTTAACATTAATTGTTTTTTGTTGGCCTAGTGGAAAGTACACTACTGTAAGAGCAATGTTGTCATCTGTTTTGCTACTGGATCTCTAAGACCTATAGCAGTGTTCTAGAAATATTTACTGAATAAATAAACAGCTTAAGCAATTGAACTGGAATTAGAAATTATGACTTCTAGGTCTTATTCCAGCAAATAATATTACTTATTACACAGTAAGGTAAATAGTCTTTCATAATGGGATTACTCTCTGATTAACAGGAAGCAGAGGCAGTTAACTTGTGAACATGGTAGGTGGATGAAGAAATCCAAACTAAAGTATTTAAAATTCATGCCCTAACTAATATTTCATAGTTATTTTTTTCCCAGTAAGAAAAGTATGCTAAAAACCACTGGATTGATCTGGTGTAAAACTGCTACCTTTAGAAGACATGAGAGAGTAATGAGGAAGAAACAATAATAGAAAATAAGAAATCTGACAGTTATTTGTCTAGATACAGTAGCAAGAAAATACACACAAATAAAAGGCTAAAGCAAAAAAATGGTGAAAGAGACTTGCTCAGCTGCAGCTTCTACCAGGTAAACTTACCGTTTTATTTCGTAATCTAATGATATCAGATACAGAGCCAGCTCCACAGTACTCCATAACGATCCATAAGTCTGTGTTTTTAAAATAACTTCCATAATATTTGACTACATGAGGGCTGGAGACAAAGACAATGTAAATTAGTGAAATAGCCTTCAAACATCTCCAGTAATCATATTACTAAATACGTTAAAATTATTTCATCTCAAAAGATCAGTTTTCATAGTTGAGTATGGGCAACCTCCTGATAAATGTAAATTATTATCACTTTTCTGAAGACTAATATAAGACAAAAGTACAAACAATGGGGAGATGCTTTAACCAGCATTTAAATCTCCAATTTATCCTCAAAAAAGTAAAAATGTTCAGAAAAAGTTATCTTCATAGTACTGTTAATAAAAATGAAAATTTGGGGCCAGCACTGTGGCACAGTAAGCTAAGCCTCCGCCTGCAGCACCAGCATCCCATATGGATGCTGGTTTGTGCCTCAGCTGTTCCTCTTCCAATCCAGCTCTCTACTTATGGCCTGGGAAAGCAATGGAAGATGGCCCAAGTACTTGGGCCCCTGCACCCATGTAGGACACCTGGAAGAAACTCCTGCCTTCAAATCAGTCCAACTCTAGCCACTGTGGCCATCTGGGGAGTGTACCAGCGAAAGGAAGTCTCTTCCTCTCACTGTCTGTAATTCTGCCTCAAATAAATAAATAAATAAATCTTTTTAAAAAAAGAAAATTTAGAGTCTATCTAAAGAACAATCTTCCATTAGGGAGCTTAAGAAATAATGATGTACCCATATAATGAAACATCATGAGTCCATGAAAAATGACACAGAGGAATATTTGAAAATGAGAAAATATTCTATATGTTTAAAAAAAAAAGCAGGCTGCAAAATAGTTAGTAGAACTCCAAAATAAGATACAGAAGAATATATCAAACAGTATTTAACAATGATTTTTCAAAAGGTAACTTTCTTTTCATTTTCATTTTTCTAAGAAGTCATACAAATTTTGTAGTAAGAAAAAGCACACTACAATCTACAGAAAAAATATCCAGGTTCAAATCTGGAATCTTAGGTCTCATGCTTGAGAACAAATATTAAACAAGAAATTTCACAGAAAAGTCAAACACACCATTAAAATAATCTGCCCTCTGAGAGCCATCAGCTGTATCTGGCAGGATTATCGGGGTCAAACAGAGTTACTAATAACCAAAGGTCCTAAAACCAACTTGGTTTCATTAATTCTCAGAATTACAAATGCCTGGGGCCAGCACTGTCGCGTAGCAGTTAAAGCTGCCCCTGCAGTGCTGGCATCCTATATGGACACCAGTTCAAGTCCCAGCTGCTCCACTTCTGATCCAGCTCTCTGTTATGACCTGGGAAAGCAGCAGCAGATCGCCCAAGTGTTTGGGCCCCTGCACCTGCATAGGAGACCTGGAAGAAGCTCTAGGCTCCTGGTTTCAGATCAACACAACTCTGGATGTTGTGGCCATTCGGGGTGTGAACCACTGGATGGAAGACCTCTCTCTTCCTCTGCCTCTCTGTAACTCTGCCTTTCAAATAAACAATTAAATCTTTAAAAAAAAAATTACAAATGCCCTTCATCCTTGGGAAGCATGCCAATGATAAGGACAGCCAATAAAACAAAACAAAAACAAAATCACAATGAGTACTAATGAAGAAATGAGGAAAAAAATCTCCTAAGGTACAGATCACATGTGCTTTCCCTCCCCTAGATTCCTACAAAATTTACTGCCTCTATGAGGCAATCAATGCCCATGTATTACTGTGAGGATATGTTCTACCAGGTTCTACTGCTGACCAGATTTTATGTGCAAGTATTTGCCTGCCCCATCCAAATATTCCATAAACTCCCAAGCACATGGACTCAACCCTGTATTTCTTGGTATTCCTCAGAGTGCCTAGCATAAAACAGACTCTTCAAAACCTTTTTTCTTTAGAGAGAAATTTCTACACCCAGTTTGGAACACAGCTCCTGTATAGTCTCAGTCCCAGCTGGCCAACTACAAAGAGCTACAATGTTTCTTATAAAGGAATACAAGGAAAATTGCTGCTCCAACCTTGTTAATCCATTCAAGAAAAACAGGGGTGTTATCTAATAGGCAGCAACCACAAAAACAGCCAAACAGAAGGGCAGGCAGGGAGAAGAGAAACGGCCGCATTCAGATCAAACCTGGGAGCCTTAAGGACTCCTGGACAAGCTCCCTGAGGGGTCACTCCACTTGTCATGATGGTGAAGTTTTACACACCGGAGGCATTAAGAAGATCTGCTGACCAAAAAGGCGTCTGAAGAACGAATACTGCTCCCAGTTCAAGACTTTCTTACTTCCCCCTTCCAACTGCCTATAGCTGGCACTGCCCAACTCTGTTTCTCTCAAATCTAAACAGTGCTAGGGAAGCCTGCTCCATTACAGCGACCAACCCATGTTGTCACGGAATTTCAGAGCAAACCACACGCTTTTCTGTGGTTGCCTTTTGGCCTGACTTCCTGCTTACAGCATCTGACAAATCTTAGTTCCTCAAAAATAAAATACTTAACTATTCTTAGATTGGATCATTTGTTTTCTTGTGAAAGAATAGTAATAGATAAATAAGTGTTCTCTTTTCATAGGCGTATTTGATATTTTAAGATTTCTAGAGCTAAAAAGTGTTTGAATTATTTCTTAGCTGCCCACAGAAATGTTTTCTCAATAGGAAGTAACAGAGATCATAATCAAGGAAGAAGAAAAAAAAGCGGCACATTCTGCCCCTCTTCCTGGTATCTGTGAGGGCATGGGGGTGGGTGGGAAGGGGGCAGGGAGGGACTATGCAGAAATAGCAGCTTTAATTCTTTAGCTGCAAAAACATACAAACTTTTTCATCCTATTTTTCTGAAAGGAATATACATTCTGATTTCACTGAGGTCTCTCTTTTGCAAAATATCTAAGTAAATGAGTCTCTAGGTGTCAAGCTCTAAATCACGGCAAAGTCAAAGCCACGTTCTTTCCAAAGGAACCCATTGCCTTTACCTGTCACATTGCTGCATTATGGAGATTTCTTTGATTATCTCCTGAAGATCTGATTCTACAGGAACTTGTTTAATAGCCACAATCTGTCCGGTCTCTTTATGAATAGCTTTATACACGCTGCCATAGGACCTACAGTCGAAGGAAGGAGAATATTTATAAAAGCAGAAGAAGCCAAGAGATAAAAAGTAGTAAAACACAAGCAACTCAAAGCCCTAATTTTATCCCTAAATGCCTGAGATACACACACTTAGCTACACTTGTAAAACTGAGATAGCTAAAGTACTTCAGAGGAAAAAAACTGCCAAGAGAAATACCACAAAATGGAGTGTTAAATACTTCACGTCTAAACTTTAGCTAATGACTTGTGAAATAATAATTACAGTTAAGTGCCAGGTGTCTGCTAGAAACTGCATCATCTTGGGCTGATGCTGTGGCATGGCGGGTTTCGCCACCTGCAGTGTCAGAATCCCATATGGTCGCGGGTTCAAGTCCTGGCTGCTCCACTTCTGATTCAGCTCTCTGCTGTGGCCTGGGAAAGAAGTAGAAGATGGCCCAAGTGCTTGGGCCCCTGCACCCACACAGGAGACCCAGAAGAAGCACCTGGCTTCTGGCTTTGGATCTGTGAGCTCCGGCCATTGCAGCCATCTAGGGAGTGAACCAGTGGAAAGAAGACTTCTCTCTCTTCTCTCTGCCTCTGCCTCTCTGTAACTCTTTCAAGTAAAATAAATAAATCTTATAAAAAAGAAAAAGAAACTACATCATCTCAGTTCATCCTTACCCAAAAAAGGGAAAAAAAAAAAAAAGAAAGAAAGAAAAAAAGATGAAGAAGGTTCCTATTTTATAGAGAGGTTACATGATTTGCCCAAGGTTACATAAGTGAGAAGTGGTCAGTCCAGAATTTGAACCCACAGATCTGAGCACACTGGTGTGTTCACATCTACACTGAGGTACCACATAGAAGTAGAGGTCTTTGTTTTCTTGTATTCATTTTAGTATCTTCATTCATTCTTGTCTTTCTTCTTTTTATTTGTAATAATGCTTAAGATATTATGAAAACTGTTTTTGTATGAGGTGAACAGGGCATATACAAATTATTTTATCTCTGTTCCACCTTTCCTTAAGAGCTTATTATCAAAATAATAAATAATTGCAGTTATCCACTTTATTTGGGGGTTATAAAAACATCAGATGGGGTCGCCGCCGCAGCATAGGTGAAGCCTCTGCCTGCAGTGTGGCATCCCCTATATGAATGTCGGTTCAAGTCCCAGTTGCTCTACTTCCAATTCAGCTCCCTGCTGATGTGCCTGGGAAAAGCAGAGGAAGATGGCCCAAATCCTTGGGCCCCTGCACCCACGTGGGAGACCCAGAAGATCCAGGCTCCAGATTTCGGCATGGCCCAGCCCTAGCTTTTGCAGCCATTTGGGGAGTGAACTAGTGAATGGAAGATCTCTCTCTCTCTCCTTCTCTCTCTCTATCTCTGCCTTTCAAATAAATAAATAACATTATATGTAAAATCTAAATAGGTTTTGAGTCCTATTGTGACTCCATTATCTATCATTTACAAACACATTATTAACTTTTTGTGCCTCAAATTGTTCATAAGTAAAATGACAAATACAAACTATAAGACAGCTATGCTCATCAAATCAGACACTATCATCACCTACCCAGATTACATTTTCACTGGAATCCAGGCTGTCAGTGCAATAATACCAAGTATACTCTTTTGGGAAAGCAGCAGAAAATGGCCCAAATATTTGGAATCCTGTTACTCACATGGGAGACCAGATGGAGTTCCATTATCTTGGCTTTAGCTTGGCTCAATCCTGGCCATTGTGGCCATTTAGGCAGTGAACCAGTGGATGGAAAATATGTGTTCTCTCCCTCTCCCCTCTATAATTCTTTCAAATAAATTAATCTTTAAAAAATTGCTGGGCTGGTGCCATGGCTTACTTGGCTAATCCTCCACCTACGGCGCTGACACCCTGGGTTCTAGTCCCAGTTGGGGGGCCAGATTCTGTCCCGGTTGCTCCTCTTCCAGGCCAGCTCTCTGCTGTGGCCCGGGAGGCAGTGGAGGATGGCCCAAGTGCTTGGGCCCTGCACCCGCATGGGAGACCAGGAGGAAGCACCTGGCTCCTGGTCTCGGATCAGTGCAGCACGCCGGCCATAGCAGCCATTTTGGGGGTGAACCAATGGAAGGAAGACCTTTCTCTCTGTCTCTCTCTCTCTCACTAACTCTGCCTGTCAAAAATAAAAAAAATAAAAAACTTAAAAAAATTGCTTGATTATTAAAGTAACAAAACTTTTTATTTAAAGATTTTAGTTATTTATTTGAAAGTCACAGTTACACAGAGAGAGGAAAGGCAGACAGAGTTTTCCATCTGATGGTTCACTCCCCAACTGACCCCAAAAGCCAGAGCTGAGCCGGTCTGAAGCCAGGAGCCAGGAGCTTTTTCCAGGTCTCCCACGTGGGTACAGGGGCCCAAGGACTGGTGCGAGTCTCTGTTGCTCCACTTACGGTCCAGCTCTCTGCTTTGGCCTGAGAAAGTAGAAGATGGGCCAAGTCCTCAGGCCCCTGCACCCGCGTGGGAGATCCAGAAGAAGCTCCTGGCTCCTGGCTTTGGATCAGCTCAGCTCTGGCCATTGCAGCCAAATGGGGATTGAACCAGTGGATGGAAGACCTCTCTCTCTCTCTGCCTCTCCTTTCTCTGTGCAAGTAACTCTTTCAAATAAATAAATCTAAAACAAACAAACAAACAAACAAAAAACACCTCTCCCCCTCTCCGTTTCCAGAAGAGCAAAAGGAACAAATTTTTTAAAAAAAAGTCTAAACAGAACACATTAAAACAAACAAAAAAACCTTCCATTCCATTGGAATCCCTTATATTTGCAAAACTAGTGTACTGTCGCTTAAATATGGCACCAAATACTTCTTTGACAGAGAAAAGCGACTGCTGATGATGTGTGGAAGACCTAATCACTATTCCTTCTTTGCTAAAACAATCCTGATCTGTTAGCGTGGCAATGTTCTTCGCTGTAATGGATAAATCATGTTAATCCAAGCCAGCACAGGAATTTTTTTCCATTCTGTGAGTTCTGGCCAATGAATTTTGAGAATTTTGCCAAAGGGTTTCTAAGAAAGATCTTCCCTGCTGAGACAAGACCTGCCACCTGCCAATTCTCTTCTTGCGTTGGCTACTGTCATGTGAGGGGTGGTCCTTAAAACTAATAACAGCTATCTTGAACTCCTGAGAACTGTCCAGATGCCAACCTTTATCACGTCAATTAACTACTCCTGGAATCCCTTACTCCCAGGTTACTTAGTTATTAAATGCTTTTTGATTAGCCACTGTCAGTTGGGTTATCCCAACCAAAGGCATTCTTGATGAACCAGATCCCATGTTTGTCAACCTATTTATTTACACCTTCACTCTGGAAAGACACTTTTGCCATATAGAATTCTTTACCAATAGTTTGCCCTGAGCACTTTCTCTGCAGTCTTCCAGAATACACTTTGCTGAGAAGTCTGCGTTCATTGATCGTCATTTTTCATAGGTAGTATCTCTCCAAAGCTTTAAAGATTTCCTCTTGATTCTTAATATCCTACAATCTTATGCTGAGTTGATTTATTTGGCACTTTATAAGGTCTTCAACCTGAAGATTTGTGTCTTTCTTCAAGAATGGAAAGTTCTCATCACTATTTCTTCAACTATTTCACCTCTTTATCCCTTTCCATAGCTCCTAGAATTCCTACTAAACCTATATGGCACCTTCATGTTGTCTTCAGGGTTTCCAACATTGTAACCCTCTGTTCTGCATGCTATGATAGGCGCCTTTTGTGATCAGTCTCATTTCCTTCAATTAACAAAATCTTTTCAGGTAACTAGCTCACTGCTTCCCCAATTATTAGACATTTAAAACTTCAATTATTATAGTTTTCATTGTCAAGATTCTCAATCTTTAATTTTGTACTGGATTAACTGTTCATGTTAATAATCTTGTAATCATTCAAGGATGTTATTACAAGTATATTCAAAGTCTTGACAGATTGTTCCATTATTTCTATTTCTTTAGTTGTGCATTCCTATCTGTTAGATCTGCTGATTATCTCTTGACAGCGGATATCTCTGTATGATTTTATTTCATCTTGAATGATTTTCTTCTATACAATACTGGCAGGTGGTTTCTGGTTTCTTCAGCCCACTCATCTGGGCCGTACAACTTTAAACAGGTCTTACAATAGAAATGTGGGAACTGTGGAGATGGGGTTGCCCTTCAAGATACTATACCTGAATACAGTACAGGCCCAGTTTCTATTGTCAGATCTGTATCTTTGCTTTTTCTTCACAAGCAAATAGCACTTTCTAGTGTAATCGGCAAACTTACTTTAGCATGAGTTTACAGATGAGGAGGCTGGTCTCAGCCCACAACTTCATGCAGGAAGTCCAGTGCAATCTCCTAGTAAGTATAGGGCATGCTTTTCCTTCCTCTCATTATTATGCAACCTTTTCTTTCCCTATCCATAGTGGGCTTTGAATCCTTACATTTAAAACAATTAATTTTCAGTATAATTATGAGAATGGAGAGATCTCTGCCTGGGATCACCCAGAAATCTTGACCAAAATAGTCTTCATACCTCTCCTATGCTACCTTGATAGCAAAGAAAACACCAATAGTTCATATGAACAACTAAGACTCATGATTCTACATCTTGCATTTATGATGATTTGTGGAGGAGATAAAAGAATTCATTCAGCTCTTCTTCAAGCTCTTTTATAAATAAGTACCTTTAGACCTGATTCTCTAGAACAAAAACTAAATGATTCAGTGAATTTTAACTGGCAAAAAATAAATTTGATGAAGTAGGTGTTTTACACAAGCCATACAAGGCAAGGATCAATGCAGAATCAATGTAGGCTAATGGAAATAATACAGTATTTGAGGCCAAACTAATCTAGTGCAAGTCTTAATATCATCACTCGTTAGCTATGAAACCATAGGACCTCTTTCTCTGTCTCTGCCTCTCTCTGTAACTCTGTCTTTCAAATAAAATAAAATAAAATAAAATAAAATAAAATAAAATAAAATAAAATAAAATAAAGGAAGAAAGGAAGGAAGGAAGGAAGGAAGGAAGGAAGGAAGGAAGGAAGGAAGGAAGGAAGGAAGGAAGGAGGGAAGGAAGGAGGGAAGGAAGGAGGGAAGGAAGGAGGGAAGGAAGGAGGGAAGGAGGGAAGGAAGGAAGGAAACGAAATTACGGGCAAGCATCCTATGCCAAAAACTGAAATATGTCAATGTGTAAAAGGTACTTATGGGGCCGCCGCTATGGCGTACTGGGTAAAGCCACTGCCTGTAGTGCCAGCATCCCATATGGGTGCCAGTTCTAGTCCCGGCTGCTCCACTCATGATCCAGCTCTCTGCTATGGTCTGGAAGAGCAGCAGAAGATGGCCCAAGTCCTTGGGCCCCTGCAGCCTTGTGGGAGACCCAGAAGAAGCTTCTGGCTTCTGGCTTCGGATTGGCGCAGCTCCAGCCGTTGCAGCCGTCTGGGGAGTGAACCAGCGGATAGAAGACCTCTCTCTCTCTCTGCCTCTCCTTCTCTCTTTGTGTAACTCTTTCAAATTAATAAATAAATCTTTAAAAAAAGAAAAAAGGTACATATATAATATAAAGAAAAAGGTGGTAGGCTCCAGTGCCAAACATTTTCCAAGTGCTCTGCATTCATCTGGGTTTAGAGTTTTGGCTTACTCCACCACAGATACACACAATTCCTCAAAACCCAGAACGAACATATCTCCAGAAAAGTTCTTTAGCCAGAGCACATTTCAAGACGTAGGTCAGTGAGAGTGCACAAGCCATTCATTCTCCATATCAACTTAAGGATGGCATAGCAGTTGTGTTTGACAGGAGGTGCAGCTAGGATCTTCAGGATACTTCTAGTTACATGATGCTTGCTCAGGTTTGTTCTGTAAAGGTGACAAAAATCCAAGCTCTGTGCTATCATTTAAAAGAGCAATACGGTGATAGCAAGAGAAAAAAGGCCTGAGGCTGTTACTGTTTTCTTCCTGGTGATGTCACAGGGAAATCTCTGAGTTCCTTGAAGACATCCAGAGATCTAAAACACAATTAAAAAAAATAATAATAATTAGCTTAGTTTTTTCTTACATTATAATCCTCATATATTTTCTATTGGTATCTTTTGATATTTCCCAAACCCAATCACTCCAGTCACCTTAAGAAAACCTAATTATATTTTAAGACTTAAGATTTAGAACTGATTTAACATGAGATCTGAAAACACTCCATTTGATATACTTAAAATAATAACAGTTGGAACTTAATGAACACTATGTCACAAGCATGGTCTTTAGTACTTTATTTCTATTATTCCAAGAAATTCTTACAGCAATTCAATGAAGTAGACACTATTTGTATCCCCACTTTATGGGTGAGAATCTGAGGCTTCAAAATATGAATCAATTTGCTCAAGTCTACTTGTTCATTATAACTAATAAGAGTAGAGCAAGGATTTAATTCAAGTCTGTATGACTGCAGAATGTATATTCTTATTACTGTAATATACTTTCATTAAAATGAAATGAATTTCATTAAAAATGAATGTACTTTCATAAAAAAATTATCTAGTCTACCAGTCTTTAGCTTATCACAAGTATATAACTTACAACTGCTCTAAGGTTAAGGGGCTCATTGCCTCAAGGAAAAAGATGTCAGGCTAAGACTGAAAATGGCAGGCAAGAGATGTAGTGGAACCGTCACTTCTCCATACCTTTAATGATGTCAGTCAACTGCAGTCTTCAGATTCATCTTGGACTTGGCCTGGCAGCACAGCTGGTGTCATCTCTCTCTTGCCCTCTCTGCTTGATTTCTTGCTTGATTTCAAAGAGCATTTTTTTTCAACTTACAAGAAGATTATTAACTAAGGCTTTTCAATGACAAACTATTACACGTATTCCAGGATTGGGTTTAACATAACTGTAGATCTGTACTAAGCACAAATAACACCAAAACTAAAATAACCAAGTAACACATTAAGAACTGATTTTAAAGAACATACAAACATTAAAAGTGTATTTTTAAAAGTTAACACGAGTACGTCAGATATTCTCTTGAACCAGACATACTCCCAAGGGATTAAGAATACACACACACACACACACACACACACACACACAGGTACACACACATGATTCTTTACATATGTATAAACTCTCTCTCTGAAAAATACACAAAAAACTACAACACTGGTTGCTTCCAGGGAGCTAAGACAGAAATGCAGGGGTCAGTTTTTTTTTAATTGTAGGCACTTTTATGCTTTTTGACTTATTGAATAATATGAATCTAGTATTCAAAAATTAACAATAAAATCTTAAGAAAGGGGGTCCCTACTGTTTTAGTGTCCTGGTTATTAAATAAGAAAAAATAAATACACAGGATTTAATAAATTAAAATGATATGTAAAAATGCAAAAAATTATCATGTAACCCTTATTGTAACATTAAAGTCAAAGATGACAACTATCTATTATTAAATATTATTTCCACAGTATTTGATAAATTCATTCATATGTCTATATTTCAGAAAGTCCACTGGTTCTAAGCCTGGAATTCCAGATCTCCTAATAAGCTGAAAAGGTAATTACATTCCTTAATTTATTTCCTGCATTTCACAAAGCTACAATAACTAAAATGCTAAATTCTATTTTTTTATTGAAACTAGTTACTGCACATTGGTCAGAAGCTATAAGCAGGGACAAGCATTGTGGCATAGCACGTAAAGCCACAACTGAGATGCCAGAATCCCATATGAGTGCTGGTTCAAGTCCTAGCTACTCCACTCCAATCCAGCTAATGTGCCTAGGAAAACAGTGGAAGATGGCTGAAGTCCTTGGACTCCTGCCATCTCCAAGGGAAACCCAGAAGAAGCTCCTGGCTCCTGGCTTCAGACTGGCCCAGCTCTGGCTATTGTGGCCATTTGGGGGGTTAAGATTCTCTCTTTCTTTCTCTTTTCTGTCTCTGCTTCTTTCTCTGTAAAACTCTGCCTTTCAAATAAATAAATTAATATTTTTATTAAAAGCTATGAGCAGCAAATAAAAGTACATCTGATTAGAAAAACTTTTTGAATGAATTATACTCTAATAAATGCTATTAAACAATTAAAATCATACAAACTATAAAATCTACAAGAAAGAAAACAGATGTCCTTGGCATTATAGACTGGGAATCATTAGATCTGACCACAACAGTGACTGGGGTAAAGGGGAAAGGGCATTTCAAGAAGTACAGTACCTCCTACCCTGCCTGGAGCCACAGTAACAAGGATCATTGACATGACAAAGGTTCATATTCCCCTGGCCTGGGATAGGAAAAACACTGGGATCCACTGGTCTATCTCCGTTTTCTCTACACTCACCCTTCTCCAAGTTTCTCCAAGACATCAAATACTTCTTCTGGTTGTTTGGTTAAACTGTCTTCATCCAACTTTTTCAGCTGCCTGTGAATAAAGAAAATATAAACACAAGATACACTTTACTTGCTAGGAACTAGAACAGAAAATACTTTATTTTGCAATTAGTAGTCTAGGAATTTCTCTACAAAGTCTCACTAGTAAATAAAAGCAAAAGCAAACTAAGAAATTTCTAGGGGACTCTGAAGGACTGCTCTGTGGAGGGATTCCACTTGTTCTGGGTTACCACGATAAGCAAAATCAGGACCAGAAGGTGGAGAGCTGCCAAGAGCCAGATTTTACTCCAACACATATAAGAATTTTCTAACAATAAAAGTTGTCCTACAATGCTTTAGGTTGCCTTAAGAGGTCCTTAGTTCCCCATTGTTGGAAAAATTAAAACCAAAAATTTGTCATGTGGCTGAAATGCTGCAGAATGGTTTCAAGCATTAGCTATATTCTTTTTCAAAGATTTATTTCTTTATTTATTTGAAGGGCAGAGTAAGAGTGAGAGAGAGACAGAGGTCATCCATCTGCTGGTTCACTCCTCAAATGGCTGCAATGGCCAGGGCTGGACTAGGCTGAAGCCAGGAGCTTCATCGAGGTCTCTCACGTGGGTTCAGGGGTCCAAGCCCTTGGGTCACCTTCTGCTGCTTTCCCAGGCACATTAGCAGAGAGCTGGACTGGAAGTAGAGCAGCTGGGACTTAAACGGATGCCCACATGGGATGCCATCATTGCAGAGCAGCTTAACCCATTATGTCACAATGCTGGCCCAAGCTATATTCTTTAAAATCCACTTGAATATTGGGATTCCATGAATTAAAACAACTATTCTCTTCAGAAAACATATTTAGTGTAAAGTTAACTATGAATTAAGACTGGTGGTCAAAGAAAACAGATCATCTTTGTTTCCTATTAGCAAAGTTTGGGTAATTCTGTCAAAGTACAAATTCTATAGGTATCATCAAAACAGCAAGTAGAAAGTATATGTTTAGACTTGATCAAACATGAAAGATAACTAGGCAATTGGGAATTTCAATCTCACAAAGACTCTCCCAAGAGCAGATATGAACCTTGACTTATCCCAAAAATCAAAGGTGCATGGCTGTTCGCAACTTCCAGATAGGTCAGATTTTTCTGACTATGCCAGACAACTGTAACATCAGATGTTATAAATTAACATTTGTTAAAACTCTTGAAATTATTAACAGGCTTGAAGTGCTTTGCTAAGGAGTGTGTGTGTGTGTGTGTGTGTGTAACAGCTACACAATGACTTCCTGAAACTACAAAGGACAACAAAGAAAAGAAAGGTCAGGAAATGGTGAAATATGGAAGTAGTCACACTGGAGATTTCTTGGCATAGAAAAAGGTTTAAACTATTTAGACAATACTAATTCTTATAAGACTTGAATTTAAAAACACACACAAATATGTACTTTCCTAAAGAAAACAGAGAAATCAGAAAAAAAAAAGCCTTTGACCACATCAACTGTAGCTACCAAAAAACACTGATCTCAAAAGGAAAATCTACCTAACTTCACAAATATCAAAGACTGTATGCTAGAGAACAGAACTGTTCAAAATCAGTAACCAACTTAACATGAATATTAACTGAATAAAATGACCACATTGACCTTTGAAAATCAAAAGGTCCTAAAAATTAAATTCCAGTGACATCATAAAAACTCCCAGATTCAAAACAAAAAAGATTGAAATGAAACTTCTTAAACTTCAGAACTGAAATTTCTGCGAAATCAGAAGTCAGAAAGGGCATCTCATATGCCAGGGGTTTTTTGTTTTGTTTTGTTTTTTTCTTTTTTGGTAAAGCCCTACATTTTAACTGTGTAAACAATGGACGATACCTCATTTCTCAAGCATAATTAAAGTTTTATAAACAGCTTATATAAAGGAAGATCAAATGTGTTTCTTTTAAGCATTTACTCTTTGTGGTTTACAGAAAGCAAAACTCACTGCTTCAGCTACTCTAGAGACCACAGCACAACAAAGGAAACTGCTACTGCCGTGAGAGCCGGCTGCAGGCCTCCGATAACTTTGACGAACTTCATATGCCTGCTCGGATGCTTCTTTGGAACAATCTAAACGGGTTTTTGTTTGGTTTTGATCTGGAGTTATTTAAAACAATATAAACTTAAGAGAACCTTCCATCTCTGGTGACTGACAACCAAGAGGCAGTCAAAAAATACTTACTGGGGATTAACGAATGTAATGATGGTAATCAAAATGTTTATCATCAACCTCTGTGAGTTAGCAAAATCAAACAGAATTTCATTTTGTAATCCAGTACACCTGAATTATCAGCAAATAAAATTTTTATGGAAAATCTTTTGAGAAATGACTCTTAATGACATTGTATAACATGAGTCTTCACAGAACAACCACTGTTACCAAAACAAACTGACTTGCTGCTGCTGCTCTCTCAGATGCGACTTCCCAACATCCTATGCAGTTTCAGGGCTTGTTCTTAATTGAACAGGCCTGGCCAATACAGCACTCACAGACCAGACCTGAGAGATGCTTCTCTCCCAACTCAGATGGCCATGACGACAGCCAGCATCCCAGGAATGCACACTACACCTTCCCCCACACCATTACCTAATGGCAATACACTTTTTACAAATCATCAGTGCCTAGGTAAGAAACAAATTTATCATCATCCACTTAGCCACACAGAAATGTCAAACTCATGAACACAAAGTATATTTCCTGTATCCAGGTTGTTAGAAACACACGCCATCCGAATCTCTGTAAAGACACTTATATGATGGCATTTATCAAGTAGTCACTCAGGCGTGGTTAATTCTCAAATCCCTTCTTCCACCTCGGAACTGCCATAAGATTCAATTTATTTATGTATGTCCATCCTTCCTTCCACACAGAATCTGATATGGGTTATAAAAGAAATAAAGACAAATTGATGAAATAAAATTAACAAAACTGAAACTGTGTTCCCCTACATCCCAAATCATGTTTTAAGTCCTAACTCCCAGTACTTCAAAATGTGACTATGTATAGAGAAAGGGCTTTTAAAGATACCATTATGGTTAAATGAGGTTAAATGGGCAGGCCCTAATCCAACATGAGGGTACTTCAAAAAATTCATGAATAATGAAACTAAAAGATAAGTCTATTGTGGTGCAAAAACATTGAGCCCCAAGCAGTTCTTCCCACAAGATTTCTTAAGTATCCTTGTATAATCCGTTTCCTTGTAAGACAAGACCAGATCACAGCAGCAGAGGGAAGACCACGTGAAGACACAGGGAGGAGACAGTCATCTGCAAGTCAAAGATGGAGACCTCAAAAGAAACCACCCAAGGCTGGCACTAAGGCCACCTGTGACACCAGCATCCCATGTGGGCTCTGGTCCACGTCCCTGCTATTCCACTTCCGATTCAGCTCCCTGCTAATGGCCAGGGAAAAGCAGCAGAGGGTGATACAAGTATATGGGCCCCGAACACCCATGTGGGAGACCTGGATTGAGCTCCTGGCTCCTGGCTTCAGCCTGGTCTTACCCTGGCTGTTGCAGCCATCTGGGGAGTGAACCAGCAGATAGACGACTGATCAAGATATCTCTCTCTCTCTCCCTGTAACTCTTTCAAATAAAATAAATTAATTAAAAAAAAAAAAGAAACCATCTTGCCAAAACCTTGACTTCAGAGTTCTAGCCTCCAGAACTATGAGAAAATAACTTTCTGCTGCTTAAAACAGCTCGTCCATGATACCTCATAAAAGGCAGTCCTAAAAAACTAAACAAAAATCTATTAACCTGCTGCAAATTAGGAAGTCCAAGTCATGAGCAGGAGACACAGTCATTCAAGAACTCAGTCCTGCAATGCTCTCTTCTTGCACTTTTAGTACATTTTTTAAATCCAAAAGGTACAAGAATAAGCATGTTGACCGGCGCGAGGCTCAACAGGCTAATCCTCCACCTTGCGGCACCAGCACACCGAGTTCTAGTCCCGGTCGGGGCGCCGGATTCTGTCCCGGTTGCCCCTCTTCCAGGCCAGCTCTCTGCTGTGGCCAGGGAGTGCAGTGGAGGATGGCCCAAGTGCTTGGGCCCTGCACCCATGGGAGACCAGGAGAAGCACCTGGCTCCTGGCTTCGGATCGGCATGACACGCCGGCCGCAGCGCGCTGGCCGCAGCAGCCATTGGAAGGTGAACCAAGGGCAAAAGAAGACCTTTCTCTCTGTCGCTCTCTCTCACTGTCCACTCTGCCCGTCCAAAAAAAAAAAAAAGAGAGAGAGAGAGAATAAGCATGTCAAAAAGCAAAAAGATTTACTCCTCTGCCCGAATATTATATAATCAAAGGCACAGGGAGAAGCAAAACTCAAGATCCCTAATCCTCTTTTCAATTAAACAAAGGTCTCAGAGAAGGAATCCAAGGAGAAGGAACGAATGTATTTCAGAAAGGAGCGTAAGTAGTGCACATTTGTAAGTGGCTCACTATGGTGCTGGAGTGAGCACCTGTTAACACACACAAGGACCTGTGACACAGGGGTGCTTCCAGTGAGGCACTTTAACAGCAGACTTTGGACCAAACCGCCTGGATACCAGGATCCCAGCTCTGCCTCTTATGATAAGGGGCCTCGGGCAAATCACCAGCATCTCTATGCCTCCGTTGTATTATCTGTAAAACAGGCATGTAGGAAAACCTGCCTCATGGGACTGTGAAGATCCAACCTGTCACTAAGAAACTGAACCACATGAAATTACCATTTTCATGTTCAAAAATGATCAGAATCAAACGGAAAGCACTTAAAACGGCGCCGGGCACCCCCTGAGCGCTGGGCGCAATACTAGGCACTGCTATTACAATCTCAGCATAGGACACTCAGGGGATCACCAGCCCCTCCGAGCCGCCTACTTGCCTTCTAGATGCGGGCCCCCAAGGGCGCTGCCCGGGCTGTCCGTCCCTTCCCTTCACCTCTCGGTTGCCCCACACTCTCACACCCGGAGCACTTCCTACTTCAGCGCTCATTCTGCTACAGGAAGTCAGATGTCTCGGTGAAACAAGCGAGCGCCACGGCACCCCAGAGAAGCAGACTCTGGGTCTCTGCCCCCCGCTTCTCGCCAGATGCGGCGGGACGGCCTAAGACCCGGGTATCCACAAGGGAAATCAGCCCTACACGTGCACCCAGCGCCAGCCACCTCCCCGCTCTTGACCTAAAGCCATCCCAGGTAAAACCACAGAAGCTTCCAGTGACTCAGAGCAAAAACAGCGAACACACATGCGTCTCAACTCCTCTGGCTCTCAGTCTGCCCACCCTGGAAAATATCCTCTTACTTCCTTACCGACATGCTAACGCTGGATTTCGAAGGGCTTCAAAGGATGCGGGAAAAAAACTAAGAGGGCACTCTGGCTAGCATCCCGCCAGGGCGAGGGCACCACCGGGAGCCCCCAGGCGCTGCCGCCACGACCCCTCCCCGGCCACACTCGCAAAGCTTTCCGCCCAATGGCTCGCCCCCGGACTGCGCCCCTCCGGCGGGACTCAGGGCCCGGGCTTCCTCCCTGCTCCCTCTCGATCGAGCCTTTCAGCCAGACCCCTCGGAGGCCCTCCTGCTCCCAGGCGGGCATTCCCCGTCACCCCCGCGAGCCCCGTCTAGGACAGCTGTCCCGAGTGGTCCCTGGCCTCAGCCGGGGCTCCCCCTAACTTGCGCCGCGTTCCTCGGCAAAGTCCCGCACAGCGAGTGCTCCCCCCTCCCCAGCCAGCCCCCGTTTACCCGCTCCAGTGGGCGCTCCCTGAGTCGGACCCCTCCCGCCAGACGTCCCCCTCCCACCCCAGCAGGTGCCCCATCAGCCGGGTCACCTCGCCCGCTGGTCCTTTCCCGCCCACACAGGGGTCTCCCCTCAGCCAGTTCCCGCCTTTTCCTCACTCGGTCCCCATGCCCCCCCGCCTGGCCCCCGGCCCCTCACCGGCGCGGCGGGTTCCTCAGCTGCACCGTCTCCATGGCGCTGCCGGCAGCCGCCCAGCCCCGCGCACTACTCCATCCTCCCCGGGACCTCTCCAGGCCCGCCCCGCAGACCCTCCCACACTTCCGCTTTCCGCCCCTACCGGAAGCAGCGCGCGGCTCGAGAGCGCGGGGGCGGCGCTGGGGACGCTGTGGGGGTCACGTGGTGCTGGACGTGAGTCACGTGTCGCGACGGGGCGCGAACCCGGAACCGCGAAGCTGCGGAGGCTCCTCCTGGCGGTGTGTGCTGTGTGGCTGCAGGCTGTGCGCGACGCTGGGTACTCGGGAAGCCACCTCGGCCTCGGATTGCCCCCGCATCTCTCGCCCGAGATACTGAGGCTGCCGGCGAGGCGCGGACTTGATTAGAACTGTTGATTCGTAAGCCCAGTTCTGAACGATTTGTCGGAGCCTATGCCGCTGCGGTGGCGCCGGGACGTCTTTGTGACTTTCTACAGCTTAACTGATCGTATCGGGTCCCAGACGGTCCCCTGCACATCCTCTCCTTGGCTGTGACAGAGCGCCAACCCACAGGTTGCTCCACCCTTTTTCTAAACAGCCTCGCCTTTGGGTCTGCAGACATGAAAATGGCTACTGTTTATTTTTTAAATATCGTGGGAATTAGTAGAATGATTTTAAGGTTTATTCATTTGAAAGTCAGAGTTAGAGGAAGAGACCTTCCGTCTGTTGGGTCCCTCCCTAGACGGCTGCAACTGCCAGGGCTGGGTTAGGCCAAAGCCAGGAGCTTCTTCCAGGTCTAATACGGGAGTGGCAGGGGTCCAAACACTTGGGCCATCTTCTGCTGCTTTACCCAGGCCATTGTAGGGGAACTGGGTCGGAAGTGGAGCAGCGGGGACGCGAACTGGCTGGCTCCCATATGGGATGCTGGCTGTTGCAGGCCTCAGCTTTACCCGCTGTGCTACAACGGTAGCCCCCAAAATGGCTTTTATAGACACTTGGCTGACTTGATCTATTACCTCATTTAATCTGCATACGAAGCCTGAAAGGTTATCACCAGCATTATATTTATATCCTTATTTGACAGTGCTTACTACACTGTCAGTGTTACTAAGTAGTAACTCATTTAGTACCAACAGTCCTATAAATAATACTATTCCTATTTCATAAGAGCTGAGAATTGAAATAGTTTCCCTCGGTGTCATACAGTTGTACAAGTTTGAGGATTTAAATCCACATGGATTTGACTCCAGAGGCTGCACACCAAACTGGGCAGCCAAGCTCATTTCTCGCTGGACCTGGAGACTGCTGTCTCCACTCGGAGCTCCAGTTCCCACTCTCACGATTGTGCAAGCTACCCCTTCAATAAGTGTTAGGAAAATGGCAGGTCCAGCAGAGAACTTAGACACAGAGCAACCTCTGTGATTGTCCTGCTTATCCCAGAATACAGCACCTACACCACACCTGAACAACCAGCTTTCAGGGCCACCCAAGCACGGCACCCCGTGTGCTCCCGGCAGGGGATAGGGCAGCGTTCCCCTGACCTAAGAGGAAGACATTTACTGAGAAGCTACCCTGTGCCAGACACAATCCTAGACTTCCACTTAGTCCTCAACACAGCCATCTGAAGTATGAGTAAGAATTATCCCCAGTTCACAGATAAGGAAGCTGAGACTCACATACACACAGCTAGGAAGAACCCAGGACTGACCCCACAAAATCCATGTTCTATTTGCCACTCTGCTCTATTGGAAATGCATACAAACGGCAGTGGGAACCTGGGGAAAAAAAAGATCGAGAAGAGTTTCTTCAAAGCTCAGGCAGCCATCACGGGTTCCTCCTCCTCGGGGGGTCGCTCCTGACTTCTGCAATCCCCAGCACTTCTCCTCTCCCTGCACTCTGTTTTTTATTCTCCAGCCCCGCTGCCCACTGGAATTTTCCTTCATGAAGGACATCTCTGATTGATGCCCACTTTTGAAAATAAATACCAGCAGGACTGCCATTGTGGTACAGCGGGTTAAGCTGCCTCCTGCTATGCGGGCATTCCGAATCGGAGGGCAGGTTTGAGTCCTGGCTACTCGACTTTGACCCAGCTCCTTACTAATGCTCCTGGAAAGGCAGCAGATGATGGCCTGAGTGCTTGGGCCCTGCACCCACATTCGAGATGCAGATGGAGTGCCAGGCTCCTGACTGGACTGGCTCAGCCATGAGAGGAGTGAACCAGCAGATAGAAGACCTTAAGTCTAGGTCCTTAAGTCTAGAAGTCAGCAGTTGGAGTTGATTCAGTAACTCAGCAGTGTCAATTTCGTCTTTCCTCTCCATCCTACTCAGTAGGCTGGCTTTTCATACTTGTATTCATTGCCCTAAAGTTGCAAAATGGCTACTACACCTCCAGGTATTACATCCTTAATCCAGCACCACGCAAAGCAGAATAAGAACAAAAAAGACAATTTGGTCCTGTACCGCTTTCTTCTAGGGACGAAAACCTTTCCCATGGCACCCAGCAGCCTCCCTTCTATCTGGTTGCCAAGATGAGTGTCACATGCTCATGCTTTAACCAATCACTGGCAAAAGAGAATGACAATTTTTTGTTTGGCTTCACACGATCCTGATTCATCTCCCAAGCCTGGAAAAATCTCAGGCAAAATTCAGGCTTCTGGAAGTAAGATGGGGGCCATTGAGTGTCTCACAAAGAGGTGTGCTGGTTTCACTACCTACCGCAGTACCTCGTGCCTCCTTCTGTGTGGGGTCTGTGTTGGCCGGGGGGAGTCAGTGGAACAGCCACCCAATCCTGGAAAGCTTACAGTCTGGTGGAGTTAAAGGTTTGTACAGGTAATTGTAACTGTAAGTCCCTGGACAAAGAGACCAGTGCTTTGTTAACAACAAACCATGCTGGGTGCTAGAACCTATTAGAGCTGAGGGTGATAAAGAGAACCCACATCCTGCCCACCACGCAGTGATAAATGCTAAATTAAGGATAGATCTAGGGAGCTGGGAGGAACGTGGAGGCGAAAAGGCTCTCAGAGATGATGTTTGAGTAGAACATTTTAAGTTGATTGAGGATGAGGCCAGAGAAGAGTGTTTGGAAAGGAATTCCAGGAGTGTGGAAAGGAATTCCCACCAGCAGAGGGAGGGTAGGAGGCGAGAGAAAGAGCTTCTATGTGCAGGTAGCAACCAGCAGCTGTTTCTTTTTTTAATGGAGTATTGCGGGGGACATAGAGTGAGGTCAGGTGAGGCTGGAAATAAAACACGTGTCACCCTCTGTGAAAGATCTTCACCCATTGGCCTTTCTGCGCATCCGTTTACTGGATCAAGCGTTCAATTTGCTGGACCGTCTACCACCTATTTGAAACTTGTTGGAAACTATATTAAACTGCATGTATCAGAACAACTTCCTGTTCAGTAATATGATGTTTAGACGTTTGTTATGTTTTAGTACAAATATCCAAACTGTTCAACTGTTCGTTTCATCCTGCTTATTAAATCAGTGTGAACAGCGCACCAGGTCCCAGATGCTTTCTGGCCCCAGGGCCTTTGTCCTTGCCACATCAGCATTCCCTAAATCGCTAGTCTCAGCGCAATTACTGGCTTCCCTCGCTCCCTTCCTTAACATAGCCCTCAGGTAGGCACTTTCTACTGCTTTACCCTGTTTTGTTTTCCTAACGGGAAATCGCATCATGAAATGAGTGGGTCCTTTGGGCCCGCGTGGATCGCGGTCGGGCCTCCCTGAGGGCAGGACAAAGCCTCCCGCGCTCGGCGACACCTGCCGGGCCCCACACAACTCCCGCTCGCCAGTGCGCCCGAGGCGCGCAGGTGCAAGCTGCGCACGCGCAGAGGGCAGGGCGCGCCGCGCCTCCCGTTCGCGCAGGCGCCTCCCGTTCGCGCAGGCGCCGCCCCCGCGGGCTGAACTGCTTGCCGCGCGAGCTTCCGCCCGGAAGCTGTTCCTCAGGACCGGAGCGGGCAGCCGAGGCTCCCCCGACTCGCCGGCCGGGGATGGCCCCCAAACCCCCCGACTCCGTGGAGGGGCTCCGCGCCGCCGGCAACCAGTGCTTCCGCAACGGCCAGTACGCCGAGGCCTCCGCGCTCTACGGCCGCGCGCTGCGGGCGCTGCAGGCTCGAGGTTCGACCTCTCCCCCAAGTCTCCCCAACCCCCGCCCCGCCGCCGCCCACCCTCTCCCTGCCCTCCCGGGCTGCCTTCCCAGCGGCCGAGCGCCGCGCCGCCCTCCTCCGCGCGGCTGCCTACGAGAAACTTCCTCGGCCCTTTCTGTGCGCCCGCCCTCTAACCGCCCTGTCGACCCTTGCCAGCCCCCTGCCCCGCGGCTGCTCGCTTTTCAGTTACTGGTGGGCGCCGACCGTGTAGCGAGACCGGGGGCGGGGCGGGGGTGCTCTCCCTCCAGGACCGCGCGTTCGAGTTTTGTGGGGGCTGGGTCGGTGTGGACCCCAAACTCTTAAACTCGTGTGCGGCGGCTGGGGGGAGGACTGGTGATGGAGCCGACCGGGAGCCCCTTCAGACAGGGCCGAAGGCCGGCTAGGGAGCGGGGTGGGGGCGCGAGGGTGGGGGCGCTCAGCATTCGGGGTGCAGGGACCTGCGGTTAGGGAAGCCCCCCGACGGAACGCGCAGGGCGCGCGCGTTCCAGCAGTCAAAGCCTGGGAGGGATCGCGAGGACGCGGGCTGAGTTGTGAGGGCAGAACCTTATTGTGAGGGTGTTTTAAGCACCGGGAAGGAGTTTGGATTTTATCCCTGCGACTGGAGGATTTTAAAGAGAGAAGTAGGGGCGATGTTGGGGCGTCGCGGCCGCTGCCAGCTCCCAGCTCCCTGCTAATGCACCTGGGAAAGCAGTGGAAGATGGCCCAGGTGCTTGGGCCCCTGCACCCACGTGGGAGGCCCGGAAGAAGCTCCTCACCCCGTCTCCAGGCACTGTGGCCGTCTGGGGAGTGAACCAGCAGATGGAGGACTTCTCTCTCTCTGACTCTGCCTTTGAAATAAAGCTCATGTCAGCGCACTTGAAGTTGCTGAGGCGTCTGAGCTGTTAGCGTGTCTGCCGTTTCCGTTTGGCCTGGAAAAGCTGGTGCTCTTGTCTGACTTCATTCTGGGCCTCCATAAGAGCTGGCCTGGTGTCTGGTTTTAGCGGAGTTTGGTTATTGTCCTGGTACTGGTTTACTAGGTAACTTGGTTTCTCTGATCAGTTTTCTTAGTCTTTTTTTTTTTTGACAGGCAGAGTGGACAGTGAGAAAGAGACAAAGAGAAAGGTCTTCTTTTTCCGTTGGTTCACCCCCCCCACCCCCCATGGACTCTGCGGCCGTTGCACCGCACTGATCGGAAGCCAGGAGCCAGGTGCTTCTCCTGGTCTCCCCATGCGGGTGCCGGGCCCAAGCACTTGGGCCATCCTCCACTGCACTCCTGGGCCATAGCAGAGAGCTGGACAGGAAGAGAAGCGACCGGGACTAGAACCCTATGTGCCAGCACCACAGGCGGAGGATTAGCCTAGTGGCTGCGGCGCCGGCCTGTTTCCTTAGTCTTAAGAGGAACACAGGGACCTGACACCCTTCCAGTAAGGCTGGGGAGCGATGCCCTCACAGTAGGCGAACACTCACTGTTGGGGGGGTTGAGTGACCTACGCAGGACCATAGGCTGAGCTGTTAGTTCTGATGCCCTTTCTACCCCACCCCACCCCCAGCTGCTGTTTCTTAGCCACAGTGCTCTGGACATGAGACCAATTACAGGGTTGTTTTAAAATTGTTTTATTTTAACGGCAGAGAAAGAGGAACATCTTTCAGCTGTTGGTTCACTCCCCGAATACCTGCGACAGCCAGGGCTGGGATCTCCCACGTGGGTGGCAGGGACTCAGCTACTTGGGCATTTACCTGCTGCCTCCCGGAGCGCACACTGAGAGGAAGCTGCATCACAAGCAGAGTGGCCAGGACTCGAACTTGGCATTCCAGTCTGGCGTGCAGGCTTCCCAAGCGGTGGCTTAACTGCCACGCCAAGCGCCTGCTCAGGTGGCAGGTTTTGAATACTATGCTTGGTCCTTAAGGGCAAGGATGTATTTTTACGTATCTCTGTACTTTCTGTCACAGGGCCTGGTAAAATAAGAAAACCTGGTAATCAGGTTATTATTGGTATTGAACGAACAATATCAGATATCTGCCTGGGAACATGACACATAGGGGAAAAAGCAGGTTGCAGGAGGATGGGCCCTAAGGTGCCAGGTATGAAGTGCTTGCAAATTACCTTTAAAAAAAAAAAAACACTCGTGGCTACTTGATGGATTTGAGCCTCTGTGATTCCTGAGGGGGAGCTCTGCTTTGGAAGAGGGTCTGATCGTTCCCCTCCCCACTGGATATCCTGGATCTCGCCCTGGTGCACTTCTCCGTAGTCCATCAGACCCAGTTCATGATCGCCGGTCGGGCGAAGTCCTTTCTGGCTTGACCAGGCTGAATGAGCCTGTCAGGTCAGCACCGCCCGTGGTCAGTCCTTTTATCGAGTGTGTGAGTTCGTGTCTTTACCAGGTTTCCATGCTTTTTGTGATAAAATTCACACACACAGACACACGTTCACCATCACACAAGCAGTTACAGCATGGATTTCTTTGAGGCAGGAGCCAGCTGTTCCGTGCTCATCTTTTGCCTGGTACTGAGTGTAGCGCAGAAGTCAGTGAGTGAGCAGTGGTCGGTTCCCCGTGGCAGCAGCGGCCCATCGGACCAGTGAGCTTGGTCAGGTTACAGTCCCTTAGCCCATAGAGCTCCGGGCGTGAAATGCATCGCGGGTCCCGAGGTGTCCATTTCCCGGCCTGATGAGCTCTTGTCCTTTCTGCCCGGCCCTGGGCAGGCTCTTCAGACCCCGAGGAGGAGAGTGTTCTGTACTCCAACCGAGCGGCGTGCCACCTGAAGGATGGGAACTGCTCAGACTGCATCAAAGACTGCACGTCGTAAGTAGCCGGGGAGCTCTGGGGGCCCGGGGTCTCAGCATGGGAGGCTGGATCTATCCGGCTTGTTTCTTTGGAAGGGTCTCACCAGTCGTACGTGTGGAGCACACTAGGAAGTGTCGTTTGGGGCTGCAGGTCACCGGGAACGGGAGGTTCTGCGTGGCCCTGTGCTCCTGACTTGTGTTTCTGGAGTCCGGGCTGCACGGCTGAAAGGCAGGGAGGTGGGCAGTTACGGGTGGGCCTTGGCGTCTTTGTGGGACAGGGACCTGGGGTGGGGTGGACTAGCAGACCAGTGACTCCCGGGGATTTGTATGGGATACATGCGCGTGAGGGAGGGAGATGGGGAAAGAAGGAAGGCTAGAGGCTAACAGATTGTCTCCAAAGAAGCCAGGATCCATCAGGGATCTGCTGTGGCAGGCACTGAAAGTCAGAATTATACAGGAAACCTCGTCCTTTTTAGGCCAGTCTAGTCCTGCCTTTTTCCTGAGATCGGAAATCCTTTCGCACAGCCTTGTTCTGCCCTGGTGACTCACGGGACGGGAGGAGGCTGAGCATGCGCTGGAGCCTGGGTGACACTGATTTGTACCAGGCCCTGTGCAGGCTCCCTTCTGAGAGTGCTATGGGTGCTCTGTAGGGAAGCACCCTTCCCAGGCCAGACTGAAGTGCTCTGCCTAGGGTCACAGGGTCAGTAGCAGGTCCCACTCCACAGTCTGGGCCACCACTGTGGCCGACAGGCACTTGTCATGATTTAGGGGGAATTTAAAATTCTAGAAGTTGACATACACGCGCACAAATTTCAGAGTGTCAGTGGTTCTCTGCCCTCCTTTCCTCTCTACTTTAGTCTTAGGTTGAAAACAGTCCCTGTTCCGAGGTTTGGTGTTTTTAGCTGACTCAGCCAGAAATTACCTGCGGGTTGCAGGTGACCCTGCCTGGGCGAAACCGCGGGGGAGCCCTGGCGGCTCAGCAGCCGGCAGACGTGTTTGCCTCCCGTTCTAGAGCACTGGCCTTGGTTCCTTTCGGCATTAAGCCCCTGCTGCGGCGAGCCTCTGCCTACGAGGCCCTGGAGAAGTACTCCCTGGCCTACGTCGACTACAAGACTGTGCTGCAGATTGATGAGAACGTGATGTCCGCCGTGGAAGGCGTCAACAGGTGAGCCTGGTTCCCTGCAGGTGGGCTCTTGGCAGTCCTGTCTGCCTTGACTGACTGTGGGCATCTTCTGGGGCAGGGAGGGAGGAAATCCCTTTGGCTACACACAGACTATTCCAGATAAACATGAGGGGAAAGTGTAGAAGGAGAATCTGTTGCATTTAGTGGGTTCGTTTAATGAGTCAGAATTGAGGTTGATTCTTGTCTAGATGTGCAGATTCATTCACACTGGACTGTTGCAGTTGCTTTTGCCTTGTGATACCCTCATTTGTCTGATGATGCTTCTCTTCTTTATGAGGGCTACTGGAAAGCCAAATGTCAGACTGATAGACCCTTAGTAGGACATCATGTATTTAGTATTTAGTGCCTCGTCTCTGGCTTGTTCGTCAGCAGCTTTTCTCTGCTGTTTATGGCTGGTGATGTGCCAGACCTTGTGCTGGGTCCTGGGCTGCTGACTGAGATGTCCCTCTCCCCGCCCTCAGGGAGTTGGTCTCAGGGAGAACACCAGTCCGTGGTAGGCAAGACAGTACAGTGTGATGAGTGCTGTGGTCGGAGGCCACACAGGGACTCTAGGAGTGCCTGGGAGACACCTGACGAGCTGGGAGGAAGACGGGAAGCCGGAGAGGGCTTTTCAGAGGAGGTGAGCTGAGACTGAGGTCTGGGGTGGAGGCCCTCAAGGAGATGTGCAGTGTGTGCAGCTGGGAGCAAATCCTGAAGTCGGAGCTGCAGGCAGGGACCTCAGCCTGGCGTGGCTCAGTGGGGCCAGGTCAGCAGGGGCTGGCTGCAGGGGCTTGGACGTAAACCTGAGCCAGGGTGATGCCATGACAAGGTCCTTAGCCGTGGAGCAAGATGTGTGTTAGAGAAGAGCTCACTGGCTGCCATGCTGAAGGGGACACGGGAGGAAGGGGCACGCAGCCAGTCCAGGAGAGAGGGCAGAGGGCGAACAGGGGCACCGCAAGGATGTCTGCGAGCTGTGGGAAGGGGAGGGGAGGAGAGCAATAGAAGAGGACGTACAATGGGTGATGTGTCATACATACAACACATAAAAAGCGATAACATGCACGAAACAGTTCAGAGCAGAAAAATACAGGCCAGATTACAGGCTGGAGGGTCATCAGCATAAAGGTGGATTGAGGCTGTGGGGGGAATAAAAGCGCAGGAAGAGTGTGGGGAAAGAGGATGGAATTCTAAGAAAGTCCAGCATTTGAGAGGCTTAAGAGGAGCGGCAGCTGGAGAGGTGGGAGGAAGTCTGGGGCTTTCAGTGTCCCCAGGGAGGGGTGCTTCAAGGATAGAGACGTTCTCAGCGTCGGCTGTTCCCAGGAGCGGGTAGACGGGGTTGAGCAGCGGCGTCACTGGTGGTCCTGATGGAAGCGCTTCAGGGGCTCAGAGGCCGGAAGGCGGTGAGGTTGAGTCTGGCTGTGAAGGGAGCCAGGGGAGCGTAGCTGGGGTGGCAGAGGGCTGTCCAGGAGGATCTTAAGTGAGGAAAGCGTGCAGAGACTTGAATGCTGACAGACTCAGTAGAGAAAAAGGATGCAGATGTAGGGGGAGAGTTGCTGCCTGGTGTGGTCCCTGAGGGAGGCAAGAGACGATGCAGAGCCCAGGGGAAAGGACTGGCGAGGAGACAGAAGAAGGAAACTCGGGGTGCCCCACGCAGGCAGGTTTGTGTCTGGGGAATGAGAAAAGTAGTTGTGAAAAGGAGCTGGGTTGAGGGACACGTTTGAGGAGAACAGAGGTCTGAAATCAGGCCATCCAGGAAAACAGCTTTGGCAGCCTAGGTGGAGACCATGACTTTGTAATGCTACCGGTCTGTGGGGTTTTCATGCTTGTATCATAGGAACGTGGTAGAGGGAGCAGGAAAGGACACAATTGATGCTATTGGATCTTTCTAAAAAAAAAATTTGTTTTTACTTATTTGAAAGGCAGTGTTACAGAAGCAGAGGCAGAGAGACACAGAGAGCTCTTCCATCCACTGGACCATCCGTTCATTCCCCAAATGGCCACAATGACCGGGGCTGGGCCAGGCCAAAGCCAGGAACCAGGAGCTTCCTCCAGATCTCCCATGTGGGTGCAGGGGCCCAAGCACTTGGCTGCCATCTGCTGCTTTCCCAGGTGCATCAGCAGGAGGCTGGATCAGAAGTGGAGCAGCTGAACCCATATGGAATGCCAGCGCTGCAGGCTGGGACTTGAACCCACCATGCCACAGCACCGGCCCCTCTATTGAGTCTTAGTGCCATGTACTGTGCTTAGGGCTACAGATGAGTTAACAAAGTGGACATGGCCACTGAGCAGCCTTTGAAGCTGAGATCTAAAGAGTAAGTAGGAGTTGGCTGGGCCTAGAATAGGTGAGAATGGGAAGGGGGAAAAGATCGTTCCAGGGAGAGGAAGAAGCCTCCGTAAAACCTCGAACATCAGAATCAGGAGGGAATGTGGCAGGAATGCAGGAGGAAGCGGACCAGGTCTCAAAGTCTCTGGTGGCCCAGGGAAATGAGAACCACTAAAGGGTTTTAAGAGCTGAGAATGATGGGGCCTGGCACTGTGGCATAGCTGGTAAGGCTACCGCCTGCAGTGCTGGCATCCCAAATGGGCACTGGTTCCGAACCAGCTCTCTATGGTCTGGGAAAGCAGCGGAAGATGGCCCAAGCCCTTGGGCCCCAGCACCCATGTGGGAGACCTAGAAGAGGCTCTGGGCTCCTAGCTTCAGATCAGCCCAGCTCCAGCTGTTGTAGCCTTTTGGGGAGTAAACCAGGGGATGGAAGACCTATCTCTCTCTCTGCCTCTGAGTCTGTTACTCTACCTTTCAAATAAATAAATAAGAGAATGACATGAGAAGATTTGTATTAAAAAAAAAAACTGAGCAGTAATCAGATGTCAGGTGCTGGCATGACTTTATAGTAGATTTATTGAGAAAATTGAAACAAAACATGACCTTTCTTGGGGAATGTGTCATTTTGGAAGACAGCGTTTAAGCTCCCTTAACAAGCAACACATCACTTGAAAGTTAATGCATTGTGACCAGGCTCAAGGGAAGGAGTGTGGTGACCAATCTGAGAAACTGTTTCTGGGGGCAGACTCTGGTTCCAACATTGCTACATTGTGTTTGGAGTACCAAGAGATGGTTCACACCAAGGGAAAGTAGTAGCATGGCTTCTTCAGAAAGGGCCTGCCACCTCCCTTGGGGGTGTGGGAGGAGGGGGGTCCTCCTGACTCAGCCAGAAACCTCACAATCCTCCCTGCCTTTCCAGAATGACCAGAGCTCTCATGGACTCACTCGGGCCCGAGTGGCGCCTGAAGCTGCCCTCTATCCCCTTGGTACCTGTTTCAGCTCAGAAGAGATGGAATTCCTTGCCTTCAGAGAACACCAGAGAGACAGCTAAAAGCAGATCCAAAGAAAACACAACTGTGAAGAACAGAGGTAAGTGGTGACTCCCTTTCAGGGGTCTTGCAGTCCCCCTTAGCCACTCCAGAGTCGTTCCTGTAAAAACCGACCTTGTTTAGCTGAGTCTTACTTAGCCTTGTAGATTATCTCAGCGTACGGGAGGGTGGTGATGACCCTGACTCACAGCTATAGGATTAAATGACACAAGGCCTGCATAGCTCCAGGGCAGGGGCTGGGTGGTGTCAGCTCCTGTTTCCTCTGGCAGCATTTGGGACGGTTTTGGTTGCACTAACAGAGAACTTAATGTGGGGAAAGTAGTGAAGGGAGTTCATTGGCTTGTGTAACTGAAAAGTGGGGAAGGAATTCAGGCAAGGTGTGCTCCTGTGTCATCCTGACTCCTGTCTCTGGACTTCTCTCCCCTCTTTGTTGAGTGTCAGCTGTCTTCAGGCAGGCGTCCCTGGTAGTAACATAGCTCACAACTCCACACCATGCTTCAGAGCCAGAGGAAAAAAAGTCTTTCTGTCTGGTAGCTTGCTAGGAAAAAAAGAGAACTTTTCCCCTCAAATCCCTGCCTCACATTTCTTCTCCATCGTTTCTGTTGTGTGGCAATAGGCCGTTCCCTGACACTATGACCAGGCGATCAGACTATGATTAGCTCAGTCCTGAGCCATCTGCCCACCTCCATAGCTACAGGGTACTGCTTCCTCTGGGACACATGTGCTGTGTGAATCCCTGGAGAAGGCTGAACAGGAGAAGGACCATCAAGGCTGGGCAGCCATAGATAGGAGACTGCCCACCTAACTCGTGTTGGGACTGTTTGTCAGGCAGAGCCTCATGAGGAAGCTTGGAGGTTCCCGGCAGGCCAGCTCGGGAAGTGAGGGTAGAGCTCTGCTATGTGTGAGTGACCTTGAGATGTTAGAGGAAGGCGGGCGTTACCCTGCTTCCCAGGAGGACACTTGTGTAGCCATAGGCAGCATTCATTCTGGTGTTTGCTGCTGTCTCCCACAATGAGCATTTGGGGTGCTAAAGAACTAGGCAGCTTCAGTGCACCTACCACTTACCTCACTCTTTGTTTTTAATTTGTTTTTAAAGATTTATTTATTTATTTGAGAGGCAGAGTTACAGAAAGAGAAAGAGAGGTCTTCCATCCGCTGGTTCACTCCCCAAATGGCCGCAATGGCCAGAGCTGAGCTGATCCAGAGCCGGGAGCCAGGAGCCTCTTCTAGGTCTCCCACGTGGGTGCAGAGGCCCAAGCACTTGGGCCATCCTCCACTGCTTTTCCAGGCCATTAGCAGGGAGGTAAATTGGAAGTGGAGCAGCCAAGACTCGAACCAGCACCCACATGGGATGCTGGCGCTGCAGAGGCTTAACCTACTGTGCCACTTTTCTTACTCTTTTGGAGTCACTGAGGCGTGGGTTCCAGGCCCTGTGCTCAGTGGTGTAACACACAGAGGATAAGGGCAGTCTTGCCCTCAGAAATATCTCAGTTTAATGAAGGACTGAGAGATGTAATCAGAACATTTTATAATACAGAGAGGAGGAACAGGTGCGTTAGTGTTTGGGAAATTCAAAATAGAAGGTGACTTCACTGTGCTTGGGAGTCACGGAAAGACTAACAGAAGAGGCAGCGGCAGATAGGAGGGCTCGAGCTGCACCTTGAGGATGAGGTCCTCAGGTGGGAGGCGGGAAGGGTGGAGACCTCTTGGCAGAGACAGTGGAGGGCAGTGGGGAAGGTGGGTGCTGTGGAGAGCGGGAATGAGTGGCTGCCCTGGGTGTGTGCAGCCGAGCCCAGGGAGGCTGGAGCGGTGCCTGCGTTGTAGCTGCTGGGAAGCACCGCTGGCCACAGACCGGAGCGTGATGGGCACATGAGCTGTGATCCTGCAGCAGTGGAAAGGAATGGACTACACAGCTACAGTCAAAGCAGAGGGCTCTCCGGAGTACGACTCGGGGAGGGGGGAGCGAGTCATAAAAGAATACAGAGTTAGTCTTCTGTGTGAAACTCTCAAGCAAAGTAAACAAGTGGTTTATGGGTACTGTCATATATAGTTAAGCTGTTTTTTGAAAGCAAGTGAAAGCACAGAATCAGGGCAAGTAGTTCTCTGTTTTCTCCGGGAAGAGGGGTCTTGAGAAAGTTCATGGAACTAAAGGTAAGTTTATTTTGGTGCGGAACAGTTTTGAGGTCCACACTACATCCATAGTATGCCTTTTCCATGAACATTTTGAAGACCCGCTCCTGCTGGGGGCGGGGCGTGCACAGAACTTCAGAGGACCCCAGGGCTGTTGTTTCTTAAGCCGGCAGTGAGCTCAGCTGCTCCTTGTATACTTACAGCCTTACCATTGTCATTAACACTCAGGATTTTATAAAGGTAGCTTTTAAAAATTAATTCCAGCCAAGGCTGGAACAGTTCATTGGAACCAGGCAGTGAAGAGCCTGGACAGCAGGTCAAGCAGCTTGGATTTCACCTTGTTCTCTCTCCTCCCTCCTTGAAGGCTGGAGCTGAGCTGCACACGTTAGGTGAGGGGGCACACTGGCAGGCCCACACCCAGACAGGGCTGAAGAGTAGCTTCTTTGGCCATTACCTGAAAGCCCAGAGGCAAAGGCCTTCGCCTGATGCTTCTTTGCTAAGGAGTGCTTATTCTCCTGTTTTAAGTTTATCGTGTATTCTGTCCTTCCTCTAACAATAGCCTGGTGTGAAATAGGTGTCGCCCCATTGTATTGATCAGGAAATTGGGGTTCAAAAATTTTACCAAGTAGGAACGCCAAGACCAGGACCAGGGTTGCTTTTTCTCAGGTATATGTTGTTATGTGTATGTGTAAATGTTTATACTGTCAGGAGTCCCCAGCCTCTTCTGAATGAAAACCTTTCATTTTCCAGAAGCCCTTAACCGGGGGAGGTCATGGGTCAGAAGGGGTGATGGCAGCAGTGTAGCAAGTCTCTGGGGGAAAGAGGTGTGCAGGCAGCTTTGATGCTAGAGACCTGCTTCATCTCGGTTGGGTACCTGCTCCATGGTTTTTCCTCTTCTGAATTTGTGTCTAGTGCCTTCTGCTGGGGATATGGAGAGAGCCAGAGTTCTGAAGGAAGAAGGCAATGAGCTTGTAAAGAAGGGCAACCATAAGAAAGCTATTGAGAAGTACAGTGAAAGCCTCTTGTTTAGTAACCTGGAATCCACCACATACAGCAACAGGTATCTTCTGCACAGCTGCTGCCCTGGGGACTTCAGGACACTGGATGTTTTGTTCCAGAGTCTGCTCAGGGACTGCCTGGGCTCCTCATCCCTAGCACTGAGTCAGCATGTTACAGCTCAAGACATGCATTCGCCTGTTCTGATCACTGTGGCCTTGGCCCTGCCAGTGATGTGAGCTCAGTGCTGCCAGTGCCTTTGCTCTCTTAAAGGGTAGAATCCGAGGGATGTCGAAGGGTAGCCTGGGCTTTGGTAGCCCCTCTCCCCAAAATTTTCATTAACCACCCCAAATAAGCACACAGTGTAAGTAAAAGCAGTGTGCCTGTCGAGCAAACACAACCTTAACACAAGTTTGTTGGTATCTCCACAGTCCCCCTGCTTCCCACCCCGTGGCTTCACCAAGACTATACTGTTGGAAATTTTGGCCTGTCTTGGAGAGTGCTAGTTCAGACCCGAGGGTGTGGAGTAACTGTTTCCTGCCCCGAGGTTAGATTTGTTGGCCTGGAGGAGGCTGTGTACCATCCAGCCAGTAAATGGTGGAGCCAGAACTGAACTTGGCTCTAGGGAGGTCCTTCAGTCTGCAAGAAACCGTATCTGATGCATGCATTAAAATGTGTTCTGTGCCTGTTTTTCCTCCCAAATCAACATACTGTCAGGTTTAGAAATCTTGGAGCTGATGTAGGTTCACTGTTCCTATTCAAAAGTCTTATAAAATGTGTCTGATTTTAGTAAGATAATATGGTCCATGTACTTACTGAATTATACAACACCACAGCAGGGTCTGGGGCAGCTTGCTAAAATCGATTATTAATATTCTTGCAGTGAAACATAGAAATTCCATCTTGACCTGAGGTGGCATAAAGAAACTAAGCAGCCCATGTCAGTTCAGGTGAGGTATTGCTGCCAAATGAGTTGAAAAGAGAATTTTTGTTTTGATATTTTAAAAATTAATCTTTGGGGCTAGCATTGTGGCATAGCGGATTCAAGCCCCAGCCTGCAGCACCGGCATCCCGTATGGGCACCAGTTCGAGCCTGAGCTGCTCCATTTTCGGGTCCAGCTCCCTGCCATGGACTGGGAAAGCAGTGGGAGACGGCCCAAGTCCTTGGGCCCCTGCACCCATGTGGGAGACCCAAAGGAAGCTCCAGCTCAGCTCCAGCCATTGCAGCCATCTGGGGAGTGAACTGGCAGATGGAAGACCTCTCTCTCTGTCTCTCCCTGTCTCTATAACTCTTTCAGATAAATAAAATAAATCTTTAAAAAATTAGTCTTTATTTAAAAGGCAGAGAGACACAAAAACAGACATAGATCTCCTATCCTCTGGTTCACTCCCCCAGAGGCCCACTACAGGTAGGTCTGGGCCAAGCTGAAGCCCAGAGCTGGAACTACAGGCCTCCCACTTGGGTAGCAGCCATCACTTGCTGCCTTCCAGGGTGTGCATAGCAGAAAACGAATCAGGAGCTGGACCTTGAGTCCAGGCCCTCCACTATAGGATGTGGGGACCCCAATAGGTTTGTTAACCACTGTGCCAAACACCAGCCCCAGATTTTGGTTTTAAAGCTTGGATTTGGTGCCGGTGCTTTGCTGCCTCACTGGACCAGGGGTTCCTTGGTTAACTTGAAAAAGGAGCCTGCAGCCCCATTTGCTCCATGGTTGTGTGGCATTGTCTTCTGATTCCTCTGGGCTTTTTTTGGCCTTACTTAGCTTATGCTGCTGGACAGACCCATTCTCCTGGATTTTTTCCTCATGCAGGACAGTGTTTTGTTTTCCTTAAATGTTCTTTAAAGAGATGTGTGTGTATCACACCATTTTTAACTCTTTTGCTCTATGATACCTTGCGGAACTGGTCTTTTCCTCATTCTTCTCCCATCCAAGGACTAACCAGGCCCGACCCTGCTTAGCTTCCGAGATCAGACGAGATCGGGCGCGTTCAGGGTGGTATGGCCGTAGACTTTTTCCTCATTCTTCATCAGAGCATCCTGGCTCCTCTAGCCCCAAAGTTTGGTGTTCTAGATAACCCTTAGGGTCATCTTAGTGAAATACCACATCCTAGATGTAGTTGTAACATTCTGCCTCATACGTGTGCGTCTTTGTACAGCTGCCTAGCCCTTGTCTGTCCTAGGTTCTGTCTGTGCAGGTGAAACAGCACAGCGTACCCGCCACTTGCCAGGCCTGGAATGGCCTTCCCACCAGTCTCGTTTAGTGCTCAGAACAGTTCTTCAAGTTAGGTCATAGCTTCATCTGAGCTACACAGGCTCAGAAAGATGAATTAATGGACACAGAGTTAGAGAACTAAGACGTGGCGCTGCTAGGATTTCAGCTAGTTCTTTATGACTGCAGAGCTTGTGTTCCTTTGCACTCGCGCGTGCTGTCTCCCGAGGACCAGAAGCCAAGTGTTCATGGTGGCGGTCTATCATCTTTCATGTAATCCTTGGAAGTCCTATAAATCATATTAATCACAACTCTTACATTCTGAAGCCACTAATTAGTGCATAATGCATATTAAGTACTATCATTCCTCTGCTTCTTGGAAACAGCTAAATCTGTAAATTGCCAGAGCCCATTGGGAGAAAACTTTAGTTTCTATAGAATTCTATATTCAAAATTTATATCAAGGACTATTCAAAAACTTAAATGGCTTACAACCGTTTCACTTTGGTTGTAATTTGTGAGCCAAGGGCAGTTTTCACTTGGGGTCACTCATTCAGGGTCATCAAGATGGTGGCCCGTGCCACAGTCATCTGAAGGCCTCTTTACTGCACGTCTGGCATCTGGGCCAGGATGAGCAGATGGCTGGGGCATGGGCAGGAGGAAGGGCTAGAGCAAGCTGGTGCCTCTCCTGGCAGCCTTTTCACACATGCTGGCCCAAGTTTCCTCATGGCATGGTGGCCCCTGAATGGCAGCTGAAGGCTCCATCCAAGAGTGAATGTTCCCACAGCCCAAGGCCAAAGCTACAAAGTCTGTATGCCCTAGCCTTGGCAGTCGCACTCTACTGGTGAGAGTAGTCACAGAACTGCCTGATTCAAGGAGTGAGATCTTCCCACCTATCTTTGGGCAGAGTGCCAAAGAACTTGCTATGCGGGGTTTCTAAGCTATGATTCCATGTGATCACAAGTACTAGAACAGGTGTTTAATTAGTAATATCCATCCCAAAGTTCATCTGAAAAAATGACAGCAGCATAAAAGACTGCAAAGTCAAAGTATTTGGAAAGGAGGGATTATCCAGCAAATGGTGTTGGATTGTCTGGTGTCTGAACCGCACATCACTGCTTATTTTAACACGTTGCAAGTGCATCAGATGTAAAATGTGAAGCCATTAAGTTCTAGAAGAACACATAGGTTATTTACCTTCCATTGGGGAAGTCACACAGAAGTCGTTAAAGGAAAAGTTGGATAAATTTAACTTCCTAAGATTAAAGCCATGGTGCGTCCAGCTAAGTGAATACCCTGCACCCATTCAAAGGATGATGGGCTTGGGTAATGAGCTTCAAGAAACCTAACACTGTCGTTAGTGACCAGACTGAATGGCAAAGACACACAGATGCAGAATATTGAATTGTGTGGAAGTCCATGATTGTTTCTTCCCCAACATTTTATCATGAAAATTTCTAAAATACTGGAGGGTTGAAAGAATTGTACATGGAACACCCATGTACCTGCCGTCTAAAATCTATAATTTATATTCAGCCATGTTGATCCACCTGTTTTTCATGCCTTTCACAGTAAATCAGTCATCTTTTTATTTCAGCCCCAACATGTCAGCTTGCATTTCACTCATTAGAAGCCAGTATTTATGTGTCTTTACATATATAAAGTGGGAACTTTTTTTTTTTTTATTTTTTTTTTTATTTGAAAGGCGGAGTTAGAGAATTCATCCTCTGTTCATTCCCCAGTGGCTACAACAGCCGGAGCTGGGCTGATCCGAAGCCAGGAGTTTCTTCCAGGTCTCCCACGTGGGTGCAGGGGCCTAAGGACTTGGGCCATCTTCTACTGCTTTCCCAGGCCATAGCAGAGAGCTGGATCAGAAGTGGAGCAGCCTGGACTCAAACCGGTGCCCATATGGGATGCCAGCACTGCAGGTGGTGGCTTTACCCACTACACCACAGCACTGGCCCCCATTTATGTTTTCAAAGAGATCATTTTGAATATGTGAAAGGAAGATCTTAGGGAGCCTTTTCTTTGCTTGAAAGAGCTCACACAGTATGGGAGAGTGAAGTGGACAGAATGGTAGAGCCAACTGAGGTTACAGTCTAGAGTCACACATACTGCCCCATTTGAATCCCAGGTGATGCTACCTTGGGCAAGTTCTTGCACCCCCAATCCATCATTTTCCATCTGTGAGAAGAGGCTAGGATTGTTGTGAGGATGAAGAAGTTAGAAGTAGCCAGCAGAGTGGGTACTCAGTGAATCAGAGATCACTTGTCAGACTCCGTCCAGCCCTTACTAAGCGACTGAAACCTCTGAAACGGTCTGTCCCGGCAGAGCGCTCTGCCATCTGGTCCTGAAGCAGTACAAGGAAGCTGTGAAGGATTGCACAGAAGCCCTCAAGCTGGACGGGAAGAATGTGAAGGCGTTCTACAGGCGGGCTCAAGCGTACAAGGCTCTCAAGGTATGAAGGTCCCAGTCGGAAGGCACTAGTGTGGCCAGAGATGGGTGCCAGTGGTGGCACATCGGTCAAGCGAGGTGGTGTCGGCCACATTCCTGCTCATCCCGAGGCCCTGGGGCAGCTTGGGACAGGCTGGGATTTGCAGCATTCCGCTGTCTGTCCCAGTCCCAGCTTGTCCCACCGCAGCCAGGACCCCTCCCCCACACGCTTTTCTTTCCGATTAGGACTATAAATCCAGCTTTGCAGACATCAGCTGCCTCCTGCAAATTGAGCCCAGGAACGTCCCTGCACAGAAGTTGCGGCAGGAAGTTAACCAGAACCTGAACTGAAAACCCCAAGAGGCGACAGGAAGCTCCTTCCCGACTCCCCCAGAGCAGCCAGGAGCCTCCTCTTCTGCGCCCCCTCTTGAAACCCAGCATGCCCAGAGTGAGCTCTCACGCTCCCTCCTTGGCCCCTCAGACCGTGGCCTCCTGCCCCGGAAGAGCCTTTGCTTGTTCAAATGAACCTCAGAGTAGTCACACCCAGACCTTGTTTTGCCAGAAGGTCCCCATGAGAGCTGAAGCGGGAAGCTGAGGTTCTGGCCCCATCAGCTGTGATTCTGAAATCTGACACATTACACACAAAGCTTTGTCCCTGCCCCAAGCATGTTCCAGATTCCTTGTAACTTCACCAGACCCCATGTCCGTTGCAGTGAACCTGAACAAACGGAGCTTCTGGGCAGGGGTCGGGGGGATCCTAAAGAACCCTGGGCCCACCTTCGCCCATAGCAGTCTGTCGAGCTGGTTCTCCAAGGCTGCAGCCTCCCCATGGGGCAGCTGCCGTCCCCACTCTGCCCTTGGCACAGTCATGTGTCTGAGCCCCAGTGCCTTTTGTCCAGGCCCTCTGCTGGGGAGGCAGAGTGCTGGACTCTGCTACCTTCTGCATGGAGGTACCCACGTGGCGGCAAGAGCCCAGTGGCTGTGGCCGCTTCTCCTGGAGGTGGGATGGGGACTTAGCAGTGACCACTAGTCACTGCCTCACGGTCAGTGTTCTTCCATTCCGCGCAGGGACTTGCCTTCTTGCAACAGTGGCCCCTCCAGGCTTCTTCATTCTTTGTGATATGTTGAAGTTCATTTGAACTGACTCTGGTTCTGTTGAGCTGTGTGTTTAGCTACTGCATTAAAAGGCTTCCTTCTACATAACAGCGGCTGTGCTCCTTCATCCAGGCCTTTACAGCTTTGCACCTGGAACTTTGCGGAGCTCCTGGGCATTCATCCAGTCTTGGACCAGTTTACTGAAATAACCTGCACGGGCCAGGCCTATGTGTAGTGCTCAGGAAACAAAAATGGATAGATGAATACAGTCCATCCTCTCAGAGCGAGCAGGTCATGAGTCACACAAATGTACAGTGCAGGTGGCTGGAGAGTCATGAAGGAGTTGTCCCCCAGTGTCTTAACTGCCTCCTGCAGAGATGCAGTGCAGCAGAGGGCCCCTGAGGAAGTAAAGCCTGAACCGAGTAAGGTGAGAGGCAGTGTAGACAAAGGATAGAGGGCAAAGGCCCTGTCAGGAGGACAAGGTGAGCAGGTGCAGAGAAGGGCCATCAGGTTCACAAGACATGGTCTGGGGAGGCTGGAGAGTGCTATGGGATCTGGCCAGAAATAGCGGCTACCACCCCCGCCCCACCCGGGCCCTGTCCTAGTTAAGTTCCTTTCCCCTCACAAAGCACAAGTTTTGTGACTGCACAGTGCAGAGGGCTTTGTCCCTTGGCTCCCTGTCACAAGCCAGCTCGACCGCAGTGAGCTGCTCCGTGCAGCGCTGCTGGCCTTTCTGAAGGGCGAGTCTGCGCCACCCGGGCAACCCCAGCCCTGCGGCCGACGGGGATTTCGGAGTCGGACACACCCCGTGGGCACGGCCAGCGGCACTGCACCGCCAACGACTGCCTGATCTGAGGCAGGCTTAGTGGTGACTGCCAGTCACAGGCGACTTGCATTGTCTTCTCAAACTCCAAAAGGCAAGCGTCTGGATTTCCTGGTGAGAACAGGCCAGGCCAGGACCCCTGAAGAAGCCTTGCTTTCCCTTGTACTGTGGAGATCCCTAGAGAAGTGGCGTGTGTCAGATTCCTCATCCCCCTCATTGTCATCTTTGAAACTTAGCTCCAGTCGGTCATTTCCAGAGAGACTTGGAGGATTAAAGTCTCTGCCTCCTGTGGGTTAATGTTAGGAAAGGGACACCCAGCTATTGAGGGGATTGTCTTAATGGCAGTGATTGGATTGCCCCGCCTCTCCAAAAGGTTAAAGGTCATTACATGAGGAAGACAGGGTCTTCGACAGGCTTCCGGGTGGGGGGCAGATCATAAGGGTTGCACAGGCCACAGAGTTTTGTCTGTGCCCATAGTAAGCTGCTGAAGGATTTATACAAGGATGAGACTTCAGATTGGGATTTCGGGAAAAGCCTCAGGTTGCACAGTGAAGGGCAGGTTGGGGACAGGCCAGCAGAGATGCAGCCAAACCAGGGAGGCACTGCAGGAGTCCCACTGGCGTCAGGTAGGTGTAGAGAAGCCTCAACAGAGCCAGAGAGGCTGTTTACTGAGTGCCTGGGTATTGGGGGTGGGGGTACGGAAGTCATGAGCTTGGCTTTAGACATGAATTTGAAATGTTAACAGATAACCAAGAGCCAGTGGCAGGTAGACAGCGGGATGGAAGGTCTGGGACCCAGGAGCTCCTAGAAAATTGAGGGTCATCCTAGACTTCGTACACTGAGGGGTTTTGAGTTAGATACCAAGGAGGAAGAAAGGCAGTGAGGAGAGGAGAGGGCTGGCATCAAGCCTGCAGAAACCCAGCGTGCAGCATTTAGAGGGAAGAGGGTGAACCCACAGGGACGGCTTAGAAGCGGGCAGGGCTGGATGACAGCAGGTGGGAGGCTTGAAGTAGCATGTGTGGTGCATGAAGACTGAGGCGCTGACACCCCTGCCGGGAACCTGAGACCCCCTCATTTCCTGTATGGGAAGAATAGCTTGACCTGGGACGTGTTTCTACAGGAGTTTCTACGCGGTCCTCCAGCCTGGCGCCTCGGTGTTGGCCCGCCCTACGGGGCGCTCAGGTCAGGGGTCCAAAAGCACCAGGCACATCAGATGTGGGTACCTGTTCCTGTAGACCATCCTTCTCAGTCCACGGCATGATGAAAGCCACTTAAACCCCGCCGGGCTGGTGATGGGCTGGTCCTTCCGAGCTTGGGGCTGCTACAGGAGGCCCAGCTTAGTTCCCGACAGTTCTGTTCTGGGATACTCAACCTCCGAGTACTCTGGCACCTGTCGGGATCCGATTCCTCCAGCCAAAGACCTAACAGTCAAGTCTACCCTTGCTCTGCCCCCACCTCCCTCAGAGGCAAGACAGATTTCTGCATCACTTTTAATGCACAAAGCAAGAGAATAGGCTGGCTGGGTGCCCAGCCTTCATTCCACAGCCAGCACTCAGGCACAGAAACAGACCAACTGGGAAATAAGTTACAGTTCACAGGGCCTCTGAGCTGAGAGCAGGAACCACTGTTCTCTTGGCAGCCCTGAGCATGAAGATTCCATTTTCTAGGGATGAAAGGGAAAAAGAATACACGTTTTTAAAGCATGGCAGTCACCTGGTCTCCCAAGAAGATCGAGTAGCCCAGGCCTTCAGGCAGGCAGAACCCAAAGGAATCCCAGCCAGGCAGCTGGCCAGAGAGCACCTCCTCTCTACACTGTGGTCGTCCACACCTGTGCCAACTGCACAGTTGATCCTCTCCCGATTCCCATACCTTCTTGGAGGCTCCACCCTGGAAGGGCCTCAGGGAGAGCTGAGGCACGGCAGGGTTCTCAGTGGCGTGGGAAAGGCCCTGCCCAGGTCTGCAGAGCCGCTCCCGGGCTCCGCTGCTCCGTCACCCTCCCACCCACCTGGCTTCAGTGCGTGAACACCTTGGGCTGCTCCGCGGCCTGGTGGGCCTGCAACACTGCCACCGCCTCTTCTATCTGTGGGACACAAGGGGAGGGGCTTCGCACAGGGGCCTGAAGGGCCTTGACCTCCCCCTGCCTCAGCACGTGAGAGGCAAGGATCCTCCTCCTCAAAACAGGGCTGCACTGTGGGGCAGCCACAAAGCCTTCACCCCGACACCGAGGCAGACACGGCTCGCCTGAGAGCTACGCAGCCCTGTAGGCGGTGGAGGGGCTGCAGCCGCCAACCCTTAAAGCCCCTCTCCCGCACTGAGGTTCATCCAAGTATTGGCAAGATGACTGGCAGTGTGCAGCAGCTGCCTACTGGCTGCTCCAGGAGAGCCCCCGGGCTCCACCTACCTTGGCGTGGAGGGACTCCGGAGACTCCAGCATGAGCAGCAGCTCCGAGTTGTCAATCTCCAGCAGCATGCCCGTGATCTTGGCAGCCAGCTGCTTGTGGACGTTGTGGATGAGGGGGTAGAGACGCTCCCCTGCGGGGAACAACCTCTGGTGGTTTCTGTGCAAACACGCCTGGCTCGGAACACCAGCACCCCAGGGCCGGCGACACGGGGCACGGCAGTGAGGACAGCCGAGTTCTTGTTCCAGAACTGCTCCTCGCGGGCTGTGTCCCTTAACCTTAACTGGCTCCAAGCCTCTTTTCCCAACAGGAAGGTGAGCGTAGCGGACCCTGCCTTAGAGGGCCGTTTGAAGAGTCAGACCTGTCAAGTGTGAGGCAATCTGCAGCATAGGGGCCGAAACCAAGTTGGTCACTGTTTACAAACTGCTTTTGTGTGTTATGTGAGAAAGAGCTGGAAGCATACGTATGGAAGTACCTGACGGAACGAGACTGGGGCGGGGGATAAATCCACCTGCCACCACCAGGTGTTTCTAGCGACGGCCTTGCTTTATCGGTGGTCAGCCCACCTTGGCAGTGAGTGGAGGGCCCAGCCAGGATGGACTGCCCCAAGTCGGGGGCAGAAGGGGTCTTCCCTTGTGGGAAGTGGCAGCGTTTACAGGACACTGCTAACAAAGCCCTTCTACCTCCACGAAGTACATTTGGGATGCGTCTGGGGACAGGGTGCAAACCCAAGGTCAGCCAACGAAGTGACAGGGTGCTGGCCACGGGGGCCTTCAGGGAAGGGTCTCGAGATCTTGCTTGTGAAGTAAAGAAGCAGCCAACCAGGAACAAGTTTGCTCATTCATTCAACAATTAGGGGCATCGTTTTGCAGGGCCTGCCCTGGACAGCAGTGATGGAGAAGAACCACACAAGGAATTCAGAGTCTGTGGGGAAGAACATGTTTTCCCAACACACGGACATCTCCCACCTCCCTGCAGTGGACACTGGGCGGCCAGGGACATTTGCAAGAGCTGCCTCTGCTGAGGAGAGGTGTGGGGAACAGGCTGTTTCCCAGCCCTTACTCCTGCCCTGGCCCCTGATCTCCCACATCCGCGTGTCTCCCACCTAAGTCACAGATTAGCAGAGCTGGAAGCAACCTAACCTAGATAGGAGAGGTGGCTTAGGCAAGGTCAACCAGCAGGCTGGTCAGCAACGAAGCTGGACCCAGCCCACGCTCCCAGCCCTCTCTGTTCCAGAGCTCAGGACCAGGTACTCACCAATCATCTGCTTCTGCTCGTGCAGGGGCGCCGCAGCCAGCATGGACGCAGTCAGGGGCTCCTGGCCGGGGACGTGCACAGCGGGCTCCTGGAGCTGCACACGGGGCCGGGACGCAGCCCTTAGCTAACAGAGGCAAGGAAGGCCTCGAACACTGTGCCAGGTGGGCACCAGGCCTCTAGGAAGGTTTTGCAAAAGGGAAGCAGGGCCCAGTTCTGGACACTGAGGTGGGGCGGAGTCCCGAACAAGGGTACAGTGGACCAGAAGACAAAGTGATGCTCTCTCGGACGTTTGCTGCGCTGCCATGACGTTCCCCTGACGAACTTCACCAAGCAAAAGCTACACGTCACCCCTTCAATCACTTGGTGCCCCCCCCCCCCAAGCACCGTTGGCCAAGTCAAACTTGACGGACACATCCCCAGCACACGTCTGTGCCTCTCACATCTTGGTAACTTTATTTTTTTATTTTTTGACAGGCAGAGTGGACAGTGAGAGAGAGAGAGAGAGAGAAAGGTCTTCCTTTGCTGTTGGTTCACCCTCCAATGGCCACCGCGGCCGGCGCGCTGCGGCCGGCGCATTGCACTGATCCGAAGCCAGGAGCCAGGTGCTTTTCGTGGTCTCCCATGCAGGTGCAGGGCCCAAAGACTTGGGCCATCCTCCACTGCACTCCCAGGCCACAGCAGAGGGCTGGCTTGGAAGAGGGGCAACCGGGACAGAATTGAGTGCCCCAACTGGGACTAGAACCCGGGGTGCCGGCGCCGCAAGGCGGAGGATTAGCCTAGTGAGCCGCCGCGCCGGCCAACATCTTGGTAACTTTTAAAGCATGTTTACTGCTTAAAAGACTACTCTCCTTTTGCAAGAAATAGTGTGATCTAGACCCACTGCACTTTTAGACAAGATAGCACAAGGCTGACCCTGAGAGGGAAATAAATCCAGAGCCTCACATTGAATTGTAGATATTTTCAGTTCTGTTTTGAAGACCCATCATGCCCTTTAATACTGAGCATATTCCTGGAATTCCTTTCCTGGCTGCTCAGCACAGATACTACAGAAATTTAAGTTCATGTTGGCAATAACCCAGGCAAAGTAAATCATAATTAATTAGTACACAGAATGCGACCCTGGGGCTGGCGTTGTGGCACAGTAGGTTAATCCTCCACCTGCAGCGCTGGCATCCCATATGGGTGAAGGTTCTAGTCCTGGCTGCCCCTCTTGCAATCCAGCTCTCTGCTATGGCCTGGGAAAGCAGTAGAGGACGGCCCAAGCACTTGGGCCCCTGCACCCGCATCAGGAAGAAGTTCCTGGCTCCTGGCTTCAGATCAGCGCAGCTCCGGCCATTGCAGCCATCTGGGGAGTGAAGCAACGAAAGGAAGACCTTTCTCTCTGTCTCACTCTGTCTGTGACCCTGGCCCTCTTTCCCCCTCCACTAGCCTCTTAGAAGCTGCAGACCTTAATAAATGAAAGTTCACAAGAGAAAACCAAGACCCATAGGGCTAACACTGTAGCCAAGGTTGTGAGCCAGGACTGCCGGAGCCCAGCCTCCACAGCCCGTGGGGTCAGCCTTACCATAGGCTGGCTGTGGTGGCCCCCTGAAGGGCATCGGTACGGCAGGAGAGGCCGGCCTGCGATAGGGCATCCCGTCCCGCTGGGTCCTGTGGTCTGGGTACCAATGTTGGCTGCAAAAGACAGGCAAGCTTGGAATGGCTACTCTCAAAACCAACTGAAAACAAACAAAACCAAAACCAAAAACAAGCATTGACAAGGAGGTGGAGAAATGGGAGACTTGGTACACTCTTGGTGGGAATAGCAGGTGGTGTAGCCAGTATAGGAAAAAAAAAAAAACTCAAAAAAATTAAAAATAAAATGACCATATGATCCAAAAATTGCACTTCTGGGTATAGACCAAAAAGAATCAAAAGCAGGGTCTCAAAAAGATATCTGTATCCAGTACCGCTACTCACAACAGCCAGGGAGTGGACGCAACCCAGGAACCCCATCCTCGGATGGACAGGTAGCACCACGTGGGATATCCAGATGACGGGATATCATTCAGCATGGAAGGGGAAGGAGACTGACATGCTACAACCTGAAGTTTTATGTTAATTGACTACAATAAAAAGAAAGCAGGGGCCAGCACTGTGGCGTAGCAGATAAAGTCTGCAGCACCGGCATCCCACGTGGGTGCCTGTCCAAGTCCCAGCTGCTCCACTTCCCATCCAGCTCCCTGCTAATAGCCTGGGAAAGCAGCAGCAGATGGCCCAGGTGCTTGGGCCCTGCACCCACATGGGAGACCTGAATAAAGCTCCTAGGTCTTGGTTTTGGCCTGGCCCAGCTCTGCCTGTTGCAGCCACCTGGGGAGTGAACCAGCGGATTGAAGATTTTCTCTAATTCTGACTTTCAAATAAATAAATCTTTAAAAAAAAAAAGAAAAGAAAAGAAAAGAAAGAAAGCGGCGGTGTCAGGGCCCAGCAATAACCTAATGTCAGGGACTGAGCCTGGCTCGTTCACTCAGATGTCCCAGTGCCAAGCATGGGGCCAGCACACAGTGGATGTGGAAGATCCACTGAGTGAAACAACAGAAGTGTTTGCCTTCAGTCCAAGTCGATAGCCTCATACATTCCCAGCTGCTGCAGTCCCTACTACACGCATGCAGGCCCTGGTTAATCCCCACAACAACGCAGGGCCACTGTTTCCATCCCGACTTTAGATTCCAGGTGAGCCCATGCTAACTACTCTGCTACACATATCAGCCTGGATGACTAAAAGGGTGTCCAGCAAGGTCACCATGGAAACCAGTCCCAACTCTCACCCCAGTGACAACCATAGCACCATGCCTTTGTCCCAACATCCCACACCCCCCTTCCTCATGGCCCTGCCCACACTCACCCACTCTTTGGGTGGGAGGCACCGGCCGTGCCACCTGGGTGGAGGCCTGCCTGGCACTGCTGATGTGGTCCCGGGGGCGCCGAGGCACACCTGGTGGCCGCACGGTGGAGGCAGCTGGAGGACAGGTGACTTGTGACACAGAAAACATGGAAGAAAAAGGTTGGAGGGCAGAGTCAGAGTGGCACCATGACCATGGGCCCTGAAGGCTCCAAGGCCATCTGGGATGGGCATCGAAAAGGGCACAGCTGGGAGTGGCGTGAATTCACCCAGAGGAGTGTGGAAGTTCACCATGGCAAAGCCCACTAGTGTCAGCCCATAACCCCAAGATGTGTGCCCACCCCGATCGTCCACTCCAGTGAGTGAACTTGACTCTCATTGGGAAGGGCTGTTCATCAACAACACAGCCAGGAGCCTCTCTTCCTCAGCTGTGCAAGAAGTTTCAGAGCCGTCAAACAGACGTCTTTGGGGGAGAACTTGATAATGGCCATGCAGCACACCTTTCGCAGGCTTGCCGCTGTGCCTGGTGCTTTATGCACACCTCACTCAGGCCCACGTGCTGGAGAGGAAACTGGGGCCCACAGAGGCGAAGTGACCCACCCTGGGAAGTGGCAGAACCAGGCTTAACCCCCCGGCCCACACCCCCAGGCGGAGGGGGCTGAGCACTCACACGAAGGTTGTGGAGGCTGGGCCGACCACCTGGGGGCAGGCTGGATGGGTGCCACGGCGCCAGAGCCAGCATACGCCGCCTGCGCTGGAGGCTGCAGGGGAGAACGGGACCTAGGATGAAGGGCTGTGCAGCTGGGAGGTGAGAAACGGCGTCATCAGGGGAGGAGACGGGGCAGGAGCCTCCCCTCCCATCTCAGGATGGCCACTGGCGCTGACCCCTACAGGACAAGCTCTCTGATGAGGCCCTTCCCTCCTTAGCAGAGCTAGCCCACATGCCTGGGGAAACGGTGACAGTCTTGCTCCAACTCACGCCAGCCTAAGCCACTGCTAATAGGAGAGGGCCCGTTCCCCATCTGATAGCCTGTGGTGGCTTTTATCTTTCCACTTCCGGTACGTCCCACGAGGGTCTAACACAAACCATGGTGCCGAGAACATTAACAGGCGTGGACAATGGTACCAAAAATGGTACCAAAAACCCCACTATCTGAGCCGGGGAAAAGCCATACACTCTGTGCCCATGTCAGAGAGTCCTAACAGCTGTTGGCACTTTAGGGTGGGCTAATGGGTAAAGAAATGTAGGCTTCCTTGGCTCAATGCAGCAATTCCCAAACTTATTTGGCCACAGGGTCTTGTCAGCACAGCACCGACAAATGTGGGAAAGGCTGCTAGACAGCAAACCTCTCGCCCCCTTTTACAGATGGGGAAACTAAGGCAAGTGCCAGAAACAACCTGCCTGGTGCGTTTTCAGCCTGTGATTGCTGCTCTACCTGGCCAGTCAGGGAGGGGGTGGCCGGGGCCATGAGCAGGCCATCACCTGGGGCACAGCGGGCAGGAAGTAGCGCGAGGGCTGCTGAAAGGAGCCCAGGAAGGGGCTGCCCAGGGCCCGCACGGTGGAGAGGCGCTGCATGTACTGGTTGGTCAGGATGGCCTTCCGCTCCTCCTTGCGCTGCGCCAGCGCCACATACAGCGGCTTGGTGCCCACGATGCGCCCGTTCATCTCCGTCACGGCCTTTGTCGCCTCCTCTGGAGAGGAAAAACACACAAAGCCAAACCCCTTGCTGTGGCCACCCTCTGTCATCACCTAAAAGCAAGACAAGACAAGGGTTGCTGGGGGCGGGGAAGGAGGCGCCCTGGGGCTGCGCTCCCCTCCTCCCCCAGGGCCAGCGTGCCGGGGACCCCGCGCTTGCTGAGGCCTACTGCATGCCAGATCCACACACACATACACGAGGAAAGGAAACCAAGAGCCCCCACCCAGCACACCGTCGGCTCAGCCTCGGCACCGTGCAAGGCTCTGAGCCAAGTTCTTTAGGTTGGGAAGAGCTTTTTAGCCTTTTCCTTAAAACAACCTTGATTACTGGGCACTAACTGCAGACTTAGAGGAGGCTTCCAAAAACGGTACAAAGCGTGGTCTCTCTGTGTCCCAGCCTCCCCTGCTGGCGGTGAACGTGACGCGTGGATCAAGGCTACCACATCATCTTAGCTCCTTTAACCACGGTGCTATTAACGGAACTCTACGCTTTATTTGCATTGCGCCTTTCTTTCCACTAATAGTGGATCAGATCCACTCTGCACTGAAGGTTCTAGACTTTGCCAAGGATCGAGACCTCAGTAAGGATTAGGGCTATTTTTAAACTTTTCCGATTCAGGGATGTCCCCACAGCACTCTGCTACCCACAGACCCCTCAGGGAGGCTGGGGGTTGGTTGAACTTGGGTGGGAAAAAGTGACACTTGTATTTTCCATTAGCATTTCCTCCTGTTAGGAATATGGGCAACAAAAATATATCATATGCTCCCATTTTACAGGTAGGTAAACACAGCATGGGGTGTGAGGCTGTCACTTACCTCGCATCCTACAGCAAGGTGACAGCAGGGTTGGGATTTAGATCTCGGTTGGATGGAGGTTAAGACACCAGCTTTCAGGCCCTGGCCTACACCAAGCACCCATGCACCTGCTGGGCACCAGGCACCAGCCACTTCCTGTCCTTACTCAAGTGTAGAGATCTTAATTTGCATGTCCCCTGGCTTCCTGTCCTGTTTTTCAAAAGGTCCTTGCCCAAAAACCATTAGAGCCTGCCCCACACCCCGACCCCGGGAACACTGGGCTTCCTGCAGAATGTTTTGCATACGGCAAAAGAGCTTCTAGATCACTTCCTAAGACCTCAACCATCACATCCTGCACGGGGGCCTCAGCCCCTCACCCACACCAATCTCTCCCACAGTGTCCTCACTCCCGCCTGTGGCTGTCTACTGTCTCAGAGCCCTGGCGGAGGAGGCTGGCTGCCACCACTTCTTCCAGGAAGTCCACCCTCCTGGTTCCTCAAGTTCTGCCCCCAGTACTGCCCCCAACTTTGAGTTACTGATGCTTCTGACTTGCTCTCTAGACTATGAGACACCAGAGGCACGGAGCACAGCTCGCTAGGCTTCCCATAGAACTTCGAAACACAGTGAATGGATGGGCACTGGGTCATCTTAATCACCCGGGGAGCCCTGCGTTAGAAACATGCCCAGGCCCCTCCCCCACAGATGCACCCTGAACTTTGATAGTTAAGAACCGTCCGGCAAGCTCAATGCCCTCATCCACACAAGGCTCTGCGACACCTGCTGGGGGCCAGCTGTCACATCTCGGTGCCTAACAGGGTTGGTGCTCAACACGTGGGGAAGAAGGACCGACAAACAATGCAGCCCAACCCTCTTGTTTTCCAGCTGGGAAAACAGACCCAGAAGGGTTATGTTCCTGGCAAAGAGCAGACAACCAAAGTCAACAGAAATACTGAGACATGCATTTCTGGAATCTGGCATACAGCAGGCACTCAGTAACCAAGGTTAAAGTGAGCCCCAGGAAGTCCAGATGGACGCCTGGGACCACAGGTCCACCCTCCTCCCCTCCAGCCCAGCCCAGGTTGCAGATGGACTGCAAGCGCCCACAGGGCCAGACCGGGCCCTGAAAGGGAGTCCCAGCAGCAGCTCCCTGGGAGCCGCTGGAGACGAAGTTGGGGGGCACAGGTGGTGGCGAGAGGACGAGAAGGCAGGCTACCCCCTGGAGGTGCCCGTGGCCCTCACCTTTGCACTGGTGATCACTCCGTAGGGAGAGAACTCTTTCCTCAGTTTCTCATCATCGATAGAGTCATCCAGGTTCTTCACATACAGGTTCACGCCCTGGAAGGAGGGGATGTCACTACATTGCCTCTTGCCTCCTCCACGCCCCAGACTGCCTTGGGGAGGTCAGGGGCCCAACAAGGGCGCAGGGGGCACTGGAAACACTGCCAGTCCAGCCTCCTGTAGCACCCACATGCCCCAACCGCTCTGCACACCTGCTCACCACCCCGGAGTCTCCTGGTGGCTCTCAGCCACCTGAGCGGGTCCCAGCCTCTGCCCAGCCTCCCCGAAGTTCATGGCTCATAGATGGGACTACAGCAGACTGAAGCACAGAACTCGGTGAGAACCCGACACAGCGAAGCAGCCGGCAGAGCCGCTCACAGGCCGGGATGTGGACCAGGCCCGGGGTGTAAGACGAGCAGCCATGGCGCTGCCTGCCTGCTGTGGAGCCCGGCGTCTTACCCTGCTCAGTGCCAGGTGCTTCTCTAAGCGCTTTTACGCATTTTAATTTTTAATCCTTACAACAAGCCTAGGAGAAGGTCACTCTTAGCCCTATTTCGCAAATGACTCCACTTGAAGCACAAACAGGTCCAGTCGATTGTCCCAGGCCATCCAGGCCTCAAAGGGCAGACGGGACTGAGGGGGCCAGCTGAGATGGGGGCCAGTGCTCCTCTCCCAGCAAAGGGCGCTTCACAACCACGCCTTTCTCGTCTCAGCCCTCCCAAGCACACATGAGTGGGAGCGACAACAGAACTGGGACTGCACGGCTGTACCACTTGCCAGCTTGCTCTCAGGTTGCAGGGTGAGACTTTTGCTTCCGTGCTTCCAGAAACCCTAGAAAATGTCTGTGCACAACAGAGCCTGTGTGTGTGTGTGCACCCCAGTGCTTCCCAGCCTCAGCACCAGTGCTGAGCAAATTCTAAATGAAAAAACAACAACAACAACAAAAAAAAGCAAACAAACATGATTACATGATTTGGGGGCTCTTTGGGGGGCTAGGGGAGACTGCTTGTGCAATGTAGGGTATTTGCCAACTGAGGCCAGGAGCACCCTAGCCCCAACATGTGACAACAGAAAATTCCACGCATGGCCAAATGTCCCCCAGCCCCTCATTGAAAACCCGAGTGTGTGTGTGTGTGTGTGTGTACACGTATACACATATCATATAGGGTACACACACCTATCAATAGGGGATCTAGAACTCTTACTAAAAACTTTAGATAGGGGGCCAGTGCTGTGGTGTAGTGGGTAAAGCAGCTGCCTGCAGTGCCAGCATCCCATATGGGTGCCAGCTACTCCATTTCTGATCCAGCTCCCTGCTAATGCATCTGGGAAAGCAGCAGGAGATGGTCCAAGTATTTGAGCCCCTGTACCCATGTGGGAGACCCAGAAGAAGCTCCAAGCTCCAGGCTTTGGCCTAGCCCAGCTCTGGCCTTTGCAGCCATTTGGGGAGTGAACAGGCAGATGGAAGATTTCTCTCTCTCTCTCTCTGCTTCTCTGTAACTTTGCCTTTCAAATAAATAAATCTTTAAAAAAAATTTTAGATGGGGTTCCCATCCCAAAAAAGATTAAGTGGCACCACACTATCATACTAATTAAGTTCACTAACTCAATTTGAATGGCCACACCACATTCCAACATTTGGATGTAACGGATGTGGCCTAACTATTCTCAGCCCACAGCAGGGTTTCCTCTAGGGGCATTGAGAACGTGTGGGATGTGTGACCGTCCGTGACTAGGGGATGCAGCTGGTACTGAGTGGACAGGGACTAGGGATGCTAACTTGTCCCAACCATAGGATTATTCCAACCACAAGGTCAACAACACCCCCCCCCGCCGCCATGGCTGGGCACTTGGGTTGCATCCAGTTTCCCCACCGGCACAGGCCAGGCAGTGGAGACCACCCAGTGCTCATCTGACTCCCACCCTGAGCCAGGCACAGGCGCTTTCAGGGGGGCCCCACCCCCAAGGCCTGGCCTCACCTGGTAGCGGTGCAGCCGGTCCTGCTTCACCTGCTCGAACTTGCGCTTCAGCTCATTCTGCCGCTCCGCCCGCTTCTGGGCGCGGCCCACGTACAGCAGCCGCCCGCTCACCTCCTTCCCGTTCATGTGGTCCACAGCCTGGGGGGCAGCAGGGCAGCGCGTTGGAAACCACCCAGGTGTGCTCCAGCTGCCGCCCTGGCCTCCAGCCCCATCTTCTGGGCCGGGGAGGCCCCCTGCACATCAGGCAGCTTTGCAGGCTGCGAATACCTGCCGCCAGAGAAAGGCCTCCACTGAAACCCTGACCATTTCAGAGGAAGTTCTGAATGCAGAGAAAAGATTTGAGGGCTTGATCTTAAAAATGAAACTGGGGGCTGGCGCGGTGGGACTCTGGCATCCCATATGGGCAGCAGTTTGAGTCCCGGCTGCTCCACTTCTGATCCAGCTCTCTGCTGTGGGCTGGGAAAGCAGCAGAAGATGGCCCAAGTCCTTGGGCCCCTGCACTCATGTGGGAGACCTGGAAGAAGCTCCTGACTCCTGGCTTTGGATCAGCGCAGCTCTGGCCGTTGTAGCCATTTGGGGAGTGAGCCAGCGGATGGAAGACCTCTCTCTCTCTGTCTCTGTCTCTCCCTCTCAACTCTCTCTCTCAAATAAATAAATAAATCTTAAAAAAAAAAAAAAGTGTTCTAAGTAACGTAACACCACGAATTTAGAGTTTAAAAGAGAAAAACAAAATTGAAACTCACCAAGTTTTGTATATTCACAGCTTAAACATTCCCCACTTAAAATGCACATTATTAAGTGAAAGCAGCCAACCTGAGAAGGCTACACACTGCAGGACTCCAACTGCGACAGTCTGGGACGGGCATAACTACAGGCTGGTCCAAAGCTCAGAGGTGGGGATGGGGAGGACGAGCAGGCAGAGCACCGAGGCTTCGGAGGGCAATGCCAAAGCAGTGCCTACATTCGTCCAAACCTATAGAACAGGCGACACCAGGTGCGAGCCCAGGAGTGATTGACACACTGTGTGACAATGACCTGTCCATGTAAGTTCACCCACTGGCACAAGCACGCCCCTCGGGGAGGGGCCATGGTAATGACAGCGGGGAGGCTGGGCACACGTGGGGGCAGGTGGGAAACTGTGCCTTGGGGCCAGTGCTATGGCATAGTGGATAAAGCCACCGCCTGCAGTGCCACAGGGGTGCTGGTTCAAGTCCTGGCTATTCCACTTCCAATCCAGCTCTCTGCTGTGGCCTGAGAAAGCAGTGGAAGATGGCCCAAGTCCTTGGGCTCCTGTACCCGCGTGGGAGACCTGGAAGAAACTCCTGGCTCCTGGCTTAGGAGCAGTGCAGCTCTGGCCGTTGTGGCCATTGGGGAGTGAACCAGCAGATGGAAGACACCTCTCCCTCTCTCTCTCTCTCTCTCTCTCTCTCTCTCTCTCTCTGCCTCTCCTCCTCTCTCTGTATAACTCTTTCAAATAAATATATAAATCTTTTTTTTTTTTTTTTGACAGGCAGAGTGGACAGTGAGAGAGAGAGAGAGAGAAAGCACTGCGGCCGGTGCACCATGCTGATCCGATGGCAGGAGCCAGGTGCTTTTCCTGGTCTCCCATGGGGTGCAGGGCCCAAGCACTTGGGCCATCCTCCACTGCACTCCCAGGCCACAGCAGAGAGCTGGCCTGGAAGAGGGGCAACCGGGACAGAATCCGGCGCCCCAACCGGGACTAGAACCCAGTGTGCCGGCGCCGCAAGGCGGAGGATTAGCCTAGTGAGCCGCAGCGCTGGCCAATATATAAATCTTTTAAAAAAGAAACTGTGCCTTCCACCTAGTGTTGCTTTGGACCTACAACTGCTAGAGAAATGTTATTATTTTGTAATCTGTTAAGGCATAGAGGCTTCTATGTGTACGTCCACATGAACCAAGCAGCAAGCATAATTCTTTCAAAATGGCCCAGCAGCATAATCCGCACGCTTCACTTCACGTTGGAATTCCCAGAACAGGAGAATCCAAGCTGGTAACCGCGAGGGCTCCGCTCATGACCAACACTGCTGTCTTGACTGGCCTCGGCCTGCCGGACCCCAAGGCAGACGCACAGAACCCTGCGTCTCCTGCGACTTCTCTCCGATCCCCTCCGCGTGGGTTTGTCATTGACTTTATCTACACAACGCAGCAGAAGTCAGAGCCGCGAGCATGCTGACTCAGCACTTGCGATCCGACACTGTGTTAATGAGAAGTGGGCAGGGGACAAGCTCTGGCCTCTGCACCACAAGCCCGCACCAGGGACTCTCCACCCGCATCGGCCCAGGCCGGAGAGGGACTTTCCTCCCCCTCTGCGGGCAGCTGGAGCCCCCTACTCCTGATCGCCTCCTTCCTGGGCCTGGATCCCTGGAACAGAGCAACGGGGAGGCTCCTACCTTCTGCGCTTCCTCGTGCTTCTCAAAGTTGACGAAGCCAAAGCCCCGGGAGTGGCCGCTGCTGTCCCTCATCACCTTCACACTCAGCATCTTTCCTGGGAAGCACCAAGCTGGCTCAAGGGGGAGGCTGGGTAGCCCCACGGAGGGGGGGGGCCTCCCCTTGCACAAGCCCTCAGGAAGCCCCGGGAGGGCCCCTCCTCCCTGCCAGACCTGAGAGCAGAAGAGGAGACAGAGTGGGCCCCTCCTCCCTCGGGGAACACACCCACCAAACTGGGAGAAGAGGTCCTGCAGGCACCGCTCATCCACGTCTGCCCGGAGGTTCTTCACGTAGATGTTGGTGAACTCCAGGGCCCGTGCCCCCAGCTCCGCCTCCCGCTCCCGGCGGGACTTGAAGTGGCCGACGAAGCTGCGGATGCAACAGCAGGGTAGGCAGCTGCCAGCCACCGGCCACCCCGGCCCACCCCTGGCCCACCCAGCAACCCTAGACCCCTTGGGCCACTGGGGCCCTTTCACCAGCTTCCACGCCCCTCGCGAGGAGGCCCGGCAGCCACCCAATGTCCACTACCTCCAACAGCCAAGATGCCTTGTTCCAAGCTTGTCCCCAGCAAGAGTGGGGACAAGACTTCATTCCTGGGACAAACCCATGCAGAACTAAGACTGTCCACCAGGCAGCTGAGCGTGCAGGCAGAAAGTCAGAGAGACAAGGGCTCTGCCGTAGCTGGTGTGACCTGTTACTCAACCTCCCTGAGCCTCTGTGTTGATTCTTCTTCTTCTTTTTTCTTTTTTTAAATTTATTTGACAGAGTTAGATAGTGAGAGAGAGAGAGAGAGAGAGAGAGAGAGAGAGAGACAGGAGAAAGGTCTTCCTTCTGCTGGTTCACCCCCAAAATGGCCACCACAGTCAGAGCTACGCTGATCTGAAGCCAGGAGCCAGGTGCTTCCTCCTGGTCTCCCATGCGGGTGCAGGGCCCAAGCACTTGGGCCATCCTCCACTGCACTCCTGGGCCACAGCAGAGACCTGGACTGGAAGAGGAGCAACCAGGACAGAATCCGGCGCCCATATGGGATGCCGGCACCACAGGCAGAGGATTAACCAAGTGAGCCATGGCGCTGGCCCCCAATGTTGATTCCTCTAATAGGGGATCAAACTCAGGACACAGAGCTTACTCCTTTGGCAAGCCTAGGGTGCACTGGAAAAGCAGAAGTGATCCAACACAGTCACTACCAGTGTCACTAAGGGGGTGTAGAGTCACAGCAATATTTATTTTAAAAATTACTTTCCTGGGGCCAGCATTGTGGCACAGTGGGTAAAGCCGCTGCCTGCAGTGCTGGCATCCCAAATGGGTGCCTGTTCATATCCTGGCCGCTCCACTTCCAATCTAGCTCTCTGCTGTGGCCTGGGAAAGCAGAAGACAGCCCAACTCCTTGGGGCCCTGCACTTGCGTGGAAGACCCGGAGGAAGCTCCTGGCTCCTGGTTTCAGATTGGCACAGCTCCAGCCAATTGCAGCCAACTGTGGAGTGAACGAGTAGATGGAAGCCCTCTCTTGCCCTCTCGCGCACTCTCTCTCTCTCTCGCTCTCTCTCTCTCTCTCTCTGCCTCTCCTCCTCTGTGTAACTCTTTCAAATAAATAAATAAATCTTAAAACACACACACACACACACACACTTTCCCGGGGCTGGCAGAGTGACATAAAGCTGCCATCCGCAGTGCCGGCATCCCATTTGGGCGCCGGTTCAAGTCACAGCTGCTGCACTTCCGATCCAGCTCTCTGCTATGCCCTGGGAAAGCTGTAGAAGATGGCCCAAATCCCTGGGCTCCTGCACCTGCGTGGGAGATCTGGAAGAAGCTCCTGGCTCCTGGCTCCGGATCAGCACAGCTCTGGCCGTTGTAGCCATTTGGGGAGTGAACCAGCAGATGGAAGACCTCTCTCTCTCTGCCTCTCTCTCTCTCTGCCTCTCCTCTCTGTAATTCTGCCTTTCAAATAAATAAATAAATCTTAAAAAAAAAAAAAAAAAAACTTTCCAAATCCATGAAAACACATCCAGGAAAGTGTCCCTGATTAAGCCCAAGCCAAGCCTAAGAAATTCTGATGGCACCCACAGCACATTCAGCTCCATCAGGTCGTAGCAGGCATCCGGAACTGAAGACAGCTGAGCGGCAAGGCCAATCCTGAGTGAAGTGCCACTAGCCAAGGGCACCGCGATCTGGTCAGACAGGTGGACAGGACGCTGCTGAGACACCCTGGACAAGCTGACTCTCTGCACCTCTCCCAGCTCCAAGCCACCTTCACCCCACAGCACTGACCACGCGGCTGGAGATGGGCAGAATCAAAGCTCGGGATGGGAACCACCAGGAGCAGACGCTCCCAGAGAGATCAGCATCTGCACCTCAACGTTCCCATCTGTGAAGTGGGGATGATATGGAACCTAACCATATGAAGATGGTAGGCTAAGCAAATGCCTATTTTTCTTTCTGCTTCCAAATCCCACAAAACAGAGGGGGGGATAAAGGGTTCAAGAAAAAAAGTAACAGCCATACCGAGAAAACAAGAACAGCTAAAAATCATTTGGTCCAGTTATAATTTGGCCTTAGCTGTTCCCTCTACAATCTCAAAGCATCACTGCTTTTTCTACCCAGAACGCTCCTCCAACAGCTCCATGGTCACACGGGAGAGTTCCCGAGAGATGAGGCGCCGAGGCCGTGGCCACACCTGGAGGAGGAAGGGCTGCCCGGTGCCCAGGGCCCGCCAGACGGGGTGGGGTGGTGCGGCGCCTCCCCCCGCCCCGCGGCCCTGACCGTCCCGGGCCGCCCACTCACACTTTGCGGTCATTGAGCAGCATCCCGTTCATGGTGCGGATGGCCTGCTGCGCAGCCTCGTGGGTCTCAAAGTGCACGAAGCCGAAGCCCCGGGAGCCGTGCTCGTCGCACACCACCTGGCCGCAGGGAGAAGGGCAGGGAGGTGGCCGGGAGAGGGTTCAGACAGGAAAGAGTGGTAGAGGCGACAATGCAGGAGACAACCCGACATCACACAGCACCCTGTTTTAGACATGAGCTCAATCCGTTTGCGCAATGCAGATTAAGTGGGACTGGGGGTGGGGTGGGAGTGTCCACTTAATGGACACAGTTTTCACCTATGCCACAGACCAGCAGAGTGGCAGAGGAGAGAAAGAAAGAGAGAGAGAGAGAGAGCGAGCGAGCGAGCGAGATCTTCCATCTGCTGGATCACTCCCCCAGATGGCCACCGTGGCCAGGGCTGGGACAGGCCAAAGCCAGGAGCCAGGAACTCTATCTGGGTCTCCCATGTGATAGCTGGGATCCAACTACTTGAGCCTTCACCTGGTGCCTCCTGGGTGAGCATTAGCAGGAAGCTGGACTCAAACCCAAGCACTCGGATATGGGACGAGGCTGTCCCCAGCGGCGTCTCAACCACTGTGCTAAATGCCCGCCCCCAACACAGGGGAAAACTTAAAACAGACACAGGAGCCCATTCATGACTGCTTTAGGGGACCAGGACTGAAAGGGATGGCACCTGCTTTCTCACTTTCTTCCCTGCCACCTTGGTTAAACACTACCAATTACTTCACAACAAACTGTCTGTTCTTTGCAAGGCACAAACATCCTATTCCTACGACCCTCCCAACTCGAGTTACAAGGACACAGCTTGAGGACAGGACAAGCCTTTCTGGTTCACAGGGTTGCCATCCCTCGTGTCGAACTTGCACTAAGACCCCAACCCTCATTTCAAGCGACCATGGCTCCGCCCCAACTCAGCCAAGTGGCATTTTCTGCCCAGATGAGCACCCCAGCCTCCCAAGCTCACCCCAACCACTGGGGCGCTCTTTCTCAAAGTCTGACCAACTCCTTTCATTTAACCTCTAGTGGCTTCTACCACTCACAACTCAGCATTCGGAGCCTTTCAGGGGGCCCTGCACAGCAAACCCTGCTGCCGCCCTCAAACCCTGCACACAGCATCTCCACTCAGATGTAACTACATTAACTGGGTCCCCGAGTACCTGCGAAGGGCATACATGCCTATATCTGCCAGTGGAACTCTTCCAGGAAATTCTTAACCTCTGAGCCACTGAGGGAAAATGGGAAGAAATGACTTGTCCAAGGTCCACCGGCAAGCAGAAGCAATCTGTTAGTTACCACTTATCACTTAGGAGCTTAACAGTGTGCCAGCAGCCTTTTCTGGGCTGTATCTCTTGTTGTTACACATACAACCCTAGGAGGTAAGCTCTAGGCCTGGAGAGAGACAGCGACTGGCCCAAAGTCACACAGCCAGGAAGTGAAAGAGGCAGGATTTGAACCCAGGCTGTTTGGCCCGGAAGTCCAAGGTCTGACCAGCTGCGGGTGCTGCTAAGTGGCTGGGCGGGGCTTGGCGCCACCTGGGCTGACTCGAGTCTAGTGTTCTTCCGATTGTGCTACAGAAGCGTCTGCCGAGCCCCTGGCTCTGGGTCACTCTGCCTCCCCCCTCAGAGCCCAACTGCTGGCTCTTCCCACAAGCATCACCACCTCCAAGCAGCCCGAGAGCTCCGGGATGCCTTGTTTCCGACCAGGCCCACACAGGGTCTCGCTGGGCCTGCAGAGACTCACCCGAGACATGCAGACCCCCGTCCTCAACCCCCAGTGGCCAAGAGGAGACTCGCAGCCTGGAGAAGGGATCGAGACTTAACTGCTCCCGGGGAAGTCAGCTTCTTCTGAGCCGCCTCAGGCCCTGGCTCTCAACGGCCTTTTCCCAGCTTCCCTTCCCTCCCAACCGTGAGCCCCGGGCCGGGCTGCCCCGCTGGGCCTCCAGGCCTCTCTCAGCCACAGCCTTCTTCCTGCTGCTCCTGTTCCCAAGGATCATCACTTTCCCACCCTTCAAGTTCAAGACCAGATCTGCTAACTGCACACACACACACACACACACCACTATGTTTCCCTTTGTGTTTTCTGGGGCTGAGCCTGCCTCCAGGCACAGGAGCCAAGGAACCCTAGCCTGCCTCAGCCCTCTCTCCCCTGTGAGCTCCTTAAGTCTAAAGATGATGAATTAAAAAGAAAAAAAAAATTCTGGCCCTGCCATGAGCCTGCCACCCCCTTGTAACACACCACTGTGGACAAGGGACTCCAACCCGCTCTGAGACCCTCCGTTGTCAAATGCAGCTTGGGGATTCTCCTATTGATGTCTTAAGGGACTCAGGTGGAGAACTCTATTTGGTTGGGTAACGTAGAAAACAGCACCCTTTAAGTAGCGTTTGATACACCTGCTGTTATTACAAGAACTTATCTCAAACTTAAGACTCTTTCCTCCACTGATGGTCCGAGGCAGGAAAGCGCCGTCTCCATCATGGAGGACCCTTAGCTCCTTACTGCGCCTCCTCGAGCCTCGGTCTTTCCCTCCAAGCACTGGGCCAGCCCCTCATTCACAGGGAGCTGTGTGGCCCGGATGAGAACTTGAGGGCTGCCCGGCACAGAGCAGCACAGAGCCCTGACCCAGCGGCCACCATGACTCCTCCCATTCTCCCCAGACGGCGGCCGCTGCAAAGGCTGCAGGGTAACTGACCTGCTACCCTCCCCAAATCCAGGGTCGGTGCACTGCAGTCTGAGCCCTCTGGACAGGACACACTGACCCTGGCCCTCAACCTCCCCGTGCGCCCAGAGACGTGAGCAGAGCCTTCTCCAATGGTAACAGCTCACTTGTTCAACACCCTTATGCTAGGGACCACTGTTCAATGGCGACTACACACAAGATCCTCCTTTCCTGGAACTTACATCCTAGTATAAAGCAATCTTGAACAATACAGGGGCCAGCCCTGTGGCGTAGCGGGTAAAGCCACCGCCTGCACTGCTGGCATCCCATATGGGTACCGGTTCTAGCCCCCGCTGCTCCACTTCTGATCCAGCTCTCTGCTGTGGCCTGGTAAAGCAGAAGATGGCTCAAGTCCTTGGGCCCCTGCACCCATTGGGAGACCCAGAAGAAGCTGCTGGCTCCTGGCTTTGGATTGGTCCAGCTCTGGCCGTTGTGGCCATTTGGGGAGTGAACCAGCAGATGGAAGATCTCTGACTCTCTATAACTCTCCCTTTAAAATAAATAAATCTTAAAAAAAAAAAAAAAAGCGTCTGGGAAAGAAGATGGACTAAGTGATTGGACCCACATGGGAGACCTGGAAGAAGTTCCTGGACCCTGGCTTCAGATCGGCCCAGATCCAGAAATTGCAGCCATCTGAGGAGTGAACTAGTGGATGGAATGGATGGAAGATCTCTTTCTCTCTAACTCCGCCTTTCAATAAAAAAAAAAAAGTTTAAAAACAAAACAAAACAAAGACAGCCCTATAATGCCTACTGCCCTGTCACTCAGAACATGGCTGGTCTTGCTTTGGCCAATGGAACGCAGAGGAAGCAGTGCTGGGCCGGGTCTGTGAGCATCCACTCTGCTCCCTGAGATGCAGCCAGTGCCCGGAGAACGGCCTGGGCCAGCCAGCCGGAGGACGACAGGCCACAGAGGAAAGCAGAGACGTTCCGGTCGCCGGCTGGCTATGCTCTCCTGGGCCCCGGGAGCTCTCCACAGGCACAGAAGAGAGCCCAGGGAAGAGCAGAACTGCCCGGGTGCTCTGTGCTGGCCAAGGGGCTCTTGTTGACAGCTCCCAAGTGTAGGGGTGGTTACACAGCGGGAGTGGACAGCTACCCAGGGACCCTCGGAAGGTTCTAGCGAGATACAAGCGAGAGAGAGGACAGCTGCCCGAGCACTCGGAGGGCCCGGTGGCCTGCAAAGTGCAGCGCAGCTGGGCATCGGGGTCCCCCACCCGCCCCGAGAGCCACGCCCACCTTGCAAGAGAGGATGTTCCCGAAGGTGGAGAAGGTGTCATACAGAGCCTTGTTGTCGATGGAGTCCTCCAGGTTCTTGATGAAGACGTTGCCCACGCCTGACTTGCGCAGCCCCGGGTCTCGCTGGGACCACATGATGCGGATGGGCTGGCCCTTGATCACCTCGAAGTTCATGGTGTCCAGGGCGCGCTCCGCTGCACCAGGGGATGAGAGAGCGGCGCAAGTTTAGGGGATTTCCTCACCCTGAATGCTCAAGGGGCCTCACGGAGAGCCAGAACAAAAGAGGTCATTGTCAGAATTGCACCTGAGAGAGGCCTGAAGGCTCAGGAGGGATAACCTGAGACCGATGTGTGTGATGCTCCTCCCACCTTCCAGTTAGGGTATCACCCCACACCTCACGGTAGCCCCATTGTACAGATGGGAAAATTGAGGCTCAAAATGGTGAAAGGTTGGGGCAAAACAGTGAAAGGTTGGGGCCGGCGTGATAAACAGGTTGAAGCCTCTCCCTGCCATGCTGGCATCCCATATGAGCACCCGTTTGTGTCCTGGCTGCTCCACTCTAATCCAGCTCCCTGCTAATGCACCTGGGGAATGTCCCAGGCTGCTGGCTTGCGTCTGGCCCAGCCCTGGCCATTGCAGCCATTTGGGGCATGAACCAGCGAATGGAAGGTCTTTCTGTCTCTCCCTATCTCTCTGTAACTCTGCTTTTCAAATAAACCAATCTTAAGAAAAGTGAAAGGTCAGTGGCAGAGCCAGGTGCACGCTGGGCAGACCAGAGCGTAAAGGGGACTGCCCCCCATGAGGTGGCAGCAGGCAGACACACTGAAGCCCGGAGGTGCCGAACAGCCGGGTGAGATTCCACGCCGAGCAGTCTGGCTGGGAGGGAAGCGCCCGTCACCTGAGCCTCAGCTATAAAGTGGGGATGATGATGATACCACCGGCGTCCCCACACCTACCTCCGGCTTGTTGGGCAAACTCAAAACTCAGTAAAGTCCACAAGGTGCCTTGCTTGTACGCGGCACCTGCCTGGTGCCCACCCTCCTGCCACTGCCTTGGTCCAGCCCCTCCCCCAGCTAACATGCTGTGCCGTGTCCCCTGCTGAGTTCCAGGGCACAGAGCAGGGCTGTGGGGAGCAGCGTGCAGCCAGTGTCCGGGAGCCTGGGTCCCCCTCTCGCCTGAGCAGCCACAGCCACAGCCAAAGCCTCCCCCCGCCCCATGAAGTCGCAAAAAGGGCAGGGCCTGGGGAAAGACGGGGAGGGGGGCGCCCGGGAATCCAGCTGGGCCTCACACACAGGGGACCTTCCCCTCCCACCCAGAACACCTGGGGCAAGGACTCCCTCGCTTGAACTTGGCTGGGACAGACCGTCTTGGGTGGTTTCCGACCAGGGCAGCCACGGGTATTCCTCTTAGGTGGTCACGTAAGCGTCCCCAGCTTCCCCCCGGCTTTGGGAGGATAAGCCGTAGGCCCATTTCACGGGTGAAGAGCTGCACGGCTAACATCCCGAATCCGGGGCTTTTCATCTTTACTGTCTCTACTCTTCTCAGAAACGCCCAGACACGCGCGTGTGCCAAGCCCATCCCGCACACGACCACTCTGAGCCAGCCCGCGCCTTGGACACTGGGGGCGCAGCTTTGCGGCCGCAGACCTCACACCTGCCCGGCTCACCAGCTGCGCCCGGAGCCTCTTCCCCAGGTGCTGGGAATCTCTCAGCCTCACGCTGCTCTAGAAAGCACGGAAGACCCTCCCCTGCCCCCTTCCAGAAGGCAACTGAGGCCCAGAGGGGCTGAGCAACTGGCTCAAAGTCACACAGCTGCTGGGTTTCTGTCCGTGGTCTGCCTGACCCCAAAGCCCTTTGCTGTTTTCTCTCGGCCTTAATCTGCCCCCTTGGTAAAGTGGAGCAAAATACCAGCAAACCACACGGTAACGGCCAGTTCCTGCCTCGGGGCTCCAACGCCCTGGATCTCTCTGGGCCTGTTTCCCTGGCTGCAAGTGGCCGGTGGCCGCGCTGGAGGCCCCCCCCGCCCCCGGGCGGGCTCACCGTCGGCCGGCTGCTGGAAGTTGATGTAGGCATAGCCCAGCGAGCGCCGGGTGGCCACGTCGCGGCACACGCGGATGGACAGGATGGGGCCGGCGGGCGAGAAGGTGTCGTAGAGCATGGCCTCAGTCACATCGGGGTGCAGGTCGCCCACGTAGAGCGAGGCGAGTGGGTAACCCGAGCCGCCGGCGTTCATGGTGGGCAGGGGCCGGGGCTGCGGGGACAACGAGGAGCGGATCCAGCGGGCGGCCCCGCGCTCTCCGGGGCGGGAGCCTGGCAAGCGGCGGCGCGGACGCCGGTCCCTCCGCTCGCGAGCGCCCGCCCGCGCCTTCCCTTTACCGCCCGGGGCCTGCGCAGCAACCGCGGCGCGCGGCTCACCTGGGCGCCCTCAGCGATCAGAAGCCGCAGGTGGGACAACCGCGACCCCGCCGCCGGCAGCCCGGCTCGGCGCTCCCCGCGGCTGCTCTCATCTCCGCAGGGACCGTTCCGCCAAGGCCCCGTCGTCCGTCTCTACAAAGGCGGACAGCGTCTCTTGCCAAGGATTGCACAGGAGCTCACAGACACGCTGCCCCCCGGGAGTCGTCCTCAGCACCGCCTGACCCAGTCCCACCCGTGCGCTCGGAGGACCGACCCGGCCTTGCTGAGGGCTCCGCGGGAGAACGGGAGGCCACGAAGGGCCGCCACGACACTGGCTCTTGCACTGTCGGGACCGCATCCACCTTATTGTGGACTAAGCCATTCCACCTGGGCCACCGAGCGACCCGGGTCCCAGCCGGTGTGGAACAGCAGAGCAAGGCAAAGCGGGTAGCCTCCGACGGAGCAACGAGGCTCAGTCGGAGCGTACAGCCTCAATCGGTTTGGGACGCAGGCCACTTTATAACAATCCCAAGCCCTTGCTTCCCATGGAAACTGGCTTCCCTGCCCCAACAGAGCCGGTAGGCTCCAGCTGACCTTTGCCTGGGTGTGCCTTTGACGGGAAGACTTGGTCTGGCTCTCCAGCCTCACAAGGGCAAGGACGCACCAACCAGTTTTAGAAATGAGCTTTGAACACCCCTCGAGGCCCTGCCTGGGAAGCCGGTTGAGTCCTGACCACCCCTCTTCAATCCAGCCAAGCAGAAGGGGATGGCCTAAATGCTTAGGTCCCTGCCACCCATGAGGGAGATCCGGAAGAAGCTCTGGCCTGGCCCCGCCCTGGCTGATGCAGCCACTTGGGGATTGAACAAGCAAATGGAAACTCACTCTGTATCCCCCTAACTTTCAAATACATGTCTTAAAAAATCCCCTCTATGTTGATTTCTCTCCTTGGGGGAGGGGAGCGGCTGTTTTCAGAGGGGGGGCAAGTCCCATGGGGAAACCACTGCCGGCTACCAACAGCGCAGGTCCATGCATGGACATGGCCAAGGCTGATGGAATCACAAGGCTTGGCTGTAGCTGACTGTTCTGTCTTGAAAAGGGAAAGGACAGGAGTTCGGCCTGGCTGGTTAGCCAGCAGCTGGGATACCTGTTATGGGAGTGCCTAAGTTTGGGTCCCAGTTCCATCTCCCATTCCAACTTCCTGTTAATGTGCACCCTGGAGCCAGTAGGTGAGGGTCCCTGCCACTCACATGGGAGATTCGGATTGTGTTCCAGGCTCTTAGCTTCTACCTGGCCTAGCCCTGGCTGTTCCAGGTAGTTAGGGAGTCAACAAGTGGACAGGAGAACTCTCCACCTCAGATACGATTATAAAATAATTAACTTCCCACACTGAATCTTACGAGCCATAAAAGGTGACCGAACACCTTGATGGTTTGTTGTGGAAGGAGAGAAAGCATCAAGCAATGGGCTGAAAGAGGCTGTGTAATTAACAGTCATTTTTCTCCTGATGAAATAGAACATCCAGTCTTTAAAGAAAAGAGAAAGCCAAATATTAGCCGTAACCGGAGTAGTTGGCTAGGTCTGGTGTGAAGGAAGCAGTGGTGACACATCAATCCACAGGCAAGCAACCAACTGATAAAATTTTTTATTCCACTTTGAATTTGTACACTTTTCCTGATTATTCCGTGTAAGGTGAAACTAGAGCTGTTTAAAAGACAAACACAAACCTAGTACATCAATAACCGGGGATTTTCTTTTTTTGCTATACTATTTTCACAACCACAGGTGTGCTTGCTAGGCAATGTAACCATCACAGAAGCAAACATCAGGCAGAATACTGGTGAGGAAAAACAAAGCAAGAAAGAGCTACCAGCTACACAGACAGGCTTGGCTCCGCATTCACTACCGCACTTTCAAGCGCCAAGAATGAACTGCACATTTTTGTTCAGCTAGAAAGAAGGGATTTTTTTTTTTTGGTTTGTTTTAAATCAGTGCATGAATGTTTCTTTTCTCATGTCAGCAGATGGACGAACAGGACTCGAGAGCTACGTGGAATGTCAGAGGTGGAGGGCGGGACTGCGGGAGTGCAGGGCCTGGCTTCTCCATTCTCACTGCGGTGTCCATGCGCTTCCCTGCACCACGGGTCTCTGCGTCAACACGTCTGGGGACTGCGCAGGAGGAAGGAGCACACCTGGCGGATCTGGTGACCTGTCCTAACAAGCATTATCAGGGCTGGCTGCAATGCAGGGGAGTCATGGACATTTAAAAATACTCCTTTGGATTCTCATCTTGACGTGACTGGAGAACAATGGTCATGCTGGGAACTGGAGGAAGACAGAGCCAGGGTGCCGGGAGCCCTCGGAAGCAAGGCCTGCTCACCAAGGTGCTCACCAACATCTCTCACCCTCTGCCTATTTAGTATGACAAAGTGAACAAGAGAAAAAGAACTAGGAAAGAACAGAAGGAAGAAGGAGGACAGAAACTAAAGGGGGAAGAGAAACCCATGGTCAGCAGTTAGGAAGGACAGGGGGAAGAATGTTTAGGTTTCCAAATGTAAAAGCCCCGAGCTAGGAAGAACCCAAGGACTGAGTATTCTTCAAGTGAAAGGCAGTCTCTCCAGAACCCCGTTCCTACAGGTGTTATCCAGGACACGGGAAGGCCATCCATAAGACACACGGCTTTTTTTTTTTTCTCCTTTAGCTAAGTGGTTACAAGGAAAACAGATTGCATCGTTCTCAAGTGGCAAGTGGGTAACATATTGCTGAAGGAAATGGGGTTCAGTCAGCGCTGTGTGAGCACTGGACCTTGTGCAGTGTCATAACCCAGTTATCTGCCTCAAAGAATTTTAATTTCAGGTTTTGAGTTTCCTCAGAGGATGACACCATAGACATTTGTGGTCATGAACTTTTGAGCCCAAACCAGTTACGTGTCCTTAAACCCTGACCAGGCAGAATTACTGTGAATTACCACTGAATTTGAACGCCAAATGGTGGTGTCTCGCTCCAAGTCCCAGCATCACAATATAGTTTCTATAACTTTCTGTACAACTTTACAATGGATTTGTACTTCAGTGACTATTTTGATATCAGATTAAACTTTCCAAAAGTTACACATAATTCAGGTCTTTTTTTTTTAACCAGTAAGAGTTCTGCTAAATTACAAAACCCCATAATCACAGTGTTCAGTTTTTAAAAATTAAACACACAGTAATCCTGTCAATGTTAATCAAAATCAAAACTTCAGAATGCCGTGGCATTTATGTGACCAATCTAGATTTAGATACAAATACCAGCTGTTTATCCCATAGACCATTTTTGCTAGGCTGAGGCTGTGAAAATTGAAAGTCAACGTACGATTCTTTTTATCGCACAAAGGGATGTATGTGGAGGGCACAGAGTGACACCGAACAGATCACAAAGCACGGCAGACATTAGTTCTCTCCCTCCCCAGCATCTCCTTCATCTCCCTGGTTTTCCGACGTCCACAGCTGCAAGAAAAAAAAAAGCACAATAATCAAAGTAGGGCTATGAACACTTACTCAGGGAGGTGGCCCAGTCTATGTAATCTTATCTCACGGAATTATTTAAAATTCTTCCTGTATTACTGCAGTGATGATTGCAAAGGTCAAAACTCAAGTAGGGGCTGGCGCTGTGGCTCAGCAAGTTACACTACCGACTGCAATGCCAGCATCCTATATGGGCGCCTGTTAAAAGACTCCTGGCTGCTCCGATTCTGATCCAGCTCCGTTCCAGCATGCGCCCGGGAAAGCAGCCGAAGACGGCCCGAGTGCTGGGGTCCTTGCACATGAGACTCAGACGAGCTCCTGGCTTCTGCCTGGCCCAGCCCTGGCCACTGCAGCTATCTGGGTGTGAACCAGCGGATGGAAGATCTCTGTCTGCCTCTCCCTCTCTGTAACTTTAGCTTTCAAATAAATAAATCTTTAAAAAAATTTAACTACAGGCCGGCGCCGCGGCTCACTAGGCTAATCCTCCGCCTAGAGGTGCCGGCACACCAGGTTCTAGTCCCGGTTGGGGCACCAGATTCTGTCCCGGTTGCCCCTCATCCAGGCCAGCCCTCTGCTGTGGCCAGGGAGTGCAGTGGAGGATGGCCCAGGTGCTTGGGCCCTGCACCCCATGGGAGACCAGGAGAAGCACCTGGCTCCTGGCTCCTGCCATCGGATCAGCGCGGTGCGCCGGCCGCGGCGGCCATTGGAGGGTGAACCAACGGCAAAGGAAGACCTTTCTCTTTGTCTCTCTCTCTCACTGTCCACTCTGCCTGTCCAAAAAAAAAAAAAAAAAATAACTACATTTAACAAGATATGATCCCTCTTGAATCTTGGAGAACAGAGAATTATTAAGTAGATGGAAAGGAAACAGACTGAAAGCCCTCCAGAAGTAGCACTCACGGTGAGATTGTCTCTAAGCAACTGCATGATCAGGGTGCTGTCTTTGTAAGATTCTTCATTCAGTGTATCCAATTCAGCAATTGCTTCATCAAATGCCTAAAACAAAGAGCTGTTAGTAAAGAATCCAAAAATTCTCTGGAGCTGGTTTAACCCATTTCTTTTGCACTATTAAGTGACTATAATTTCTTTTCTTGTACAGAACTTCAGGGCAACCTGGGCTATTATTCCCTTGTTTGCTGGTTGCTTCAGCAAACATACAATGTACATTTACAAAGCAGTAATGAACAATGACAAATATTCACAGTAAGAACTGTTGTACCCTCTAAGTAAGCAGTATTACTAGTAGCCCTAGCACATTTACTATAGGCAAATTCACAATTCTTTAATTACCAAAGACATTTCTAGTACTTTTTTTTTTCATTCTTGCTTTAACTAATACTCAAAAGGTCTGGATACAAAGATTAAAGGAAGACGAGTGAAACTTTTATCACTAAATCTGATTTAACGGATACAACTCTGAGAATTCATTTCATAGTGTGCATATTGAAAGACAACAACAATATGTAGAAAAGACTGAAGAGAGGAGGTAATTCAGTACACGAAGCACATGTGGTGTGACTTGTTCCACTTACACAGCCACAGCCTCCCATCTCCATACAAGGATGACAACACGCAATCCAGGCCAAAACGTGACGAGAAACAAGAAACTATCTTCACCTGGAATTTTCTACAACTCCCTCTCCCAACAAAATGCAAAAAACAAGTGAAACAAAACAAAAATCAGGAGGAGTTATTGAGGAAAACAATTTAAAAAGGAAAAGGTCTATATTTGTCTCATGAAAGAAATAATCTCACTCCCAGAAAACCTTTAAAAAGTCCAAGACAGTGAGTATGTTCAGGAATAAAAAGAAGACATCAAAAGCAAAGTTTATCAGGACCTGCAACCACAGCGGGTCTGTCTTACCGTTTTTGCCAGGCTGCAAGCCTTTTCAGGGGAGTTTAGAATCTCGTAGTAAAAGACGGAGAAGTTGAGCGCCAGGCCAAGCCGAATTGGGTGTGTGGGCTGCATTTCTTTCTTACTGATTTCAAATGCTTCCTGGTAAGCCTGCTGGGAGTTCGATACAGTGGCTGTAAGAAAGATGAAAAAATATTAAAAGCTGAGTTCTTTCATAGGTTGACACTGAATCTGTCAAAGCAGGTCACAGCAAATGATCAATCACTTAAGTTGTCACTATCTCCACCATTTAATTATACATTTGTCAAATATTTACTTACAAACCAAGTACTATATTAAATGGGTGGGAGGACACAAAGACAATTATAGAAAGGTCTACCAAAGGAATTAAAAAACCAAGACACAACTTTTTTTTTTTTAAAAAAGATTTACTTTATTTATTTGAAAAGCAGAGAGATCTTCCCTCTGCTGGTTAACTCCCCAAATATGGCGAAGGCTGAAGCCAGGAGCCTCCTCTGGGTCTCCCATGTGGGAGGTAGGGGCCCAAGCACATGGGTCATCCTTGGTTGCTTTCCCAGTGCATCAGCAGGGAGATGGATGGTAAGTAGAGAGCTGGGACTTGAACGGGCGTCCCTATGGGACACTGGCACTGCAGGCGGTGGCTTCACCCACTATGCGACAGTGCCGGCCCCAGACTAACATTTAATAAAACAGAATATGGACAACAACATGCCCTGGGTAGAAGGTCCTATGCTTTATAGCCAACAGACCCAAACTTCAATTCTCAACTCTTACTAATTAAGTAGCCGAGCGCAAGTAAAAACCTCTGTGAGGGGCAGGTGTTTAGCCTAGCAGTTAAAATGCTCACGTCTCCCATCAGAGCGTCTGGGTTTGATTTTTCAGCTCTGGCTCCTAACTCTGCTTCCCTCTAATGCAGACTCTGGGAGGCAGTGATGACAGCTCAAATAATCAGGTTTCTGCTACACATGTGGGTAAACCTGGATTGAGTTCCTAGTTCCTGGCTTCTACCCTGGCCCAGCCCCAGCCACTGAGGGCCTTTGGTAAGTGAACCAGCAAATGGGAGCTCTCTACCTCTCTACCAACATATCCCCAACAAAACCTCTGTGAACCTTGGTTTCCTTATCAGAAAAATAGGTAGACTTTCATCTAAATTCAAAAGGTGGGGCTGATGCTGTGGCATAGCGGGTAAAGCCACCATCTGTAGTGCCAGTATCCCATATGGGTGCAGGTTCAAGTCCCAGCTGCTCTGGAACACCTCTCTCTCTCTAACTCTGCCTTTCAAATAAATAAATAAATCTTAAAAAAAAAAAAAAAAGACTCGTAAGGTTACATGAATAATAAATGAGACTCTAATACACTTGTCACATAGTAGCACTTCCCTTATTCATGGCAGAATCTGTTCCAAGACCTTCGGTGAATGCCTGATTTTGCAGACATAATTAAACTATATAAACATAACACACAGTTTTTTCCTATATATACATACATACCTATGATAAACCTTAATTTACTAATTAGTCACTCTAAGAGATCATGAAAATAATGATGAAATAATTATAATATACTGTAAGTCTGTACTTTGGAGCCACTATTGATAAAACATAAGTTATCTGAACACAAGTCCTAAGACACTGCATCATCCTTCTGGTAACCAAGATAACTACTAAGTGACTAGCAGGCAGCAGCTTGTAAGGTGTCAACAGGCTGGATCAAAGGATGATTCGTGTAACACAGGATTTAGTCCTACTACTCAGAATTGTTTATTTTTGGAATTTTCCATGTAATATTTCAGACTGGTCAACTGTTAAGTTACTAAAACCTTGGATAGGCAAGGCAGTACCATTGCCAAATACTCAAGATATATATCTCTTGAAAGTTACCAGACTTTCAATGAACTCCACAGGCTATTTGTGTCTAAAACACATTCTGATTTATCAGCTTCCATAACCCCATTCACCACAATGCTGTGGTCTTTAAATTCTTTAGAGTATGGAGATGTTATCTACTGAGAGCACACACAACAAAAACTGTTAAAATCATTACAAAGGAAGATGTTTGTTTTTAAAAATGTTACTCACTTTGCTTATTGTCTCCAGATGCCACCTCAGAAAGATACCTAAAATAATCTCCTTTCATTTTCAAGTAGAACACCTTACTTTCTGGTTGTGTAGCATTGGGAATAAGGTATTTGTCCAACAGCTCCTGGAAAAACCATTCACACTGTTAAGAATTTAGAAGTATTTAAAAGATGTTAAAACTGTATTTGAGATTCAAGATACAAACTGCCACTTCTAAGGAATTTTTTTTTGAAGATTTTAAAAAACCCATTTTTCATCCAAGTTACTAAACAGTGTTTAGCCCAGGTTCTAAAAGCAGATGCCTGTATTCTGTTAAAAACCACTTTGGCCATCCAAAAGGGGTTAAAGTTCAGTCAGACACTGGATGTTATGGAGGCCTTAAAACTGGTGACGCAAAACTACACTGAAATCATGGAAAGGCTCTCAAAAGAAATATGATTATAAATATGGGAAGAATCCTGTTTTAATGTTAATATATGTGTACATGCACACAAACATGGGGAAAGCCTGGAAGGATTATGCTAATAATGCTTCTCTTGATGATAGAATTAGAATGATTTAAAAAAAAAAAAAACTTTGTGATTTATATTCTTTTACCTCCCCTTTAATAATATAAGCTTGTAATATTTCCATAATGAGGAAAAGAAACCAGAAAACAAAACCTTTCCATTCAGGGAGGAAAAGGTGACAACAGAGCAAAACTGAAAGAGGTTTACAGTCAATCCGACCTGGGTGGCTGCTGTCTGTCTGTCTGACCTCATCACCTCGAGCCTCAGTTCTGCTGGGCGATGCCACAAGGGATCACAAGGGATCACAAGGGATCACAAGGGATCACAAGCACCACCTTCCAGGCCAGTTCTGAGGCCAAGTGAGCAAACGTCGCCTGGCACGTAGTAAGCACTCAGAGCGTAGCTAATACTATTACCAACAATAAATTCCTTTAAACATTTATGCTTACAACAAAAGTAGTTCTGAAGGAGTCCAAGCTTCGTATACAGAGCAATATTTTCGAAGAGTTGTTTTAGAATGTGGCATCCTGAAAAACTGGTTAAGAGGCAGTAAGTACCATGCTCTTCTTCACATTCCTTCAGGTGCTCTTAAAAGCTGGTCTACATTTCAGGAATTATGGAACTTTCTTGCCTTTGGAATGCATGCCATACTTCATCTGAATACCAGATGTACCTAACATTCAGGAATTAGTGCACCATTAACAAAGCCCCAAATTACCAACAGGCAACAAATTTAGCCCTGACACTTACACCGTGAGTCTAGTAGGAGAAGCAGCTGAATGCAAAGCTAAGTCAAAGTGAGAGGACACGGGAGAGCAGCAGTGTAAATATTCAGGCAGATGGGGTTAAACTCCTCATGGGCTGGGGATGAAGAGTACTGCCTGCTGGCCAAGAAACTGCCCTAGTTTTCAAAAGAAAGGTGTCACGGCCAGTAATTTGGAGGCAGTCAGCAGGGGAAAGCCAGATAACAAATGTGAATGGATCCTTTTCCCCTTCAAAGCAGCCTTCACTGTACATTTTTACCTGATTTCACCTGAAGGGGAAAAAAGGTCCCGGTAGCTCCAGGTGTGAGGGAAAGACCAAAAGACCATGATTTGCTCCAGGATATACACCCTTCCCTCCAACCCCACACTGTGGCCAGAGGACATCGGTGACACCAAGCGAGGGCTTGCATCAAGCATCAGTGACAACAGTCCAGTCCACCTTTGATCTGGTTTTAGAAGGCATGCCAAACTTGACGGGTGCGCCTTTCAGACAAAGACAGGCCTTTATATTGTGAGGGCTGGACTGGAGAGGGACGGAAGGGCAGCTCAGCTTTTTGATCCTGCCTGCCCAACTACAGATGACATCACCACTGAGACTAACACACAGGATGGCCTATCTGGGGCTGCAGCTATCTATGTGGGAGAGAAGATGGTGTGGTGTTGATTAAATGTTCCTTTTTCACAGCTCTTTTGGGTAGGAGAGGAAAATACCCCGGAAGTGATCAGCAACCTCTGATCAAGCGAAAGGTGAGAAAGATCACATCATACGCTGAAAAACTAGTTGCGAATGACGCGCAGCTTTCCAGTGCATTCAGACACCTCCCTCAGCAGCCGAGAGCCTGCATCTGGACACTAGTCAATGCTCTTCAGAAACTGCTGTCGGAGCGGAAGCACGGCCACTTACCAGAACATCATTGCAGATGTCCTGCAGCTCTGCCTCTATCTTCTCACGGTACTCTTTGCCCATCTGCTGCTTCTTCTCATTCCTCTCTGTTTTCTGTTCAATGCTGGAGATGACACGCCAGGAAGAACGGCGGGCGCCTACCACGTTCTTATAGGCCACAGAGAGCAGGTTTCTCTCTTCATTGGAGAGCTCGTGCCCTTGTTCCGTGACGGCCTTCATGGCTGCAGCCATATCATCATAGCGCTCGGCCTGCTCAGCCAGTTTGGCTTTCTGTACCAGCTCACTTTTGTCCATGGTCATTCCCTAGAATGAGAAAAACAAAGAGAAAGCAAGTGTCAGGCTTTGGAAGAGACCAGGAAATGAACGTGTGAATCGTCTTCCAACCCACACCTAACTGTGAAACTCCCAGTGCCAAATACCACCACCAATACTGATCCCTCTGGCTTTTTCCTTACTTGAGTCACGTACTCTTCCCCAAGCCCTACAGGGTAGGTATGTTCACAGCAACTCTCTTCCCCTTTTCACAGGTGAAGAAACAGAGAGAAGGTGAGGGTTATGTCCCAAGGAACATTCTAAGCAGAAGACGGTAGAGAGGCAACTCAAACTCAAGCCTATTAGGTTTAAGATCCACTACTGGCCGGCGCCGCAGCTCACTAGGCTAATCCTCCGCCTGTGGCACCGGCACCCCGGATTCTAGTCCCAGTTGGAGCGCCAGATTCTGTCCCGGTTGCCCCTCTTCCAGTCCAGCTCTCTACTGTGGTCCGGGAGTGCTTGGGCCCTGCACCCGCATGGGAGACCAGGAGAAGCACCTGACTCCTGGTTCGGATCGGCGTGGTGCACCGGCCACAGAGGCCACTGGGGGGTGAACCAATGGAAAAGGAAGACCTTTCTCTCTCACTGTCCACTCAGAAAAAAAAAAAAAAAAATCCACTATTATAGTCTGCCTTTCCAACGTAGACACTGCTTAGTAACTATTTCTTTAAAAGCATATGCTAGGCCGGCGCCACAGCTCACTAGGCTAATCCTCCTCCTTGCGGAGCCGGCACACCGGGTTCTAGTCCCAGTCGGGGTGCCGGATTCTGTCCCGGTTGCCCCTCTTCCAGGCCAGCTCTCTGCTGTGGCCAGGGAGTGCAGTGGAGGACGGCCCAAGTGCTTGGGCCCTGTACCCCATGGGAGACCAGGAAAAGCACCTGGCTCCTGGCTCCTGCCATCGGATCAGCGCGGTGTGCCGGCTGCAGCGCACTGGCCGCGGCAGCCATTGGTGGGTGAACCAACGGCAAGAGGAGGACCTTTCTCTCTCTCTCACTGTCCACTCTGCCTGTCAAAAAAAAAAAAAAAAAAAAAAAAAATATGCTAAATAGATGTCCTTTACTCTTTTTCAGTATTTTTTAATTAAAGATTTATCTACTTATTTATCTGAAAGGCAGAATTACAGGGAAAGAGGGAAAGACACACAGAGAGATTTCCATCTGCTGGTTCACTCCCCAAAATGACTACAGCTGCCAGAGCTGAGCCAGGCAGAAGCCAGGAGTCCGGAGCTTCTTCTGGGTCTCTCACTTGGGCCATCCTCTGGTGCATTAGCAGGGAGCTGGATCAGAAGTGGAGCTGCCTGGTCTCAAGCCAGCGCCTATATAGTATGCTGGCATCCCAGGCGGCAGCTTTACCCACTATGCCACAACATCGGCATAGTTTGTGATCTCAGTCCAACACTCGAAGTCTTCTCTTCATTGTCCTTTTTGACCAAATCTCTTTTTCCCATAGTATAGGGGAAAATAATTTCGAAGCAAAAGACAGGATTTTAAATGACCTATTGGCACTGTCCATCAAGCAGCAGGTACCTGAAAAATGGAAACCATTATTATCATCTCCTCTGCTGTCTGCTAACTTTGTTGTAAGGACACAATGCAGAGGAAGAGTATAAACTAAAGTCAGGCAGAGTTGGCTCTATCCAGTACTAGTGCTGCTACTTACAAGTGGTAAGACCCTGGCACATCATTTAACTGGAGAGCTTTCATTTCTTTACTGGGAAGTAAGAACACCACTCCTTCTCAGAGGGGCTGCTATGAGGAACAAATGACTAATTCATATGAAAGCATTTTTAAAAGCATTATATGCAAATATCAGGCACTGATTTGTATGTGGTACAAATTGCGAGAGGTATATACTATAACCAGCAATAGAACTTCTTTCAAACAACAACTGAATTCACCTGGACTACAACAGGTATTTACAACTTTTTCTGAAAGACACAAATTCCAATGTCTATCATTTTATCAAATCCTTTATGTGTTCAAATCAGTGAGTACCTCTTACATGACTGTGCTGGACATGCAGAGCGAACTCCAAACTTTCGCTAGGTTAAGCCACTGAGATCCTGGGGCTGTTTGTTACAAGCCATATTATCTTGAAGTTATATATTCTCTCAGTATGTCCACCCTTCTTGATTGTAAAGTCTTTTGAGATCAAGACAGTATTTCCATCATTAAATAACCCTACTTCACTGTACGTAAAATGCCAAACACAGCAGAAAAGTCAACTTTGAATGACTAAACTTCAACTAGGCTCCCAAACTAAGTATCCACTCCACCAGTCCTCTCATTAACAGTTAACTGATATTCCAACACATACTGACTTCTTGGGACCCCCCCTCAAATGTCCACATCCTAATCCCCAAAACAAAACATGGCCTTTTTGGTTTGAGAGCAATTATGTCAAGCTTCCTTGGGATCACTGTAAGAAGTCTTGGAGACTGAAAACCATCAATACTCTAAGATGGAACCCATTCTTTAAAAATGTGTTCATTTATCTGTTCCAAAAATTTTTAATTACACACACAACTTACAGTGAACAAAATCCACAGCTAAAGGTCCTGATGCCTACTGCTTATGTAAGTTCTGATTTATGTAACATGGATTTTGAAGAACTAAACCAATTTCAACAGGAAATGGGTTACACAACACCCAGCAGTCTAGAGAAGGCAGCAGACAAGGGAGAAATCAAATTGTTCCCATTTCTACATCTATAATAAATCTCCTACCGGTAATCTTTCCCTACTTCCACTACTTTCAGCCTCTTGTTATCTCTAGCCACCTGCAGGTCTTTGCCATCAGATTAATCTACTAAGTCACTTTCTGCTTAAAATTTTAAAAATTTCCCGCTGCCAGATAGTAGGGTAAGATTTTCTCCTATCATGAAAGTTTGCCAACTATCAGACTTTTCCCACAACGCGTATGTGCTTTTCTGCCTATGTTCATTAAACCTCTCCTCTCTCTGGAATGGTCTTTCCCATTTACCTTGCACACAGACTCCTCAGAGCATGGCTCATGTACCATCCCCTCCGTTTTTCCTAAGCCACTGAGGTTGAGCCATGTAACGTGACAAGTTACCAGCCTCATGTGGCCATCCACTTGAAATGTGACTAGTGCTACTCACTGAAACCATATTTTAGGGGCCGGTGCTGTGGTGTAGTGGGTAAAGCTGCTGCCTGCAGTGCTGGCATCCCCTATGGGTGCCAGTTTGGGACCCAGCTGCTCCACTTCTGATCCAGCTCTCTGCTATGGCCTGGGAAAGCAGCAGAAAATGGCCAAAGTCCTTGGGCCCCTGCACCTGCATGGGAGACCCCAAAGAAGCTCCTGGCTTCAGATAAGCACAGCTCTGGCAGTTGCGACCACCTGGGGAGTGAAGACCTCTCTGTCTGCTTCTGCCTCTCTGACTTTCAAATAAATAAATAATAAATGATTTTTTTTAAAAATGTAGCTACCAGAAAAATTTTAATTATATGTGGTTTGCATTTGCATTCTATTTCTACCGGACAGTGCTGCTCTAAGATTAAAATATTCTTACAAGGCATTTCGTCTTACCTTGACATCTCATTTCTTCAGTACTAAAATTATCAATCTATCTATCTATCTATATATAGACCAAGTCACTTTCTCCACCATAAGCCCCTTTGGGAGCTTATGAAATACTGGGACACACCTCCCACAACATCCTGCCTGTAACTGGCATGAACAAGTTATCTGCTGAATGAATAACAGATTCTGACATGAAATAATAAAACCACAAACTGAGCTTTTTCCTCAAGTAATTGGAAGTACCTATTCCTTGTAAACACCCATCACATTTGAACCTCATTGCTCATATTTCTGCACGGTACTTCAAAACTACTTCATCTGTCGTGCCTTCACCCTTATTGGTAATTTCAACATTCTTCTGGCTGCCCTACCAAATCTCAACTCTACCTGGCTTTCAGAGTTCTTCTATAACTTAGCTCCTCCTTACCTGACAGGCTTTTTTTTTTTTTTTTTTTTCCATTTTATTTCAAAGGCAGAGTGACAGACGAGCAGTGAAAGATCTTGCATCCACAGGTTCACTCCCCAAGTGTCTTTAACAACCAGAGCTGGGCCAGGCCAAAGCCAGAAGCCTAGAACTCGATCCAGGTCTCCCACATGGGTGGCAGGGACTCAAGTACCCAAGCCATGACCTGCTGCCTCCCAGCATGCACACTAGCATGAAGCTGGAGTTGAGGCAGGACTCAAATCCAGCACTGGATGCCCCCCCCCCCCCATACACAACCATCAGGCTTTCTAATCTCCTATTTTGCAACAGGTGACTTTCTCTCAAATTGGATAGCACATGTTTTATAAATGCCATACTCAAACCTGCCTGAAACTATTTCATCTAGAATGTTCTCTTATATACTTTACTTCCTCCCTACACAAATCCTGTCTGTCCATTTAGGCCTAGAAAGCCTTTTCTGGCTGTTCCAGACAACACTGATCTACCTTGCCTATGACTCCAAATATACCTGTAGCCCATCACAATGTCCATGGCTTTGTTATGCCATTGTATGGTACAGATGATAAGAACTGTACCAGTTACTAGTTTCACATGTGTGTCCTAAAAGGAAAACTGTACATCTGTTTCACGTTTAATGCTTCAAACCATGACAAACACAAGAATCACACTCAAATAACTATAAGCTTTTCAACAATTTCTGGGACAGCACAAAGAACACAGACTACCTATCCGGAGTGTAGCAGCAAGGCAACAGAGCACAATGTGCCAGCGTGTACCTGTGAGAGCTCGTTAAATGCCATCTTCCAATCAGGCTCTACCCTGGAAGAGTCGCTGTGACTAGGAGGGGCAAGAATTAAAGAATAGTGTATGTGGAAAATCTTCTTTAAAAATGCACTATTCAAAGCCAAATTTGAGGCACTATTATTCTTCTCAAATAACGTTACCACATTAGCCCACAAAATGTGAGCTTGGTTTTTTAAAATACTCAATCCAGTGAAAAGAAA